CCTCTTTCTTCTCTTACTTCTGACTGGAAGCGTTGGCTGCTGGATTTATCAACAGTGATAGCATATTCCTCCCTGCTCTGCCTGCTCTCTGCCTCTCTTCCCAGATCTTCCTGTGGAAATGGGGAGCGTCTCCTAGCTGAGGAAAACTCTCTGGAAGGCTTATGTGGGCTCTCAGCCTGGGCAGCAACAAGTTCATATCCTTCAAAAGGCACACTAGTAACTTGGGTTAGAGAGTATTTCTGTACTGGCGAAGCTTCATGACCCGTTCTATCAGATTTTAAATCCGCATGGTGCAGCGCATGCTGTAAACCAGCAAGTTTAGGAGAATGCTTTCTTATAGAGGAAGACTCAGGAAGAGATGGCTCGTATCCAGTGGCTTGTTGAAGAGGTGAAGGTTTTTTTGTTGGTAAGGCTCCACCAGCAAGAGTTATATGTGGAGGTGGAAGGTCACTGGGGTGGGTGCCACTATGATGGGGTGCACTATCAAATGGTGGAACATGGGAGTCAAATGGCAGTCCAGAGTCAGGTTGTTTGCAATGATTGTCCAAAGCCCACTCAGACTCCAGTTCAGCTACTTCCTCTTGTTCGACAACATCTTGCTGCCATTTTAGGATGCGCTGAGCCAGTGCTTCCTCCTCACTTACAAAGTACTCACTGTCCCTCTGCAACCTGGTCTCACGACCCTCTGTCAGCAGCTCACCAGTAGGTGGCCACTGCATGTTATCACCCTGCTGATCTTGGAAACCAGCAGGAACTGGCTCACTCAAGAGGAACTTCTCTTTGGCTGTTTTTCCTGGGGAAGGCTTCTTGCTGCGGACAATTTCTGGTTGTGGAATTGATTCTGGAGCAGAAGCCTCTGCGACATCTCTTACAGCCTCAGTCGTCCTCTCTGCTTGGCGCGGTGAGTAACCCTCTACCCAGTCAGACTCGAGTTTCACAGGTTGCTCTTGTTCCATCAAAACATCCTGTTGCCATTTCATTATGCGCTGAGTCAAGGCTTCCTCTTCACTGACAAACTTCTCACTCTCATTCTTCAGCTCAGAAATGTTCTCTCTTGACAGCTGGAGCTCATGTTCTTCTCTTGTCTTCTCAAACAACATCTTCCCTGCTCTGGCTTTTGTTCTAGGTGATGATTCAGCTTCCACTTCTGCTGCTCTAGCTTTTATTCTGGGTGATTTCTGTGCCGGCATGAGTGATGCCTCAGTTTCCAAATCTCCTGGTCTGGCTTTAAGCAAGGAGGCAGGTGTTTTGTCCGGTTCTACTTTACCTTTTACTTTAGGTGACCTGGGGGTTGACATGACAGCATGGTCTAGAGTTGCTCTTTTCTCCACCACCTCCTGCTTTGTGTAAATGTGTCCCTCAGGCTCTATGTACTGTGTTTCTGCCGACATGGGCAGATCAGTTTCAGGGCAGGGAGTCTCCTCTTCTGACATTTGCATGCCTTGCTGCCATTTCCTAACCCGCAGGGCCAGGAGTTTTTCTTCACACTGCATCCGTTCAGCCTCCAGGCTCTTTTCATACTGAGCTCTCAAAGACTCCCCTGAACCCTCCTCTTCATATGGCTCAACTGGTTCTGTTGCAATGTGATCTGGTGTTACAGCTTCACCAAGGAACCTCTCTTTGATAGATTTGACTTCCCTTTGTCTGGGTGACTCTCTGAGTCTGTCCTCTGCCCTGGCTTTTGCTCTAGGCGACAACTCTGCTTCCACTTCTGCTGCTCTAGGTCTTATTCTGGGGGATTTTTGTGCCAGCATGAGTGGGGGCTCACCTTCCGGTTCTTTTAATCTGGCTTCCACTGCGACTGACTTTGTAAGCAAGGAGGCAGATGTTTCCACTTCTTCTACTCTGGCTTTTACCTTAGGTGATTTGGGTGTTGATACAGTTGCAGCTTCAGGATCTGCCAACTTTGCCTTAATTCTGGGTGATTTATGCAAAGAGGGCATGGCCTCAGTTTCTCCAGTCACTCTTTTCTCCACAACTTCCTGCTGCGTGTAAATGTGTCCTGCAGGCTCCATGTACTGCGTCTCTGCTGGCATAGGCAAATCAGTTTCAGGGTGAAATGTCTCCTCTTCTGACATCCTACTCCCTTGCTGCCATTTCCTGATCCGCAGGGCAAGGAGTTTTTCCTCACACTCCAGGCGTTCAGCTTCAAGGCTCTTCTCATACTTAGCCCTCAAAGACTCCCCTGCACACTCCTCTTCATATGGCTCAATTGTGTCTGTTGTTGCTCTGTCTTCTGGTGTTACTGTTTCACGAAGGAACCTCTCCTTTCTAGGTGTGAGTGGCTTAGGCCTGGATGACTCCATGAGTGATACCTCCTCTTGAGCAGGCACAAGTCTAACAGATTCCCTGCTTTCAGTGTACGTTGTAGTTTCTGGGTATCTTTCAGAGTATGGGACTTCAGGGTGACATAGCCCGACCTCAGCTTCCACCTTTTCGTCAGCAACCACACTGTGATGTTCACTTACCATCTGCTTGAATCTAACATCTGTCTGAGATTGACCAAAACTTTCAACTTTTTTATCCACCAGTGTATCAACCAATTCACCTCTCATGATCTGAATGGCCCTGGTTCTGGACTGAGGCTCAAATGAATGCCTCACACGACGCGCCCTGCTTGAAGTTTTACCAGGAACCTCCCTATGAGTCTCCCCCAAATCAAAGGGTCGATTGAAATGCTGGACATCAGGGAGAGAGGCAGGCTTGACCCTGAGCTTCTCCACATATTCTGCGTAACTTGATTCGCTGGCAACGGATTCTAACTCAAATTCAGAGGAGGACATGGTAGAGATAGAGAGCCTTTTCTTTTGTTTGACAGCTTTTTGGAGTGTGGTAAGTTTAGTTCTTACCTCGTTGTGAAGACTCTCAGTGTCGCTGAACCTCTCGCTGTATCTGTCACTGCACCTGTCACTAAATTTGTCACTGAACCTTCCACCAGTGCGCCGGTCACAGTAGATATCACTGAATCTGTCATTAAAGCGCTCAGACCGGTCAAACATGGGGGGAGGGGATGGGGCGCGCTCAGAGGCAGTCTCCAAACATTTGGATTCTTTCTCTGCCTCTTTTTCTTTTGAATGGGAATCAGACTTAAAGTACACAGTACGCACAAGAGAGTTCTTAGATCGAGATCTTCCCTGATGGACTTTGGACATCTTGTCAAATGGAGACCCTACACACCTGAGGTCGACCCTAATCTTCCTCTCTTTCCTCTGCTCTGCCATGGTGTCTACGCTTTCATGGGCTTTGGCAGAGCGTCTAACAAATCCCAGGTAGTTAGCAGACTGTTCTTCCCTCAGTGACACCAAAAGTGATGCTGTGGACTCAGCAGAACCCTCCGTGTTTATTGCCATTACCTTGTAACTGCCTGAGTCCTTCTCTTTGATACTGTCAATAACAAGACTGGTAACGTGTATGTGCATTTTGCTGTCGGTACAGATCCTACGCCTGCGCTCTTTGGGAATAGGTTTATTATTATGAAACCAAAGAATTGTTGGTGGAGGGCAAGCAACCAGTTTACACTTCAATTCCACTGGTTCTCCCTCCATGACAGATTGAAACTTGAGTTTCTTGGTGAAAGAAGGTTTAATGTTCTCCGCCCATGAAGTTATGGAGGAGGTTCTGCTGGAGCAGCGATTGGCTGACACCAGGCCATGATCTAGGAAGTCCTCTGTGTCGGAGAAGGCTCCTCTCAGCTGTCGAGCGCCGGGGAGTTCTGCGCTGCTGCGTGATGTTCCTTCTTTGCTTTCATGATAAAACAGTTCTGCAAAAAGAAACAGACAACTGTCAGAACAACACAGCCTCCAGGGGTAAAAAGAAGGAAAAGGATTTGAATGAATTATTAATGGAAATATTAAATGCATGCTGGGAGTCACAATGCCATAAGAAATAATTTCACTCACCATATTTGTTCGAATAAACGCAAGACTTGATTCGTTTTATTAGAAACCTGCAGGAAGTTTTGATCCTTCGTCTGTGGAAATTTCTTCAAAACATAAATTATTTTATTATTATTATAAAAAGCATAATTCCAAGATGGGCTGCTAACATTCACTTGTTTTGTTTTTTGATAATTGCTTCGGCTTTATGCTAATATATTCCTTACCTGACTTGCAGACAGGAGAATAAACGCCCTTTCTAATCCTTAAACTTAAGAGGAAATGAATGATGCACAAGTATCAATGAGAAGCAAAGCTCTCCAAAACATAGCTTAGATTTCAAAACTTTAACAAATGAAGCTGTAAAATTGGGTGAGAAGGCGTTTATTCGAACTAATATAGTTTACTGGTGTTATTTAGAATGCAAACCACAGGAATCACATCCCACTATCTGCAAGCCAGGCTAAGAAATATTTTGCAGGAGGAAGGTATCAGTTCCAGATGCAATAAACCTCCATATCTTTTAAAGGGCATTTCAAGTCCGGAAGCTTTAAAAGATACATATCCTGCGATTTTTCAGGGAAAAGATCAGAGGAACCTTCATGCCACAACGAAACGACGTTTGGATGCAAACCGCAAGTGTCAAAAACTGGTACAAGCAAGTGCTACCAGTGCTCACCTGGGGGAAACCATGAAATATTATGAGAATAAGAGCAGGTGGAATAATACAGACAATAGGAATTTTCTATCAAGACACTTTGAGACCACATGCAACTGTGGAAATTCAAAGATCACGTAAAGGGACAGTTCAACATAGTGACACTTTTACAAACTCTAAAAGCAGTCTGTGAATGCAGGCCAACCATAATCCGTAATACATGCACCCACACATCATTTGTTTCCTCCACTTTCTCAGCAGTTTCTCCACTCAAAAACCACCTTCAATGAACCAAAGCTTGGATCAAAGTCACCTGCTGACAGACTACTTTCGAAGTGAACAATAGTAAAAAAGAGTAAAACAGAAATCTGGTTAAACTGTCCCTTTTCAACTCTGCTTGCTTCTCGTGTGAAGTAACAGTCTGGTGTTTTTGATATATGGTGGTCAGGAATCTGACGTAACCTTACCTTTGACTTCTTGCTCAATCTTGGCTTCAATCTGCTCTCTCATGTGAGTCACTGTGATGGAAAGAAATTACATGAATTTAGATTTCATCAGCACACATTGATCCCATGAGATGGTCTTCAAACCTTTAAACATTCTTGCTTTGCTGGACTCAAATACATTTACCGTCTGTGTTTAGGTACCATCAAAGTTGATCCATAAATTGAGGAAACTTAAGCTATCATCGCAAAATATTTCAATTAACAAAACTTCCAAACGTGTAGTTGTGATCTACTGGAACTACAGCACTGAAGTAAACTACGAGTTAAAACTATGAAAGTCAAACTTCATTCTTGACCATAGAAATGATAGTTTGACAAATAAAAACTTGACTCAAGTTCCATTTACAAGCTTTTCCAGAACTTGAATATCCCACAGTCTTTACCTGCAGATGCTCTTCATTCTGCGCTCTACCTTGTGCAAACTATTTGTACATTTTGTGTATACAGTAATAATAATGCAACAAAAATGACCTATAACAAAGCTAATATAGTGATCACCTGACCAAGGTTTTAAACTTGGGTAAATTATCATTTTGCCAAAGAGCTATTTCCAAGATCAAGAATTAATTTTCTGGCTCATATAATCAATGCTTTGACTTTGTACCTTGCTGTAGTAATGGCTTTTAAATGCCTTTAACCTAGAGCGATAATGGCCTTAAAGTACTCAGTTGATGGACCAAAATAAAGAGATTCCAATAGATTTGAGTCTCTTTTGTTCCATTTAACACAAATTGTTTCGGAAACTAGATTTTGAGTTGAGAAATGAACAATTTCATTACACAGCACAGAGGAAGAAAATGAATCAGACAAAGAAGGGTTTCCTGAAGAATGGAGGTACAACAGAGAGGTTACACATGTGAGTTTCATGCAATCATGAGTTTTCCTGTGTGGGAGAGGAAGAGGAGGGTGAGGACGGAGAAGATGAAGGAAGGTGGAGAGATGAGTTTGTTTTCCCGTGGGGAGGGTTGAGGGAGTGCTGATAATCCCAGGATTCAAACAGTGGTGCATTCATGAGCCAAGTGATTCATCTTTCTGGAACTGTGAGGTTAGTCACAGGAGGAGGGTTGAGGGATGTCCCGATACCGTTTTTATTTCCAGGGTCACTTTAAGATTGAATTTATCCACAAGAGAGCAAATTTGTTTTTCAGCTGAATAATCTCCTGCTCAGTGTGTATCTTGGGTCACATTAAAGGGATCCTTTTTAAAGATGTCTGAGTGTGTTATGGGTTTATTTAAAAGATGAGAGGGGAAGGGGATACATTGCATTGGTATTACTTACAGTTTCTGAGGATTAACAGTATGCAAAATCTAGACAGTGCAGCATTTATTTTCTTATTTAGATCCTTTTGTCAACTGGTTTTTACAGCATCAATTCAGACCTTCTCAATTACTGAGAATCTTAAATATTTAATTTAATATTTAATTTTTATTTAATTTTATTTAATAATATTGGCTTTCTTTATTATATTCCGATTACTATATTCACCTTTTCATTTGAACCTTTTTAGTTTTTTAAGAAAACAAAACAAAAAACATTATTCACATTTTTAATTGCATTTTTTCTGAACTGAGATAATTTCTCCATAAACCTGATGCTCTCTTCTGATGTTTTGGGGTATTTTGGAGTCTTGATGTGTCTCATAACGGTATTGTGTTGGATTGATCTTAGTTAGAGTCAGTTTCCCACAGTTCCTGAGTTGTTTAAAGGTTGTTTTGAAGATGAAATCATGATCAAACATGATTGTCTTAAAGCTATTATCCATGATTTTATAGTCAGTTAGTCAGTAACATGTTTTTATTGCTGCCATTAATGGCCAATAAAATAATGGCTTTCCCTGTGAATAAAGGTTAACAATACATTTTTAATTTGAAATGATTTATATCAGACTTTAATCTATCTGATGCACATTTTGCAGATTGGTTCGGGACATCCCTTGAGGTGTTTTGTGGTTTTCGAGGGGGGTGAATTAATCTAGCAGAAAAGAGAAGTTGGTTTATTTGCAGTGTGGATTCAGAGGGAATCTGGCTGCAGCCGTCGGATCCAGAAGTTACCTTCTTCCTCTTCGGTTACGATGAGGGTGGCCGAGCATGCGGCCTCTCCGGCGTTATTGGCTGCCCTGCAGGTGTACTGCCCCGCGTGCTCGGAGAAAGCATCGACTATGATGAGCGTGGCGGTGTTCGAAACCTCATCAAAATGAAACACCACGTTCTTGGTGGGCTGAACAGGCTGCCGGTTGTGGAACCAGCTTATCTCTGGCTTTGGCATGCCGGACACACATGCATGAAAGCGGGCCACCTCCCCGTGTGGCACCGAGCAGCTCGTGATTGGCTGGATGAAAACTGGCTTTTGGCCAATGGAAGGTTTCTTTAGACTGGTGAGGCTGGTGGAGATATGCCACTGAGACTCAGCAGGACTGTCCACTGTTTGTTTTTGCCCTGAAAGGAAGCATGTTCATTGGCTTTATGTGCTTAATTTGATTTACGCTCATCCCAGTCTGCACAGTTGAGGTGATTTTCAGTTTGAAAGCAGTCTGCCTTTGGTGGAAAGACTTTTTATTAAATCTGCTACTTATAAACCATCCTCACCAGAAAAATGACACCAATAGTCATTTGTTTAGTCCCTGTTTTCTGACTAGTTACCTCTCTTGCCATGTGACTGTAAAACCTCTTGGGGAGAACATTGGGTCAGTGTGTGTGACTTTAAGTCGACACCAGAGCGCCTCGTTAAATCCTTCTGTTTTATTGTTTCTTCTAAACCATTTATTACAATTACAGTAATGTTTTTTAGTTTGTCATCATTTATAAATAAACCTACCTAAAGAATAACCAACAAAAGCCGCCAGAAAACATAAAGAACAAGGATTAAAAAAAGAGTCCTCTCATATTTATTGTCCCTGTAAAAACATTGTAATTCAAACTCACATCGCTGCTAGAGCTTTGAGACTACAGCTGCAACGATTAGTCAGTTTGTTCAATCAAATTCAGCTTCTTTGTTTCTTTTCACCTTCAAACCACTGAACTGGTGCCCACTGGGATGTGTGTTTGTGTTTCAGTAGAGAGAAGAACGGCGCTATCACAGCAGGTTGACAACAACAACAGAACATCTGCACGTGGGTGACAAATGAAAGTGAAAACCAAAATAAAGACATTCCCAAACCTAGCAAAGGTCTTCATTTGGTTTGAGATCTTGTGGCTGTTTCATTAAACCGCCATCTGCATTAGTTTCTAAATTAATTTATTCTGGTTTTTCTTTTATTTGTCACTTTTGTATGTATTAACACTATAAAAGCTGAGAGCAGCCATGGTTGATAATACAACTGCTGTTCGCTTCTGTTCACCCTTATGTTCTGAGTGTCAGGGTAAAAGCAGCACTTCTTGGTGGTGAGGAACTTACCGTCCAGTGTGAGAGTGGCGGAGCAGGATGCGGTGCCGGCATTGTTCGTGGCCACGCACGTGTACTCGCCCTCATCCTCCGGGTAAACCCTGGAGATCTCCAGCTGACAGCTGTCATCAAACTGGGACATCCTGAAGAACTCCGACTGCTTGATCTCCTTCTCCTTGTGGAACCAGCTGATCTTCACGTCTGGACAAAGGACAAAGGAAAAGAACGTTTGTGGAGGCAAACTGGATTTTGTAATAAAGTTACACTGCAGTGAAACCAGTTCATTCACTTGTGGGGATGAAGGAAATCTACACTAATTTCTCTGTGATTGGATGTTTCTTGCTGCACAATAGTTGACTTTTCTCCTACAGTTTTTATGTCTGCAGGCTACTTGTACCTTCAACTTCTTTGTCTAAAACCAGACATTTTCAAACACAGTTGTTCATATTTTGTACTGATGATTCAAAAGGAGAATTTCATGTCTATCTAAGAAAGTTTATCAGAACTTTCATTGCAGGAAGTGCTCAAATTAACTTGCAACTTTATCGGTAAAATCTGATGTAATGTTTCAGTTAGTGAAGAGCTAATATCTTATTTAAGAGTAAGACTACTCGCATAACTTCTCAGTTTAAGAGAAAGTCGTCTTGTCCCATTGTTGGAAACAAAGCAGCTGTTTAGTTTTTCATTGTTTTAATGAAAAACATTTCTGGTGCCTTGATTTAAGACAAAGTCACTTATTTTTATTCTGCTTTTTGAAGAAATTGTGTCGTATTGTAGATGTATACATTTCATCGTTTTAAGTAAGACTTTCTCTTACCATCTCCGCGGACTCTGCACTGGAAGCGAGCCGGTTCTCCTTCGCGGGCCGAGGTGCTGGCGATGGGTGAGATGACAACGGGAGGAGCAACGGTAGCAGCTGAGTCCGGAGAAACCACTTCTGACACTGCAACACACACACAAACCTGCGTCTACACATGTCCTGGTGTTGATCTGAAACATCTCCCCTTTCGTGTCTAACGTCCCATCTTACCTTCCACATTGAGCGTGGCGGTGCTGGTGGTGGTGCCGTACTCGTTCTTGGCCTCGCAGTTGTAGATGGCGGCGTCCTCGGGGAACACCTCGATCAGCAGCAGCGAGTGCTCGTTGCCGTCGTGCAGGAACTTGCACTTGAAGCCCGGAGACAGAGCCTGGGAGTTTTTGAACCAGAAGACTTGAGGCTGAGGAACGCCGCTCACCTGCACGGAGAAGCGAGCTGGTTTACCGGCCTCCACCGACTGGGGCTCCATGTGGCGAAGGATCTGAGGCGGCTCCGGGACTGAACGAGGAGGAAAATAAAAGATGTAGTGAGACAGGAAGGAGGAGAATTGTTTTCACATTTCTAAATAAAACAATCTGGACTTTTAAAGTTAAAGTAAAATTTGGTGTTAACTGGTTGTCATTAGTCTCATTGTTGAAGCAGACTCAATAAAACAGCATCAACCTTTCAAAAGTCATTTAACCAGGAGACACTGTTATCTAATTAAAATCTGAGCTGCAGACTAAAAATAAAACAATGAAATGAAATCTGATTAAACAAAATAGAAACAACAGTACTGAGATAAACATTTTCAGAATTTTCATTATCAAAATTAAATTACCATTGAGGAGAAAGATGGATCAAAATAATCAATAAGTGAATTTGGTTGATATGGAGCCGATTGGAGAGAAAAAATACAAAGATGAAAAACAAATGAGGATTTTTTTCCTCACCTACATGCTCCATATTTCCTCTCCAGGTTCCCTGAGGGACTCCGCAGGTAGATATGGTGAATGGTTTATCATTTGTTTTTATGTTTTCAACAGTAAAGCTTTAAATTCCTCCTGGTCACACATCATACATTTATATATGGGGCTACATATAGGCAGTGATCTCTCATTTATTTTCCCCTTTATATTGCATCATTCAAATGAAAATAAATATGTGATAAATCTTATTCTTTTAAATGATTCCCATCAGTGTCTGTGGTATTAATCCTCCAGCTGCACTCACTGTTCACTCGGAGGTGCATGGTGCTCCTGTTTTTGCCTGCGATGAAGGTGTACTCCCCGGCGTCGCTCCTGTAGGTCTCAGAGATGGTGAGGCGGTGCAGCTTCCTGATGGCCACGTAGTTGAACCTCTCTTCCACCGAGAACTGGATCTCCACCCCGTTCCTCAGCCAGTGACCCTCCACGTCGTCCTCGTTCACCTCGAACTCGAAGGTCGCTCTGTGTTTCTCCAGAACCTACACGAGAGGACGGAAGGATTTAGAGATTTAGACGTCTTTAAAACCTGCACATTGACCACTTTGGTTCATATGAACGTCCGTCTCACCGTGATTTCCCGCTCGGCAGGTTCGGAGATCCGGATGTCGCGGCCCTCCACGATCAGCTGGGCCTTGGAGACACTTGATCCAGCCACAACCGAATACTCTCCAGCATCGGATATACGGACTGTCTGGATCATCAGACGGTGAACGTACTTCTCTGCTGTCACGGTGTACCTGTGAACGCACCACAGAGACTCTCAGCTCATATTTCAAATGTTGTTGTTAAAGTGTCGGCTGTAGGAAGGTTCGTTACTGTTCTTTTAAGATGACATTACCTTTCCTCAGTCATGTCCATCTCCTGGCCGTCCTTCATCCACATCACCTGAATGTTAGGCTCAGAAACCTCACATTCAAAAATAGCCTTCTTCTTCTCTGTGATCTTTATGTCCTTGATTTTCTTGGTGAATTCAATCACACGAGCTGAAAAAAACCAAAAACAAAAACAGATGCAATTATCATTCCAAAGAATTTGAGAAGCACACTATATGACTTCTTCACAGGTTGAATTTCAGATATTATCATTTTGGCCTTGAAGATGAATCCAGACCAGCAGATTAATTAAAGTGTTTCTGTCCCTCGTCCTTTTAACTAAACATTCAAACATTTTTTCAAACTTACAATTGTCAGAAAAACAGACAGAAAGAGAAACCACCCCACATGTTTTATGCTAAGTGAAGTGTAATCTCCACAGGCAGCCGGGAAAATCCCAAATCTCCCTCGGATTGTTTAATGAACAAATCAGTCAACTCTGAACGTGTAATGCTTTGCATTACCTTCGACGAACAGGTTAGCGGCGGTGGCGGCGGACCCGGCCACGAACTGGTACTCTCCTCCGTCTCCGAAGTGAACATTTCGGATGGTGAGCGAGTGCGTGAGCTGCCGGCTGCGGACCTGGCATCTGTCCGAAGACTTGACCTCCACGCCGTTCTTCAGCCATTTGTAGGTGATGCCCTCGTAATTGACGGTGACCTCGAAGGTGATGGTGTCTCTCTCCTGAGCGTTCAGATCCTTCAGCATGGAGGTGATCATGACAGCTGGAGACGAGAGAACAGGTCGGGTGAAACACAAAAATACTACAAACACTTCTGAAAACGTATTATTATCATTAAACTTTAAATAAATGTTCTTTGGTCTGTTTTATGTTTTACAGCTGCGGTTAAAGCTTACAGGATGAATTTTGTTTTTGTTTTTAATTCATTACATAACATTTTCAGATGTTTATTTTATGATATTTGATAGTTTTTTTTTTTGTTCTAATTATGGTTAAACTTACATTATAAATCAATTATATAAATAAAATGTATATTATGATCACTAAAACTTCTAATTCTGCTGCTACTACAAAAAATAATGACAATAATAATATCTTTTTTGATTAATTACAAATTAGAAATAAAATAAATATATAATACAATATACACATTAAACTTCATTTATTCTTGAGGGTTTGGAAAGTAACTTTAGATTAATCATTAATCCGATATAGTTACTAATGACCTTAGAAAATGTATTCAGTGACCTAATTGAAGTAACTTGATTACTTTCCATTACTTTAATTACTTCAACACCACATTTGTAAATAAAGACAAAATGAGTGATAATAAGAAGTACTGATGTGAGTGTAAGACAGCAGAACAATGTGAACGTAGAAAACAAAATGGAGACGGAAAAAATGAAAGGGTTTTTTTTTGTTTTGTTTTTATTTTGGGCTTTTGGCCTTTATTTGACAGCTGAAGATACAAAGGGAAGGACTCAGTCTTTATACATAAGCCAGCTCTACCAGGTGAGCTATAGGGCAACATCAACAATGTGTCCTCTGCTTAGTGTGTTTCTTTAAATTGTAATAAATAATCCCCATTTTTACTAAATGTAACTGTAATATGACTATGTATTTTTCTACAATAGTTACCCTGTTTTTGGCATCCTGATTATGCAACTCAGTTACATATAATCCATTACTCCCCAAGGCTGCTTATTCTCATTAAAAGTGAAAAAGTTTTTTATCTGTATTTGTTTTTAAACTAGACAAATGCAAATTTCACAAAAATTCAAATGACAAAATATTGCAAATTGTCCATAATTATAAATCCACTTTTTGTTTGGTTCATCCTCTCTAAGTCAGATTTCTCAAGTTCTGAAAAGGTTCAAATGTTTTTACTTATTGTTCCCATGATACCACTAGAGGAAGGGAACAAAGGCCAGTTGAGTGAGTTTAAGAAGACAGTACCGAGGTGGTTCCTTGCCGGGTATCTTTCCATCTGGAAACTCTGTAAATTATATCACTACTGTATACCTGTACTTTTCGCTTTATTAGGAAAGTTAATCTTAATAACTAAAGAGACTGGCCACATGGGAAACACACAGAAACTCAGCTGACCATAAAGTAAGATTTTAGGGTGTTTTGACCCTTAAAGACCCTCCTCTGTTTGTGCAGAGCACCGTCAGTCTCCCTCAGAGACATTATCTTGGTGTGATCTGAGTGGTTTTGACGTGAACGTGGTCTTACGGTTAACGGTGAGTGTTGCAGAGACTTTGTCGTTCCCGCAGATGAAGGTGTACTCTGCGGAGTCGTCCCTGCTGGTGTTCATGATCTTCAGCTGGTGGAGTTTTCCCTGAACCACGATCCTGAACTTCTCGCTCATCTCGATCTCCACGCCATCTTTCAGCCAGGTGGACGGCACGTTGAAGTGAGAGACTTCACACTCAAACGTGGCCATCTGGGTCTCCGGGACCACCACACTCTTCATGGGTTTGGTGACTCGCAGAGCTGCAAGAGACGAACCCGAGAAATAACACAAGTCAGAAGAATTGAGAGTAAAATAGAGTCTGTGGAGCACTGTCATGTTCAAATTCTTATTGTTGTGATCACTTTTCACGCAAATTAACAAAGTACAAGTGATAAAATATACATAAATATACACTTAATTGCATAAAATACTAATGACAAATATTAATAAAATAAAGATTTCTCTAAACAATATTATCTAAATTTTGAATAAAAAATATAAATAAATAAAAAGTACAAAATGTCTGAAAAAAAAATTATGATATATTTCTACAAAGGCTACTTGAGGTATATATAATTAAAATAAAGTAAAATACAATATAATTTATAATCAAATAGAATTGTGATTGTAAGTTTTTAAAATAAATGTACAAAAACCAAAACAAATATATATTACAAAATAAATTACAAATGAAAATTCATTAATTTTCTAATCCTCTTAGTTTTAACTGTGATACTGTAACTTTTTCATTATTTAGATTATAATTATCAATAGTATTAGTATTAGTGTTATTATTAAGTATACATTACACACCCTCCACGGTGAGCATGGCGCTGCACTGCAGGTGTCCAACCACAGCCGTGTACTCTCCTGCGTTGCTGCTGTCGACGTTCTGCAGGATCAGTTTGTGAGCTTTCCGCTCCGACAGAATCTTACACTTGTCGCTCGACTTCAGCTCCACGCCTTTAAACATCCACCTGACGGGGATATTGTCATGTGACAGGCTCATCTCGAAAGAGGCGGTGCTGTCCAGCAGTGATGTCACGTCCTTAATCTTCTTTATGATTTTGATCGCTGCAAAAAAAAAAACAAGTACCAGATATAAGCAATCAGTTTATTGGGTTGTCGTAGATTATGGGGTGTACAGTAAATCAGTGAGTCAGTGGTACTCACTCTCTACGTTGAGTCTAGCGTTGGCCGACAGTTTTCCCAGTTTGAAGGAATAAACAGACTCGTCCTGTGTGTTGCAGTTCTTGACCTTCAGCGTGTGGACCATGCCGTCGGTTGTGATCTCGTACTTGTCGCTGCTCTGAAGCTCCACACCGTTCTTGATCCACTGGGACCCTTTCACGTCGGGGTGGGTGAGCTCCAGCATGAATACCGCCTCCTGGGTCTCTGTCACAGTCTGGTTCCTCAAAGTTTTCTTGATCTTCACCGCTGCAGAAACAGAGGACTCAGTATTTATAAGATAGTATACGATATAAGAAATAACATACCAAGGATTTCTCTTTTTTAAGAGACTCGCCAGTGGAACCGATAAAATGTGAAGTTTGTCCTGCAGGTGGTGCTAGAGGAAATGTCAATGTTCACTAAATTTTGCATGTGTATAACAGCTAAGAGGGTCTTTGTTATTTGAAAACCACTAATAAATAAAACTGTTTGTATAGGTGCACTAAAAATTTACTTTGGGCAAGTAGATTTCTGCCTGACCAGGATAAAAAACACTGATGTTGAACCCTGTACCTTGTATCGTAATCCTGTGTCATCTTGAAATAACTGCATATGTCTTGGTCTTACGTGGACACCGAATATGTGAGAAGCTTACCCTCCACCCTGAGGTTGGCGGTGGTTTTGGAGTTGGCCACCTGGTAGCTGTACTCTCCGACATCCTGTGGTCTGGTGATGATGATGATGAGGCGTCTGACGGCTCCCTTCACCTCACTCACCACGTTCTCGCTGAAGTCCACAGGCTTACCCTCCTTCAGCCACTTGCCCTCAGCGTTGGCGTTGGCAACTTCACACTCCAGCTCAGCTGTCTGAGACTCTGCCACTGTCACGTCCTGCAGGGGCCGTGTAATGGCTCCACCTAGTGGCAGCACATGGAAGCAGTTTGTTTTATGGTTTTTGGGCAACAGATCTGACCATAGATCACATGATAAAAACAACATTTACATTTTATTATATAGTCTTGACTTAATGACTTGATTTAAAGCCTGTGTTAAATATTTCAACAAATGTATTGTTTCAAACAAACCCAAAGTAAGGGGTACATTTATAGGGCTACAGTGTCATGCTCAAGGTATTCTTTGTAACAGGGGTTCTTAAGAATCAGTGACTGTGTAAATTAGTCCACTTGAATGTCATTGGAGCGCAGAAGGCAATAATCTCGTAAAGAGTTTAGACGTACCGGAGACAGTGAGCTTGGCACTGGATGTCTTTTCACCGGCGTGGAACATGTACTGGCCCTCCTCGTCCTTCATGGTGTCAATGACCGTCAGAGAGTGAGCCTTGCCCTTGGTCTCCATTTTGTGTTTGGGTCCAGGTTTGAGCTGCTGGCTTCTGAATGTCCAGACTGGGTCGATTCCGGGGTGAGAAACTTCAACATTAAAGGTGACGTTCTGGGACTCTGAGCACACTTTGTCCTCCATGTGCTTCACAATGTGTACCTCTGTAAAGACAACAACGTGGTTAAACACAGAACTGGAATTGGGATCTAAAAACAGGATCCAGGGAAAAAGAAATCAGTCTTACTTTCGATAGTCAGGCTGCAGCTGGTGTCGACCTTGCCAACCACCAGTTTGTAGTGTCCTTCATCAGAGGCATAGGTCCTGGTGAGAACCAGACGTTGCTTGGCTCCCTTTGCCACAGTTTGGACTCGGTCACTGGGTACCAGCAGTTTATCATTGTGGTACCATTTGACTGAGCTGATGTCCTGAGCTGAGATCTTGGCCTCGAGAACAGCCTTGGTGCCTTCGATGGAGGACACATCCTTCAGTGGCACCACAATGTCAATGGCTGTAAGGAAAGACAATAAAATTATGACAAAGATGGAAGGTTTTGGTGTGTTTTCATGGTTAGAGTTTGGTATCACTTAGATCTGATGCTGATTCTGACTCTTACTTTGAACACTGAGTTTGCCCGAGGTGGAGATGTCTTGGGCGGGAACCACAAAAGAGTAGGAAGCAGCATCTTCTCTGGTGACATTCTCCACCAGCAGCTTGTGCACCAGTTTGTCGATAACGATGTGGACGCGGTCCGAGGCGGAGATGGCCTGGCCGTTCTTCATCCAGGTTCCCTCAACATTCTCCTGGGAGAACCTGACCTCCAGCTGAGCGATGTCGCCCTCACACACTGTAAGGTCGGTTAAGGGCTGCATCAGGGTCACTGGGCGCACTGAAGATAGAGAAACCCCATTATTATCACATTACACTACAGCCACCAGTGATTGTGAGATCTCAGTGCCTACTGACAAATATGCTAGAACTCAAGAGTATCAATACATTTGCAAGAAGACTCCCTTTGAGAAACCCTGAAAATTTTTGAGAATCAGTTTATCCACATACTTCACTACTCTGTTACGTTACTTACATTTCATCTTCAGTGAGGCGCTGGTCCTCAGATCTCCACATACAAAGGTATATTTCCCCTGGTCTCCCTTCCTGACATCCTTGACGGACAGGGAGTGTCTTCCTCTGCGGGAGGACATTACGTATTTGCTGCTGGGAGAGAGCTCCTTATCTCCGAAGAACCAACTGCCCTCGGCATCCTCGCGAGACAGCTCAACCTCAAACTCTCCAGCATATGTCTCTGGCACCTCAATGTTCTCCATGTGTTTTACGAGCTCCAGGGCAGCACCTGAATACAGAACGATATCAAGAGCCATTATCTACCAATCCACCAAAATAAGACAAAAGACAACCACAGATGGAAAGAACAGGGTTCCCACAAATTTTCATGGACAAAATTTCCAAGCTTTTCTGTGATTTTCTAAGGAGCCATCATAAAATTTCCACAACCTATAAGCACAGAGAACCCTGAAAGATTCTGGGTATAAAGATTACCTTCTACATGGAGCCTTGCGCTCGTCCTGATGCTCTCATCATCTGTAACCACACAAGTGTATTCGGCATCATCCCTCATTTCAATTGTCAGCACAGACAGGAAGTGGACCTTTCTGTCTGAATGCATTCTGTATTTGTCTCCGGAAAAGATCTCCGTGTTGTTCTTGAGCCATTTGACTTTGACGAAAGGTTCGTTGGTTTCACACTCAAAAGTCATCATGGTGTCCTTCTCATTTGCACTGACATCCTCCAGGTGTTGGGTAAAGTTAACTGCCGCCTTGGCTGCAAGGAGAACATATGAAGTCAGATCATAGTCATATATAATAAATTAAATAAATAAATTACATAAACAATGAGCATATGACTGGAGAGGTTTGGTATAAAATGGCTTTACCTTGCACAAGCAGGAAGGCATGGCTTGAGGCCTCCCCAGCGACATTCATGGCTTTAACCATGATGCTAGCTGAGTCCTCTACTGTGACATCTCGGATCACCAGTTCACACACGTGATCCTCAGACCAGTACCAGTAAATACGGTCAGACTTTTCCACCAGAATGCCGTTCTTGAACCACTGGCACTCAGGTTCTGGTCTGCCAACGACTCTGACTCGGAAACGAACCTCATCCATTGGAGCAACTGTCTTGCTAGTAATGCGTTCCAGGATCTTGGGTGCCTCCATGCTGGGAGAGAGCTGGACCCTCTCTGGTTTGATTGTGGGGATGGTGACTTTGCCCTGTTCCTCCAGCAACTTCCTCTCGGCTTCTTCTTTCTCCTTCAAGCGATGAAGCAGATCGTCCTTAGTCTTCTTCAGTAGATCTTCATAGGAGTCATCCCTCTTGCGAGACTTGAACTCCACAGCAGATATGGACTCATAGAAACCTTCCTCTGTTCTACGCTTGAACTTGCTCTTCAGTTCGTCTGTCTCCTCTGTGGTTTTCTCGTGAACAATTCTCTGTGCCTTACGCAACTTAACTACTTCTCTGTCCTGTGCGGCCTCAGCAGATCGGTCGGCCTTCACAACATCAAATCCGATTCTGCCAGGCTCACGTGCGGCTTCTGTAGCCTTTGATTCTGGAGCACGGCGCAGTACGGATCTAAAGTCCTCTTTCTGTTGGATCTCCAGCTTCACAGTGTGCTCAGTTGTGCCAAGAGGATTGTCTGCAACCACCCTGACCTCTCCTGAGTCGTAGGATTTGATGTCAACAATCTCCAAATAGTAAATACCATCATAACGAAGTCTGTATCTCTTGCTTTTGCGGATGAGTTGTCCGTTGAGGTACCAGTTAACCTTGGGTGCTGGATAACCAGTCACTCTGCAGCGGAATCGTGCAATGTCACCTTCCAGCACTCTGGCCGGTTCAGGGAGCAGCACAATATCAGGTTTGGTCTTTTCATATTCGTCGTCAGTGGTGACTCCTGCAGGTCCTCCCTCATGAGCAATTCGCTCAATCTCATCCATTCTGTGCGGAGCCCTCCTTCCTTCGGGAAGCTGTGTTTCCTCGACAAGGCCCTTCTCATCCTTAACAATCAGGGTGGCCGAAGTCTGGTCGACTCCAAACTTGTTTGTGGCTCTGCAGGTGACGACGCCACTGTCTCTAGCGTAAGCAGCTTCATAATCAAGACTGCAGTAGCCAAATTCATTGACCATGCGTAACCTGTTAGCAGCATCCAGTGGTTTGCCATCATGCAGCCACTCCACTACCATGGTGGGATCACCGATAGGGGTCAGTCTACACTCAAAATGAGCTGGACCGCAGCGCTTCATTCTGATAGAGGTCAGCTTCTTCTTGAACTGTGGTTTCTGCTGCTTCTCTTTGTCATAAAGGTCACCCTCCTCCCATTGCTCTTGTCCATATCGCATATGAAGGGGCTCCAACTCCGGAGCTGCGATCTCCTTGGCTTTGTAGGTTCCTTTGGTAATAATGAGCTTCCTCTCAGCTTGAGGAGCAGTGAAGTCCATCTCAACGTTGACTCTGCAGCGAGTAGTGTCTCTGCCAGCCTTGTTGATGGCTGTAGCAGTGTACCAGGCACTGTCTGAGCCTGAAGAAGATGCAATCTGGAATTTGGCCTCTCCTTTAGTTCCGTCAATCCTGAAATACGTAACCATTCAGATACATTGATCAGGACATTTACTTAACTACTCTACAGCTTTACATATAATATTAAAATGATTCATAGCTAAAATTAAAGGTACATACTTGATATGTGGGTGCTTCTGTGGGGTGATAATGTCACTGTTTTTCAGCCAGACGATGTCAGGCAGGGGGTTCCCAATGGCTTTGACAGCCAACTCAACCAGAGTGCCCTGCTTCACAGTAATGTTCCTCAGCTTCTCAATAAACTGAGGGCGTGCCACGCTTTCTCTAGCTGTGGATGGTGCAGAACAAAACAATATTTAATAACATGATATTTTTGTGAATGCACTCCAGAAGACTAGCTGGTGGTTATAACATTAACATATATTGAATGTATCAGGCGGTATCTGACACAGACTTACCATCAACAGTAAGAGTTACAGAGACAGAGGTCCGTCCAGCTCTGTTCTGAGCGACGACTGTCCACTCTCCAGAGTCTTTTGGCATGGCTGGGACAATAATCAGGGACTGGGTACCATCCTCTTTAATCACTATCTTGTGGGTGTAGTCATTGACCACTTGTTGTCCTTGGAAAAGGAGAATAAATCAGTTATACAAGTGGCTGAAGCAACAGATAAAGGTTGGTTTCAAGAACAATGTCTTGTTTCTCTTACCATTGTGGAACCAGTATGTTTCAGGCATTGGTCTGCCAACAACCTTCAAGTCAAATCTGGCAGTCTGCCCCTCAGAGCATTTTATTGAGGAAGGCTTCATCACAAACACAGGTTTGTAGAGTCTTTCCAGCTGGGCCTCGTCTGTGTCATCAAGCCTGCGGGCGGGAGAACGTCCAGGAGAACGGCTGGAAGAACGGCCAGGTGAGCGGCTCAGAGAGCGAGGAGATGTGGATCTGAGAAAGGAGCAGCGTTGTTAGTATCAAGGTAAGTAATGGCTAACACAAGGAGTTTCTGGTCACTTGGCAAATGTTAATTGGTCTCCACCAACTACTAGGAAAATAATTGGCTCTTTAGCTGCTAAAGCTCAAAAATATTAATCTACTAGTCATTAACGTCATCTATCTGCCGCTTGATGCTGAGCAGGTAGTGTTAATTGTTTTGTATTTTTGTTTTGCTTTTTCACTCTCTCAAGAAAGTACGAGAGTGGTGAAAACCAAAAAAGAAAAGTTGTGGGATAGAAAATGAAAATGAGCTGGAAAAAGCTATAAAAATCTGCAGGGTTCAGAACAGCAGAGTCTTTGGACCCCTTTCACATTACAAACTGGTACCGACAATAATCACTTTAACTTTTTCTAGTGCCTCTTTGAAACAAGCACTTATGGCCTACATTGGATGTTTTTGACTTAGCCAAGTTACTATTTCTCACTTGTAAATTAAACCTCACCTGATCCTCTGCATCGCTGGCTGTGGTGTGTATCTCTGAGGTGTTACAGTTCCGGACGGCTCCACATACAGCTTCCCAGAACTGACTGAATTACCCTTCATGTTAGCTGCAAAGGCGGTATACACGCCCTCATCCTCTGGCAGCACAACAGGCAGACGAAGACTGGCTCGTCCATCCTGCAGGACCTCCATCTGGTAACGGCCACCAGCTCTGATGCGCTGGCCATCTTTGTACCAAACAATCTGGCAGACGACAGAGGATCATTTTAAACATCAATTTAACGTCTCAGCATTGGGTCCTACAAAGGGCTTTAAGCGTTGTTTTGTAAAAGTCTTGTAGAATGTATACTGACATTTGGTGAAGGCTTTGAAACAGCTTGTAAAACCTGTTGGCAGCTGAACGAATTCATAAAATGTTGAGGACCCCATAATGTCTTCTGAACCATATCAGACATATACCCAGCTTTGGGGAAAGTTGGTTATTTTAGTAATAATATTTTAGTAAGATTTCCAACTCAGTACCTTTGGCAGTGGCTTTCCACCCATCTTGCAGTGGAAAATGACGCCCATTCCGTCCATGATCCGGTAGTTTTTGACCGGCGTCTCAAAGGCTGGCTGCACTGCCTCCTCCTCTGCTACAGTCACCATCAGTTCTCCATCCTCTGTTACCAGCTCTCTGTAGGTAATTCTCATGATACGGAGCTCAATCTCCTGGATGATCCTCTCTTCAAAGGCTGAAATGAGGAATTCCTGCAACAAAATGTTTGGAATGTTTAACATGAAATATGAACTAAGGATTACTGAGACTGCTACATAATCTTGGTTTCACACAACTACATGTATTTAGGAAGAAAGTACCGTTTCTGAGACAAAGCTCATGGGGGTTGTCACCCTCCTCTGTTCCGTCTCGTATTGACTCACAACCACAGAGGGCTCCTGAATCACTGTCGTTGTCACTTCAGTTTTATATGTCACGTCATGCTGCTTCATATAGGCTTCATATGCCTCTGTAAACACAGATACACAAAAACTGTGAGCCAACAAAGCTTTCCTTAATGCATTCAAATGGTTTGGTCACAACAGAAGAGGCCTCTCTGAGGTTGGGCATTTCCTGGACGGAGAAACAAAAGGATGCTGATACCTTCCTCCAGCAGGCTGGCGGTGGCTGAGGCTTCTCCGTGGGAATTCTTTATGTAGATGGAGTATTCTCCAGCATCATCAGCAAAGGTCATGGAGATCTCCAGTTTGCATACTCCAGTCTCTTTCTTGTAGGCGACTTTATATCTGATAGCAAAAAACAAAGCAATAGTTATCTATCGATGTCTGATAAGTTGTTTTTTTGAACTGGGAACTCTACTGACCAGACCTCTGTCTCACAAGACCAAACCTGAACCATGGAGGAACTACTGAGATCCTTTATTTAAATAGAACATAGACCATGCGAGTGTTATATATTATATAATGCAATTATTTTTATAATACAGATACAGTGTGTATTCAGCACTTTACTGTTGTACATGGTCAAAGTGGAGCTAATTTCAAATATTTCATATACTTTTGGATAGTTTAATCTACAACAAACTATAATATTTTATCGGCTCACCATAAGTTTTCATGTAAAATCTTAATCTGTAAAGTCTGTCACATAAATGTAGTGGAGTAAAAAGTACAATAAATTCAGTGAAATATGGAGTAGAAGTATAAAGTGAAATCAAAAAGAAATTCTCAGATAAAGCACAAGTAACACAACTTTCCACTAGTGACCATTGGTCTGCGATTTAGAGACTAGAACCAGGCTATAAAAAGGTTTTGAAGAAGCTAAAGTAGGATTTGTACCTATATCCAGTAGTGAGTGGCACACCGCTCTTCTTCCAGATGATGTGGGGTTTGGGGTTTCCTCCGATCTGGCATTCGAAGACGACGCTTCCTCCCTCCACCAGCATCTGAGCGGTCGGTTTCTTGATGAAGAAGGGAGCAGCAGACTCTCCTGCACTCACCTCCGCCACCATCTGTTCCTTCATCTCAACGGAAACACTGAAGGGAAACAACAGCTCCATCAAACACTACAGCCTCGGAAACCTACATGTGATATTACAGTGGCTCATTGGGCCTGTTGGGTAACAATATGTCAGACTGTTACAACTCACGTTTTCTCTTGAGTGATTCCAGTTTCAGTGACAGTTGTCACTTCCTCTCTGCTTTCAATTTCTTCTGACACTACAACAGAGTAAAAGGTCGACTGAATGAATGCTGAACAAAAACTAAAACAGTGCATTTTTTAAATAATATCTACAGTTTTAAGATTATTCTCCAACTTTTTAGACAGACATTATTAATAATTTCTAAAATCAACTTGCAGACCTCAATCTATCACATTACATCTGTTTTACTGTTGGTATTTCTGTATAACTGTCGTGTATTATTAGGGTAAAAAAATACCCGCCTAGCACCAAATGCAGGTAAATTCTGGGTAAAATCAGTATAAAGTGTAAGGGTGTTTGTTCATTGTCCTACCACTATTACCTTTGACAAGCAGGTAGCAGGAGGTGCTGATGGTTCCTGCTTCGCTGGTAGCGGTGCAAGTGAAGCGGCCGCTGTCTTCAGCGAATGCCTCTCGGATCACCATCCTGGCAAATCCGCTATTGTAAGTGATCTGGAAGTCGATGGAGCTCTCGATCTGGTAGTCCTCTCTGAACCACATAATGACGGGAGCAGGGTGGCCACTGATCTGACACTCAAGGGTCACTGACTCGCCCTCTGTCACTGTCACATTCTTCAGGCCCTGAACAGCAAAAAGAGACACCGTCAGACACCTGGACAGACCAACGCTTTCAGTTTTCAATTGAAATTTTCACTGTATTTACATTGTATTGCATGTTCTTTAATCATAAACCAAATAATTGGATAGCTCCTTGTTTATCTGTTACAGTAATTACATTTTGGAGGAAATAAACAGGAAGTGGACAGGTAAAGTACTCACAGCAATAAGAGTGGGAGGAACAACAGGCTCCTGAGCTCTTGTGGGCACTGCAGCAGCCTCCTGAGGAAACACAACAATACGTGTCAAACTTCATCAAACACAGAAAACAGCAAGGTGTTTCTCAGCGGTGGAGTTCTGTGAGGATGGAGGGGTAGAAGCTGGTTATAACAGATAAAAACCCTGCAGAGAGGACAGAGGGATGAAGGTCAACAGGTGAAGACAGGAAGAAGAAGAAGAAGACTCTTCATGAGGCGGGTGAAGGGCAGCCTATGATTGGCTGCTGCGTTATTGTGAAGAGGATGAACGCGAGTGACAGTCCACACGGGGTTAAATTGGGGGAAGTGAATAGAGGACTACAGCGACGGGGTCGGACCAACCTGAGGTTCCCAGTCCTCAAACTCCTCCTCACTCACTGCGTAAGCTCCGCTCGGCTGTAACTCAAACTGACTCTGATATCTGACGTCTTTGAACGGCGGTGGGAGGGGCTCCGGCGTCACTCGCACCTCCACCGCCACTGCTCTGCGAGACGGACTGGGAGACTTGACGGGCTTGATGATCTTTCTGGGACTGTGGGGGGATCTTAATTCTTTCTGCAGAGTGGCGATAGCAGAGCCAGCGATGGACACCTGACCGAGCCAATGAGAAGAGCGTTAACCATCGTCACAAACAGAACTTCCAAAGTCCACGTTCAGGATTAGTGAGCAGGAGGAGCGGTGGAGAGCAATTAATTTTCCCAGCAGGGCGTAGACAGAAGTCTAGAAACACTGAGGTTAAGTCTTCCTTCTTTCATTGGAATATTTATTGTTTTATTTATTCACTTCATGTAGCCTCTGTTTTCCTCTGAAAGTGATTAGAAACTCAACTCAACTAAATCAGCCCCAACTGTCTCAGGACCATCTCCGTGCTGCCAGGTATTTCATTCTGTTTAGTTTGGGGAGTGTATATATGTTCCCAGGGTCTGAATTTCCCAGGGTCCATGGTTTCAAGGTCCTATGTGCCATATAAATTTGGGGAACATAGGACCCCAATATGTTCCTACTGGAATACTGGAACTAGCCTATGCCATACAGTATATTTTCTTATAATTATGGAATGTGAACTGTGGTTTTTAGACCAAATACAGAGCACCTGACCTCAGTGTGTTCAATGATAGCTACAGCCCTGAACCCTACACAGTTCCTATACAGAGATAGTCAAAAACAAAGCAAAGAAGAGGTTACCACAGCATGACAACGATCTGGAGAGGAAACATCAGTGCAGATCACAGACAGATCAGGACTGATCCTTTTAATTTGTATATACACAGAGTAAAGGGAGATCTGACTACTGTCTCTGCCACATTATATATCAATCTAACAAGAAGTGGCCAATAATTGATATCAGGCACACAGCCTGCAGATGAACAATAAAACATTTTTAATACCAGATTTGTTTCAGATTTTCAAGAGAAACAACTAGACTGACACTGTAGCAGTTTTTACTGACTTACTGGTTTAAAAAACAGACTGTTTTCATCAAAAACATTGGTCTGTAGCTAATGTAATGTGTTCTAATAAATGTGACAACTTTTGATCAACCCATATCAATTTCAGGTTTAAATGAACAACTAATCCTGCCCACCCATTCAGAGTATGAGTACAGGTAATTTAGTTGGTTGGTTGGTTACTCGCTAATAATGATAATGGTGTATTCGTTCATCCCTTGTGTAGTTCATATGTCTGGATTCATTATCTTTACTTAAGTGGATGCAGAAAATCTAAAACTAGAACTAATTTGGGAAAGTAGTTGAAACTGAAACTTAAACCCAAAAAACTGAAGCTAAATTTGATCAAACTATACATTTTAAGTATGTGTAATAAAACTACAGAGTAATCACATTTCATAGGAAACAATACAAAAGTTTGTAGTTCCAGTGGATCACCACAAACTGCAGCTGGTGGCTGTGATGCTGTGGTGGCCTCAAATCAGAAAAAGTGATGTAATATTTTAGGATGGGCGATACTGTGAGGAGGAAATCAAAGTGAATCACACCACAAAACAGTGGAGACTGTGTGTTAAGATGTGCGTGTGTTAAAGATGAAATGGAGGATTCTGGATGATGACGGCGGGCCTGCAGCTCCTCTCCTTACCTCGTGGCTAGGTTCGTGTTTAGGAACAGAAACTTTAGAAACTGTGAAATGTGGAACTGGGGACGGGGAGACACCAGTGTCCACATGGGAGGAGATTTCTGTTGTTTTCTGAATCTGGAGCAACCAACAGAGTTCATTGAGCGGTTAAGAAGACTCTGTTCTTATTGTCAGATATATAATATCATATCTAACATGAATTCAGTAAACTCCTCCGACCTGTGAGACCTGGACTCTGTGCTGCTCTGAGGTCACAGTAACAGCAGCTGGCGGTTCAGCAGGCAGTGTTTCTGTTACAATAATGCGTTTCTCTGCTGTCATTTCTCCGCCCTGCTGCCTTATCTCCGCCTCTACAGCCTCCTCCTCTTCAGCTACCCCGCCCTCCGCGTGCACACGGACGCGAGCAAGGTCAACGGCGGCCACCACTGTGGCCACCGCCCCGGCTTTTTTCCCTCCCTCAGCCTGGAGACACAAAAAGTAGCACAAAGATCTCAGGACTTACAAGGCAGGAAGTGGGGAGGAAGATTCTTGACCAAAAGACTGAAAAAATACTCCCATAGTGTACGTACAAGAGACAGAACAACATTGAAACAATCATAATCAATGAATCCTTGGAGCCATGCATCGTGCAACATTTGACCAAAACATGCAATTTACTCTTGTTAAGTGTGAAGCAAAGATCTTGTCATTTCGTGAAGAAGAGCAGGTACAGTGGGGAAATAAAGGGTGAGGAAGAGGAGAGTTCCAACAGTCGCTCCATTAAATGTGAAGAAATCCACCTTCCAACCAACCTCATCACATTTAACCACATCGTTACCTGCTCAGTTTTATGAATCGAGCTTGTATGTTGTACAGACTGTAAAGCGGAAGGATAATTCGGGCTCTAAACCCCACTATCAGATATCACATAACTGTTGCTACAAAAATAATCAGGTCTCCATCCAAATTTAGGACAAATATTAATCAAACTAACATAACAAATGAAAAACACGAATTTATGTGTATTTTCACGTGTTTTTGGCTTTATGCTCTTTTAATTGTATTTTGGTGTTCGTTATTGTTTTATTTAATTACATTTTGTGTATCACGGCTGTCATTTTGCCTAGTTTGTCAATGCACTTTGTAAACTCTGTTTATAAAAGGTGCTATATAAATAAAGTTATTATTATTGTAATTATTATTAATTGTTCTAAATGTCTTTCCTGATTAAAAAAAGGTTGTTGTTTTTTTATTTAAAAATTTAAAAAGAAAAGCTTTATTAAAAGCAATATTCTTCCGATTTCTGACATTTTCCACTGATTTTCCAAATGTTTTTCATGCACAAAGTGATACTGTGACTACGTGTAGCTTTTACACAATGTGGTGTCCCACAAGGCTCAATACCTTGTCCTTTTTATTTTAGATTCCCACCACTATGCCGATGACACTCAGTTGTAAGTTTCATTTGATTCTGTCTGTAAATCTGGCCTCTTTGTCAGTTTTTGTAATTTAAGTTCAAGCAACTTTATTTAAAATTTGAAAAAAAAAAAAGGACAGAGGTTTTAAAGCTGGTCATGAAGGGCAGGTAGGGGCTGTTAAAGTGACAAAGGTTCATCCTCTGGGAGCAAGAATGTGCTCAGTGGAAGCAACATTAGCTGCTAATATCTTTAACAACCCAAGCTGACTTATGAAGAGTGATTGAAGTGATAAAAAACAAAGAAGAAAAAGTGAAAAAAGATGAAGTGACGTGAAGCAGGTGGAGTGATGGTAGCAGACAGTGGCGGTCTACCTGCTCTCCGGATAGAGCGGCCTCAGACGGCCCCCGGCTACGAGCCTGATCCACAGCCGCCACCACGGTAGCCACCGCTATGCTCTTATCGTCCTGGAATACATGCTCGTCCTGACGCATTCACAGCACATCAACACATCAACACATGTTCACTCTACCACCAACACACAGCCAGAGCTGGGCCAAGGCACTGTTTCACTTCATAACATTCACAGTTAGTACAGTTATTGTATACTGTTGGCCCTTGTTCAGTATGCATTCACGTTGCTGCACTTGTATTCTTTAGATTTCCTTTCATCAAATCTGCTCCAGCTCAAAAACACATTAATCAAGTCACACATTTACACACTTATCTGGTCACCAGTTTGGTTTCTTACTTTCCTGAATGAATAACTTGGATGCTGATTCAAAGAAACTGTATTGTTTTAATCGGCCTGCATGCAGGTTCACATAAAAGCGTCAATTCAGCTGCCCCTTCCTCACCTCTCTGGTGGCGGTGACTTGCTGCTCCCAGTGTTTCTCCATATGAAGCTGGGTGGCGCTACTCACACTGGTCATGCTGCTCATAGTGGTGTAGCTGGCTTCAGCCGAATAGTCGCCCTGCTTCCAGGGTGGCAGGACCTCCGGAGAGGCAGATATCTACAAGAGGAAGGCACCATGATGATGACGGTTACCATGAGTAGTACATGTGCTGGAAGTGCTTCAGAAGAACCAGCTTGTGTCCTTCAGTGTTTGAATTTATTATTGAGCCAATCTTTATTTTACTTAAAGGCATACTATGCAGTTTTCCGGTTTTGTTAAACAGCTACCCCTAGAGTCGCTGCGGAGTACTTGTATTTAACGTTAACTGTCGTAAATACCACTCACCAGAGCTGTCTCTATATACGGCTCTGCGTCTCTGCACACATGGCCTGATCCCCTCCCCCCTGTATACCGGTACATGTTCAGTAGGATGGAAGCGTCGGACATCGAACAGGCAAAGACAGACTCCGAAGATGTCTACTGACAAGGTAACGTCTGCCTGCTAGTGTCTTCCATTGAGGCTGCCTCTTATGTCGCTGATGTATGTGACGTCGCGCTGTAAAGCAATTTTTTTTGATTTTCGCGAGATTTGGCAGGACGCCACTCCCAGACTTGCATTGCTGGTTCTGCCAACAACATCCCTCTCCTGCTTTGCTATCGGGATGATTCGCTATAGTACGAGTTCATTTACAATCGAAATGACTTCGAAGCTGTTATATTAAGGTAAAAATCTTGCATAGTGTAAGTAAAATTGTTGTAGCTATGGTGAGTTTGGAAAGTGTCCTTAACCTGGATGTGAACTTTTGTTCTTACCTGTTTCCTTGTCATCAAAGGAGATTTAACCGGTCTGATGGGAGAGATGGACAGTCTGGCGGAGGGAGACACGGGTCTGCAGAGGACAAGATTATAAGACACAATGTTTTCCGTTTGTAAAATTCAAACGTGTTTCAACATGCCAAGACTCTGATCATTTCTGTCACTTTCGTATCATCTTGCAAGACTGAGTCAGTGGTGGCGGTTGTACCTGACAGATGCGGGCGTCGGCCCTTTCACATGTCTGACAGGTGAAGGTGACTGCTGGCGTCCTCCCGTCATCTTGGAAACATAGGACGGTGGGGACTTGGAGGTCGGCTTTGGGGGAACCCGCGGAGGGGTTTTGTGAGCCAAATGCTGAGTCATCATTCCTCCTTCTACGTGCATCTCCATCATGGTGGTGGCTTGGAAACTGGCCTCCATCTTCTGGAAAAAAAAAATAATAATAATAATTACAGTACAAGTTATATGTGTTTTAATGAACTCTGTAAAAACGAATTAAAACTTAAATTAACCTTAAATGTACTTTTTACAAGATTCAGTTTAAACATAAATACACCACAAGAACTGCGATTGGTTAATGAACAAATCCAGGTGTTTTTTTATCATGTCTCACCCTCTGCACTCTTGTCTGGGAAGTCTCCATCTGGGATGTGGACACAATAGTCTTGGTTTTCTTTGTAGGTACAGCTTCCTCACCTGCAGCAAAAACACACGTGAGTTTAGGCTGATGTGGATACGACACTAAACAACATCTAAATCAAGACTACTCATGTTTCTGAATTGGTTAAAGGTTTACTTTTAAAGTACATATCATTGTCCATACATCACTTTCATTTCAATCTTAAATTTCAAATGATAGAAAAGGTCTGAGGTTCTCACCCTGAACCAGCAGTTCAGCGGTGGAGGTGGCACGCCCACTGCTATTGGTTGCAGTCACAGAATATGTCCCAGAATCCTCTGGGAAGGCCTCTGCGATCAGCAGACTGTACAGGTCGCCCTCCTGGAGGATCCTGAAGTCAGCTGAGCTCTGGATCTCGGCTCCCTCTCTGTAGAACTTCACCACAGGTGTTGGGATTCCTGTCACCCGGACATCCAGTCTCACCTGGCTGCCCTGTCTCACTGTCGAGCTCTGCAGTCTCTGAAGGAAGTTTGGAGGCGCCGTCTCGGCTGCAGAGACAGAAAATTGTTTTAATGAATTCATGTTTTAAAAAAGAGTCATAAAAAACCTTTAAAATCTTCAAACTGAATAAAAGACTCGAGCTTGAGAGCTGTACCTGAAATCATGGCATACACAATTGTGTCATCTGCATAAAAACATACATTAAATTTGATTTTTGGTCTGAAACTAATTATTATTTTTATTATTTTCATGATTAGTTTCTCAATAATCAATTAATGTAAAATGTAACGTCTTCAAACGTCTTGTTTATTCCGACTAACAATCCAAGACCCAGACATATTCAGTTTATAGTGTTAAAAACCAAAGAAAAGCAGAACATCCTCCTCAAGTGCTGAATTACTTGAATTACTCAAAGGTCCAGAGTGTTTTACACATTTAGGAGGATCCAATGGCAGAAATGGAATATAATATTCATGTATGTTTTCATCAATTCATTCAAAGATAAACATATAAGAATATAAATATAAGAATAAAGAATTGTATAGATAAATATTAAGTTTAACCCCTGGACTCTCTTTCAAACATTAAAGCTGGTTTATTATCAGCTAGTTGACATGTGGAGTTTTGAAACTGAGGACATGAGAGCCTTACTGGTTCAAGTTCAAGTTGTTAATCGCTTAATAAACTTGAGATTCCTCTTAAGGAAAGCTATGCTGCAACAGCTGCATCTATATCGGTTTTATCACTGGATTAAATAACAGGCCGCGCCCCTAATCTGAGAGCAGGATAAATTTAGACCCAACTGAGGCACAGAAAGACACAATTTTGATCCGTCGGATCTGTGAATAAAAGTTACCCACAGCGAGCGCTCACCTGTAACAAGAAGTTCAGCAGTGCTCGTGGCTTGTCCAGCGCCATTGGTGGCTCTGACGGAAAATCTTCCGCTGTGTGCGGCGGTCACAGCGGGGATCCTCAGAACAGCGCGGCCATCACTGAACGAGATCTGAATGCCGGGCAAAGCGGCGGCGGAAAGAACCTGGCCATCACGAAACCAGCTCACCTCAGGAACTGGAGAACCTGCAGAGGAGAGAAGCCAAAGATCCTAACTAACTGATGTGATACTGAGAGGATAGACATCTGTTTGATCTCTTTGGGTCCAGTACAGAGTTAAATCACAGGCATGTTTATCCTAGCTTAGCACAAAGACTGGAAGCGAGTGGAAACTGCTAGCCTGACTTCATCTAAGGAGACATTTAGCCTTTTCAACTCACAAAACACCCTCAGTGACACAATGGGGCAATTTATACTAAGATTAGCTAGCAAGAAATCCTAAATGTTACGTTAAATTATTCTGGTTGTTCTTTTGCTAATATCTGTTAGCTACCTTTATTATCAACTGCGTGTCGTTACTGCAACTGAGATCGCTAACTGCTGCTAAATAATGTCTCCTTTTTACATTTCTATTTCTACACCTCTTCAATAAACAACATCCGACAGTTGAAGTTGCTGGAAGGTGAATTTCTGTCTCTTTTGATAGAGTTAGGTGAGCAGCTAGCTCGTTAGCTACCAACAGCTAACACATCATCAATCACGCTAGCAGGCTGTTGCTACCATAACACCACAATAGCCTAGCACAATGTAAATGCTAACTAACTAGCGATAAACGCCACATGTTACACTGACTATGCTGTTTTTTGGCTACTCTTGCTAGCAGTCTCTGCTTCCACTTTTTGTGCTAAGCTAGGCTAAACACGTCTTGGACATGAAAAATGTTCCCTTAAACAAATAATAATTAAACAAATTGACAAAAACCAGCATTACTAACACTTTTAATTAGCTTGTAAGTGAATCCTGGCTTTAGCATCCATTACACCAGGAGACGTTCAGCAATAATAACATGCAGTTTAAAATCCAACTGGAATCAAAAGACTGTAACGTCCTTTAGAGGCTCTTCTCTAAGCAGCGTTGCATTAACTGCATTACTGGGTAACATTGACTCTGACATTAGCCTACATTGTGGGCTAAATATCTCCATACAGAACATTCTGGAATAAAATCGGAGGTTTCAGTTCAGTCATGAAGGGTCCTTACCACTAACTTGAGCCTCGAACGTCGCGGCACTACCCTCAAGTGCCACGACGCTCTGCAGCGGCTGCGTGAATGTCGGCGCCTGTGTTGACATGTTGGTCGGCACCCTGCGGACAGGACGGACAAAGAGACAAACTGTGAGAACAAAACACAAAAACAGCAGAGAACTTTCTAGATTCACCAACTAAAGAAACAATCTACATTTCACTCATTCATCCTCATTGTATATATTCAGGGGAAAAAGTTTTCATTTCTTTATTTACACATAGTTATCAAATGATAACATACATAAATAATCATCTTACTTTTATCATTATGTGACTGTAAAATAATATTACAGTAAAGTTGTTTTCTTTATGACCACGCTGGCTGCAGTAACCAAGAACAAACAGCAGGGGAGCCACTCCAACACTACCCACTGCTGACTGGACACAGGAGCATGCTGGGAATTATGCATTTTCCATGAAGACAACACAATATTTTACTTTACAGACTTGATGCCAATTAAAATGCCAAAAAACAGTCTAATTACTGGAAAACATTCCCTAGGAAAACACATTTAAAAAAGGATCATAGCGCCAGTTTCCCACATTTCCAGTGTCGTAAACAGTCCCTGCTCTCAACTACATTATCATTATAAAAAGAATTAACATCTCAAAATGTTCACTGCCATGTTTTATTGATTAATAATCCCGTTGATGTATTCTTTGATCAGATAATTCAGATTTGAAACAGATTTAGCTCCTCTAACACTGTCGGACTTGAGAACCAGAGGGATCACCGTCTGTATTCCACACATTCTTCCCTGTCAGAACCTGGAGCCTACGTTACCCACAATGCAACCCGACCTCCAACAGTTGGTGTCATTTATCAGACTTCACACAGCTCCTACTGGAGACACTAAACACCTTATACAACTTATTTCACATATGCAGTAGAAACTTTTCATTTAGTTCCTTTTGTTTCAACAACATTTAACATTTGACGACTTTTATTGTTCAATGTAAAAAAGTTTATTTTTTTAATTCTTTAAAAAACTATGAAACTCAAGTATCATATCGACACTAATGTCAAACACTTTTGACAGTCTTACTCTTGGTTTATTGGTGATACTGTGATATATTTATAAAAATCCAACACATCAGTTTACTGTTACAGGAACTGTAGTTAACCTATTTAGAGATGTTATTGACGTGGTGTGACGGTTTGACAGTGTATGAACAAACAACTGATGGTAGAAAATGAACTGAAAGCTGCTGGAAGGACCGAATCCTCTCCTGTTCACACTGCTTCACAAGATATATATTTTTATGTTCAGCTCCAGAACCAGAAGCAGTGTGAGAAACTACAAAGTGGCAGACAATCTCCTTCATACAGCAAATGTTTCCTTTAAATATGAATGTTTCCTGAGCTCTTTCAATCGCAACCATTAACCCAAATTCAACCTAATCCCTGTGAATTCTGCAAAAACCTTTTGTGCAATCGTAGTTTCACACAAATTATTTATTCTCACTGGAACAAGCAACTATTTTTAAAATTATCACTCGCTCACACAATTTCAATGGGAAAATGCCTAAAAACATCGCAACATTCATCGCAATGTTTCAGAAAACCTGCTGTGAAATCAGGCATTTTGGGCAGAAGCTGCTGTTTTAATTTCCTAAATTTGCACCAAACCTTCAAATCCACTGAGTTCACTTAAATTATGGAGATTTTGTTGCTAAATGAAGGCAGATGTCAAACCTCAGTACTTATTTGGTACCAATGTGTCTGCAGCACAAGAACTGAAAGAACTTATTTAAGTCTTAAGTCTGCCAGAGTCTATTGTTGTATTGTTTGTATTTAAACAAACCTCATGTACTGAGTGAATTTAGATTAACATTTCATTAGTTAAATGAAAGAAAGAGTAATGCAGAAAAAGATAATACACATATATAATAACTATATATTGATATTGTCAGCCGCTCACTAACAGCACAGAGATGTGTGAACTCATTTAGAAACAGAGTTCGTTTACTGTTACACTTTAAAACACACTTTAAATATAAATAATTTCCTGTGTTTTCTCTCTGACAGCTGACCTGCTGACAGCGAGACTCTCGTTCAGATCGTTGGTTTGATCCCTTCAGGGTTTATTTTTAGGAGCTGTGTCCCTGGAGGTGGTCCAGACTCCACGGGGTCTGGCTGATAAACCACCAGCTGATCCACCGCAGAGCTCAGAGCGGATTAAAACACCTGTTTAACCCCCGACGGGAACCGGTCTTAGGTTTCAGATCCAGTTCAGTTTCTGCTCGTCTTCGGGGGGGGGTAGATGTTGGTTGTTTGTAAAAACATATTTGTGGTTGTATATATAATATATATAATTATATATTATAAACAAGCTCAGTGACGACATCGTATAAAAACTAGAGAAGAATGAATCCAAATTTGTTCTATTTTGCTTCGTATTTCATATTTTAGTTTAGACTTAAATGTTTACTATTTGTATTTTTTTCAGCTAAAATAAAAGTGTTTTAACATCAGCCAACATTTACCAATTTCATCAAATAAAAGCAATGAATGTCGGTGTCTGAACTAATGAGTCATAATATCGGGTTAAAGTGTCAATTTTAGGCAATTGTTTGATAATTAATCTTAAATTAAATGTATTATTTTTATTAACTGATGATCGACCAATCTTTTCCAGCTTTATTTGAAAGATGGGAACAACTGAGACAGTCCAACCTAACAGAAATAATAATGTCTATCAGACAAAACTTTCAGCTTATCTGTAGTTTAAACCAACAACATACTGGGACCTGGACCAACTGGCCGGACTGCAACTGGTATCATAAACCCTCTAATGCAGTCAAATCAATCGTCATTGCACATTTAGACTGGAGACTCTGATGAAGACCTTTTAGTGGCTCTGATTTGACCTACTTGGACCCTTTTGGCCTCGACCCGACTGGGTTGGCTTTGATTTGTCCAGGATGGCCTGGAGCAGCATCTATCTGGTCGGCCCAGGGCTTCGTTCAATCTGGAAACGGGGGAGCACTGTTTCGTTGCGGTTTCCAGGTTGAACGAAGTGCAGCGGGCTCTAAGGTGTTACCCAATCAGCAGCGACGTTTATATAAACAACAGTGTATTAAGAAAAGTGTTCAACGCACCACTGATTATATTTAAATACACACTTTGCAACCTTTTGTCAGGGCTGAATGCACTCCTGGTTTACTTTGATTTAATTGTTCCTGATTATTTCCTGTTTGTCTCTGATTGGCCCTGGTTGTCCCTGCTGGCTCTGATTGGCCATGGTTGTCCCTGTTTGTCTCTGATTGGCCCTGGTTGTCCCTGCTGGCTCTGATTGGCCATGGTTGTCCCTGTTTGTCTCTGATTGGCCCTGGTTGTCCCTGCTGGCTCTAATTGGCCATGGTTGTCCCTGTTTGTCTCTGATTGGCCCCGGTTGTCCCTGTTTGTCCCTGGTTGTCCCTGCTGGCTCTGATTGGCCATGGTTGTCCCTGATGTCTCTGGTTGTCCCTGATGTCTCTGGTTGTCCCTGTTTGTCTCTGTCCAGCTAACAGTAGCAGCAGCTGTTTGACACCAGGTCACCTCAAACTGACGAGCTGAGAGCAGGAAACTCACATTGTGGTTATTAAAGGTTATAAAAACACCTCTGATTGGTTCAGTGTGAACTTCCTACAGCGTCTTCCAACTGAGAAACATCAGCTGACATTTACAGAAATGTAAAAGAGACATAATGTCCTATATTACAACATTTTAATCTAGCAAAATATTTGTGTTTAAAATCAGTTCAAGCCATTTATGTTTCTAATGTTTGTTATATTACAGTTGTTCTTTTTTACTGACGTGAAGTATTTAGTCTATTTTAAAGTTATTATACTGAAATAATGAATCTATTGATCTATTAGTAAATGATAAGAAATGTTATTGGCAACTATTTTGATAATTGATTAATCAATAATTCTCTGGCTCCAGTTTAGTAAACGTGAAAACTGCTTATTTATATGTACATGTTGTTTGTCATCTTGGGCTTTGGGAAACTGTGTTGGTCATTTTATATCTTCTGGACCAAACGATGAATCAAGAAAGCAGTTCCCATGATTGATTGATTGATCTGATTGACCCATCAGAGCTCTCCACATAGATGCAGACATACACATACAGTATGTTTCTGTGCTCAGACCTTTGTGTGTAACAATGACAACAATTAAAGGAACTTTCTCATTTTAGCCTCCAGACAAATAAACACAATTCATAGATAATTATTATAATTTCATGTCCATCTTTAGTTCCCAGAAATCCATTTGGACCATTTACAGGCACAAATTATATATCTTCAATATATCACAATCAATTATTTACTATTTAATTAACCCAGTTGGGCACAATTAGCATTTTGTATATTTTAAAGCAGCAACCAGAAACTTTCATTGTGTGTTGATTCTGGCGACCCCTGTGGACAACAGCGGTAGTGTTTCTCCTGTGCCGCTTCATTAATTTCAATTAAGTTTCATAACCAGTTAATAACTAGTACGTTCAAGTTGTTTTCTTTCAACATTCAGAATCCCCAAATCCATAAAAACACTGAAGACATTACAGTTATTTTATCCATTGATTTAACCCAAAAGGAGGCTATTAAACACCTGAATACTAAGCATCCATTAAAATATCAATAATCTGCACCTGAAAACATTTATAACTTTAATTTAATTTAATTTAAACCCCTTAACCTGATTAACACCATAAATAATCATTCATAGTTTTGTTAGTTCAAGTTAGTGAGTAAATGAAGAAGAAAGTCTGCATCCCATAAAGTCTATTTAATGTGTTAATTAAGAAAATGTAGGCGTTTTAAGAGGTTTTCAGATTCAACCCTCCAAAAATACCTTTTCATTGACTTTAATGTACATTGAGGAGTTTTCTGTGTGTTATCAGGGTTAAATTGAAGATTAATTCAGAAGATTTTAACCACAAAAAGCAACAAACAGAAGTCACATTTTTATCAACACCAGCTCACATTTAAAAATTTGTCTGTGTTACATTTGTGATTTCTATAAAACCTCAGATTCCTGTGAGGAAGTTACAGTCTCTGGAGGATTTATCAGGTTCCTGCAGCAGTTAAATCAGGTTTCTGAGAGTCCCTGAACACGACGCAGACCAGATCTGGTTGCAGCTAAACTTAATCTGATGACTCAACTGAATGTTAAAGAAGTGACAGGCGGAGGTCTGACACTCAACAGTTATCTAAGCTTATTAAAAACTGAATCAGTCAACAGGTTTCTAACGCGGTTAAAGGTGTGTATTCACTCAAATACTGGAGTTTATCCATCTTCTGCCTCTTTATACTTTTATTTCACTGCATTTCTGAAGTAAACACTTTTTACTGCACAGCATTTATCTGACAGCTGAAGTCATTGTTCAGATTTAGATTTTTTTTATCCGAAACAGTCAATCATCTTATTGAATACGATGTATTGTTGAAGTTTAACTCGCTAACAGTCAGTAAAAGTAGTCCAATAATAAACATACATATAGTATAATAGTGTAAAACTGCATTGTAAGCTTTAGTCATTGCTTTAGTTGACCTCTGCCTCACTATAAAGCAGAACTTTACACTGTGATATTAATACTTCACTAAAGGATCCAATTCTTTATGTGTCAACCTTTTTTAAATCAACCAGTTGTTTTCCTGTCAGCTTTATGTTGCGACAGGACAAAATATCTTATATAAACGTACTATTTGTGTTGTTTGCTGTGTTTTTGTGTTAGCGACAGAATAAAAAAGCTGAACTTCTCTTTCCCCTTTTTTCCAAGTGCTCAAACAATAAAAGCATTTTAATACAATAAACAAAAGTACTTGTTGAACATATTCAGATTAACAGGACTTCCACTATAAATGAATTGAATCATCAGTCAGTCACAGACCAATCATCGGCTCAAACAGGCCGATCAGAGTCGACATCCTGAGGATTTATTTCAGCCACAGTGTTTTATATCTCAGCACCTTAAGAACAAAACCACCGACACATCACATATTCTCACATGTGGCTTTTCTTTGCTTTTTTTAAACTTTGTTCTCAAACATGCTGCAGATCAGCCAGAAGAGTCTCTCACTCTTTAAAATAAAAACTAATAAACCTTAATGACACTGCAACAGCTGTTCACTCTCCTCCAAAATAAAAGCCTCACTGATGAGTCCCTGCTGTCAGTCAGACACTTCCTCCGCACAGAGCTCTGTGTAATGTAACGAGGGGGGGTTTATCTAACACAGGACACCAAACGCTAAAAATAACAGCAACCCCCTGCCCCCCCCCCAACCACACCTCAGTTTGATTGACAGCCACCATGTGGCACATAGCTGGAGGAGCAACTGATAGCCCTGCTGCTGATTCCCTTAAAAAGCCATCAGCCGCCCAGCTGAGAGTCCGGTCTGATGCTATCAGGGGCTATTCTGGGACGTCCCATTATAACCTTCAACGTGGAAAAGCAGCAAAAAGCCTTCAATGTGTCAGTGTCACTTTCTGAGAAGTGAGTAGAAAAGTGAATGGAGTCTGGTGGGAAAGGTAGAGTCTGGGTGTTAAACCAGCAGGCGACAGGCAGCTGCTGCTCGTCAATCACAACACTCTGGAAAACTTTAAACACACTTACTTGTCTGCACAAGGATGCCTGGGATGCCCAGGGGGGGCTGTCTTCAGGAAAATCAAAAATCTCTTTATCCAGAAAATTTAGTCAGAAAATCCAAAAGGAGAACAAGCTGAGCCTCGAAGGAACCCCACAGAAAAAAACAAAACTACAGGCCGTCAGCGCCGTGTAGTTTTGTTTTTCCTTCTGACAGCAGTCCCTCCAGCCGAGGCGTCCAGGCCGGGAACGCTGATTCTGCTCAGAGGAGCCGGTGGGACGGCGGGGGGCTTTATACCTCAGTGACATCACGCAGGGCAGGGCGCGCCATTGGTCAGCTCCGCACGGTCCTGCAGGGAATCATGGGAAGGACAGGGGAGCCATTTTATGCAACTCGTCACACCTGTCAGTGGTTTTACATCACAAAGAGACAGAGAGACAGTCGCTGCAGACACCAAACCAAACATCTAAATTAGGCTGGTTTATTTTAATGGTGGATTAATGCAGCAGTTATTGATCAATGGATTATTCATTTGGTATCATATGTCAATAAATGGATCAAAATGATGCTGATATAACTACATCATGATGGTGATTTAATAAAAAGTCTGAATTTATACTTTATTGGTTCTGTGTGTCTGTGAGTTTTAAAATGCTTGTTTTTTGAATGGAGTTTGGTTGATCAGGGTTTTAATAACAGACACTATGTCCAGCACTCTCCAGATAGTCAACTTTACTCTTTCACTCCTCCTCACTGGACCTTCCCTGAATGTCTTAAATAAAGCTTGGTTGCTGCTGGCAACTAACAACAACAACATCCCACAATTTATGACAGAACAGCTGCTTCCTCACAGGAATCTGGTCCTGAAGCTTTAACAGTTACAGAAATCACAAATACAACACCAACAGCAAACTTTAAAATGAGTTTATGAATTTCTTTGAGGTTCTGGGACGTCCTTTTGTCTCTGATAGAATATGAATGTTGATGAAGGATTGTTAGTTGCAGCCCTAATTGTATTTAATATTGTTATGTTTACACTGATGTTAGTGGATCTGAGAGTTAACTTAGTTTCTTATTTAGTGAGAAAAAAACATTGATCTCTGTCTTATTGTCCGTTAAGATAAAGTTAGCATTAGAGATACACGATGTGGATTTTCTTTACGATATCTGATCATTTCACATATTCGTATATTTTAAAAAGAAGTTGACGACCTGCAGTTTTTACACACCTGACGGTTGAAAGGCTGAGACACAGGGATTAAAGATGGAGGATTTAAAACATTCTTCCTCATTCAGCAGCTCCCTCTCCTCCACCGATGAGTGATGGACACAATTTCTGCCAAACTGAATGATCAGTAGTCTCTTTACAGATCTTTTATATCCTCTGATGTCTAAATAAATGACACATTAACAGAATATTTAACGATGATTTTATCCCTCAGGAGAACTCCTCAGACATCAGAGATCACAACAACTGCACAAACTGTGGAGCTTTTTCTTTAATGCTTCCTGGTGTGATTCCTACCGTACCAATCTGACTACAAATAATATTACACTCGGGACAGACGGACGATACAGCTGACACATCGAATTGTGATTATTTTGACAGATATTTTACCGTATGACTCACGATTAATGTGGGAATGATCATTGTTACCTCACAAATAAACAGCATTCAACAAGTAGGTCATATTATTATTAATATTAATATTAATATTATTGTTATTATTATTATTATAGGTATTGTTTTTATTTGAGGCTATCTTTGTATACCAGGTAAAATCTTTTCATTATAATGCTGTTTGTCACATTTTACATTGCATTTAACCATATTGTGATTTTATTCATATTTGGATTAATTGTGCAGCTTTATAAATATAAAAGTGTTATTGGTTATTTTCTTTCTTTTATTAAGGTTTAACTAGTTCTGCAGACTCTACCTCTGACACTGTATTACTTTAACTTAAGTTATTATATTATTGTACAAATTATAATTAAATACAGGAAACATTAGCGACCCTTAGCATCGTTGCTAACGTTAGCTGACACTGTAGCAACAGTAATGCTACACAGAGGCTGTATTTCCTGTAACATATAAACTCCACAAGAGTTATAACATTAATTTAAAGTCAATTAAAACTATTTAACCTGCGTTTTACTGTTAAACAGTTGGCATGGAGACACATATTAGCTGCTAGCTAACGTCACCTACCTGAAAGGAGGACAGCCATTGGTTGAACTTGATTGAAGTGCGTTCAGGGACACTCGGAAATTCAAGTGTTTCATCAATATTTTAACTTTGTGATACTGTGACATTAATTTGAGATACTAAGTCATTATTCATCATTAGCAACATTTTTTAAGAATTTAAAATAAATGATTAGCAACCGGTCATTCATCAGCCCTGATATGTATCGTGCATACCCAGTTTAAAAGGTCTATGATGATTTGGGAGCTGGGATTTCCTACTGTAAGTGAATGCCAACCAGTTAATTTCAAAATAAATTCAAAAGAAGATGGATAGATAATTCCTTTATTGATCCCTTTCATTTTGACACAGCAGCAATAGGGCAAAGCAGGGCAAATTCACAGTAAATATTATTATTAGAAGATATAAAAACTATAAATTAAAGTATATACACTAAAACTAAAACTAAAACTACTGAACTACTAAAGTGGAAATCAAATCCAAATAGTACAAAAGGTTTGAACGTTGTAGGTAGGAGTTCTAAACCAGTCTTTATCTGCTGGGGTTGGAGGAACTGGGAGCTGTGGCGTTGAAGAAGATCCTCCAGAAACCACCTGACAAACAAAGTCCCTTACATTTACCCAGAGTTCCCTGCAGGTAATCCCTGTGCAACATTATTGACTGTGTGAACAGTTGTGTTTGAAATAAAAGAACAAATACTGAACTAATTGAAGGATTTAATAAAAACAGGACAGCAGGAACATGAATCATTTCTTTATTTCAAAGAAACAACAATCTAATCACTCAAAACAGGATCAAATCTGAGACAAACATCTTCTCTTCACCAACCACATGTTGCTTTAATTCCCTTACATTTAAAATATTCTCTCCTTAAATGAGAAGCTTTCTAATTATAGGACATTATTACTTTCTGTTACACACAGACATTATTTATCAGGAGAGGTTAACTTATGAGAGCCGAGAGAAAATCATTTTATATTTAACGCTTTAATCGATGTTATTATTCTATTTATCTTCTTCTAATGCCTGAGAGGATTTTCAGAATAAAAGCATTGATGTATTTAAAGGAAAGTAAGGCCGATGTATGGAAGTCCGTTTACACCCAGAAAATATGTCTTTACTTACTTAGAATTTAAAACTATGAGACATTAAATCTTTTTTTGGTTTACCAATATTCTGATGTACGATCTTAAAAAATAAACAATTTATCTCAAATTATGATTTAATGTGTCTGACTAAGAAAACCAAAAGTAAAAAGTTGAAACTTTTCTCACCATTTAACTTAATATAATTATAACTATACTTTTGTTATGTTTTATGTTTCTCTTATTGTTGTATCAGTGTTTTGTTTCTGCACCAATATTGTAAAATTATTCACAATAAGAATTTAACTTAATCTCTTAAAACAATTTCATAAATAAAGCTGCAGTTTTTACTTATTATCTTCTAGTTATTAGTGATCACTTTGTTATTTTTATCTTTCTTTAAAAAGGACCAGTTTGTAGGATTTAGTGCCGTCTAGTGGTGAAACTTCAGATTACAACCAACTGAAACCCCTTCGAGCCTCATTCTAGAGCCAGTGTTTGTTCTCAAATGGACTTCAATAAAATAAAATAAAATGTTAAAGCACAGAGATTCAAACTATTTCTGGCCTTCCAGCTTATTTTTTAGGCCCCAAGATTCTCAGTTCTGTTCATGTGAAATGGACTTTAATTTAAATGTTTCAAACAAATGTGAATATAATATATATATATATCTGTGAATCTGTGGAGTCTGGACCCCAACAGACCTATAAACAGTGTGTATTACAGGATGTTTCCACTACAGGAAATTAATAAGACAAGCTGAAATTTGGTCTTAATTAATAACTCAGAATAGTTAAGATGCAAGGTCGGGTGTTAATTATACAGGTTATATTCTCATTCAGAATATACAATATAATAATTCTTGTTATTTATGCAACTATGAGGTTGACGGTAGAGAGATATTACGACACAAAGCTTTACAGCAACAGTGAGATACATTATTTTCTCTCATTCTGTTGATTCTGGCGCCCCCTGTGGTCAAAAGCAATATTGTCTCTACTGCTAGTTTTATTGATATTAAAGGGAATCTGACCCGGTGGGGGGTCTCTGATCATCCCAGGTTTTTCAGTGTCCCCCCTCTGTTCTCTGATTGAGGAGCAAGAGAGGTGGACCTGAACACACACTGTCTGATCTGTCTCAGCGTTGCCTTTTTAAAGCCCCTACAAGGAACTGCCATTCTGTTATGATGGTGCCCCCTGTGGACAACAGCAGTAGTGCCTCTACCTCCTCGTTTCATTGATTTCAAGGGGAATCTGACCCGGTGGCAGACATTAAGAATAATGTGGTTCATACAGAGACATCAGTATTAAACTGAGACTGTTTATAACCAACCGAACCAATTGTTCTAAATAAACAGGAAGGTTACAGGTTAAGTTCCTGTAGTGGAAAAAGAGTAATCAGAGTACTATCAGGTAGAGCAGCCACAGCAGAACACACAGTGTACCGAACCAGGTCTGCCAGTCCGCACTGATGATGTCAAACACTTGGGCCACCAGCCACTTATCTCCGCCGCCGTTATCTTCTGCCCGCCGCTCATCCTGATGGTTGGCAGTCCGGGCCTCGTGGAACCCGCCGTCTGAGTCCGACGCATACAGGAAGTGTTCCCTATCCTCGCAGCTCAGCCCTCGGCCTGGGCCGGTGGCTGACACCTCTCCATCTTTAAACCTGAAGCGACCATGATGACAGCAGGTCAGACAGCACACAACCTCACTGTGGGCCAGAGGAAGCCTGACCACAGCTCTCACACAGTAAATATTTTACATCACAGGATCCCCGACTGCGTCACCAGACAGCCAGATTAAAGATTAGAAACGATGTGGCTGGATGATGTGATGTGTTCATGCAGCGGGTTGTGTTCAGTGTTAGCTTCACTGCCTCTGGTTTGTTACTGTGCGCACAAACAAAATAAAACACACTGTTAACTAGCAAACTTATGTTAATTAGTAATTCATTATTAAAGTAAAAGTACATTTAAACCTGCAACGTCTAATCATTCCTGGATCAGCAGCTACTGTACCTCGACTGTCTGCATGGAGCGTCCGGTGTTCGATACCAGCATCAATAGCTGGTTGGAACATGTTTCTCTGTCTGCACGTAAGCTTAAGCAGCTGTCTATTTTGGGCTTTTTAGGACAAGATGGACAGGAAAGGGGAGAGAGAGGTGGGAGAATCGAACCCGAGCTGAGGACTCTACCAGTTGAGCTACCATGCGCCCCGAATTTTGGGTCTTTCATATTTCGAATTGGCCTCCTGGCAGAAGTTGGATCAATCAGCTGGTTCGACATGCAGGAAAACAAAGAGTCAAAACAACGACTGGAATACAGATTGCACTTAGTGAGCAAGCTAACATCAGTTAGTGCTTGCGAGCCAACTACTGAAACTTCTTCTTTAAAGCATGGTTAGAAAACTTGTTAGCAACTTAAAATTATATTTTTCCACAGCCTCTGCTTTAGATATTGTTCTACTCTTTCCTTTTAAGTGTACAGTTGTGAATAAGCAGTATCGATAATAAATTGTGGAAAGCTATAGGGAGGAAATCTGTTATGGGCATTTTCAGCTAAGCTAACTCTAGCTCAAAATGTATTTACCCAACTGTAGACTTACAGGATGATGTGTGTTCATTAAACTTTAAGTTTACATTAATACATCAGCTAACAGCTATTCTCTATATACAGAGTCACATGGTGTCTCTCTCCCTCTGCCTGTGTTGTATCGCAGCCTCTCTGTGGTTTGTTTCCATAGCCGGTCTGCTCCGACTGAAACTGCTGTTTTTATCATCTACGTCGGTGAATTAAGGATTTATTTCCACCAAACCAGAGTTGGTGATTGTTGGAAACACTAACAGAGACGCTTTCAATGAGTTTGATTCTGTTTCTGTCTCATAGTTTTGGTCTGAGATGCTGGTGCTCTAGTACAACTTCCAGTTGCAAATCAATTTCATATATATAACCTTTAAGTATTACTATGTGGATGAATACAAGAGATGTTTCAATCCCTTAAACCTGCATTAGTATGGGTCCTAGTTGTTAAGCTTCATCACACTATGCTCAAGGTGGGACGTTATCGGTTCTTCAGATAAAGACAAAGAACTCCCAAGATCAATAAAGTTTCACAGGAACACACAGCTTTAATCTCAACTGTTGTCCATTAGTGGAGACCAACAAACAAGGTATGATCCAGATATTTCATTTCAGCTACAGGAGACATGCTAATGCAGGTGTGAAGGAAGTCTTAAGGTGAGTTCTGTAGCTAATAATCTCATAAAGCTTGTGTGTTATTGTGGAGCTGGTTATATGCTACCCACCAGGTGAGCGTGGGCTCTGGGTGTCCCGTCACCTCCACCTCTAGCGTCACTGGAGAGCCCTCCATGACGGTAGCTCTAGACAGGGGTCTGGTGAAGCAGGGAGGGCCAGGTTTAGAGGCTTTTCCCTGGGGAAGAGACTCTGCCTGGGCCTGGGGAAGAGGAGGAGGAGCAGGAAGGGGAGGCCCTTGGATCTGAGGAGTAAGCCTGATCTCCTCACGGATGGCCACGGGCTGACAAATGTTTGGGTCTTGGTCTGGAGTTAGTAGATGAAGTGGAGAGGAAAGGGGGGTGACATGCAGATTAGCCTGCTGAGCCAAAGCTTGGGATTCAGGGTCATGCACACACTTCTGGGTACAGGTGGAGGTCAAGGACTCGTGATGGGAGTAGACTGTCTGGTGGCTCTGCTTGTTGCTCAATCTATTACTGATGGTACTGCTGGATAAACTGATGTTGCTGAAGCTGTCTGGAAGAATGGGGGCATTGACCTCGGGTAGACCTCCATTACTCTGGGAGAAGGGGATTCCTTGCTGTGACCTGAGATTGCTGCTCGCCTGTGGCACATTGCAGTGACTGTTTGGAGGGGAGGACTGACAGTAAATGTTCTTTGGAGTAGAAGCTGTGGTTAGGTTGCTGCTTTGGGGCCTGGAGGGTGTTTCTTGGCAGGTTTGGGAGGAAGGTACATCCTGATCAAGGCCACTCCTGGAATCCGGGTAAGCCTGTGGAAGATTGTTGTCTTGAGAGGTGGTTGTACTGGTTTGTGGACACGTTGCACAGGGTTTGAGGAATCCAGTGTCTTGGGTTCTTTCTTTATGGAGAACAGAGTCTATGAGGCAGGAGCTCTGAGCCTGGGGGACTGGATCCAGCTTTGGTAGGGTTTCACTCTGGGATAAACGGCTTTCTTGGGGTGAACTGCTGCTACTAGCCTGTGTCAAGGTACAATTACTGTTTGAAGGGGAGGACTGGAGGTAAATGGTCTGCTGGGTAATTGTACTGGTGCTAGTGTTGGTGAGACTGGTTGTTTGAGGTTTGGAGACTCGGGGCGTTTCCTTCCTAGTCTGGGAGCAATTTATGTCCTGGTGGAGGTCACTCTCAGAGTCAGGGAACATAGTGTCCTGTAGAGGGGTCTTGTTCTTGGGGAGATCCTGCTCTGGACCTGAGGGCTGAGGAGAATAGCTGGACTGGGGGAAGAAGGGGTTGCCTTTGGATGAAACCTTTTGGGTGATCTTACTCTGGTTACCTGTCTTCTGAGGCTGGTTATACTGACTGGACAGACTCCTCTTCTCAGGGACATTGATGTCCTTGTTGGAAGAACTATCTGGAGTGATGTTCTTGCAGGTTGGGTTAGATCCAGTTGGGAAGCTCAGTTCAGAGCCACCCAGGGAGAGGTCAGCACTCTGGGGGATGTTGGTAGTGCTGGTCTCTGCAGTTTTTAGGATGCCGCACAGAGTGGTGGTGAGCAGGCTTGGAGCAGGAACTGTCAACGGACTCTGGACAAACGAACTGGAATCTGACCTGAACCTGTAACACAAACAACAGGAACTAACTAAATGTGGCCGGTGACTTTTGTTGCATGTCCTCATTGTCCTTCTCCTGCCTCCGACAGCATTAGATTACCGACCAATGAGGCAGGGTAACGAACCTCAGTACTTTTTGAGTATTGCATTTATGTCCCAAAAGCTAGTGTGAGCTCTGCCAGGTCTTGTTTACATATTCTTGGACTAGATATTACATTTTACATTTCCTCCATATGTAACATAATTGCAACACAGTGAGCATTAATCTGCTCCAGTCTTCGGGCTTCAGACTTTTAAAATTTGGTTGCAGGGATCTGCTCCCATTCAGTAGGTGGGACTGTGATTTAGTGGACGGGTTAGCTACACTCAGTGGCAAAAGAATGTGAACCTTTTTGTTCAGATCAGATCAATGAACCATATAATGTAGTCAAACTCTAACTGCAGCCAGTAGGGAGAAGAGTGGAAACATCTTTTCCATTGAGAAAAGCCTTCCGTGCCGTTCTTCCTCTCTTCATTCAATAAAGAAATACTCTTTAGTTCTGATATAACTGATGCTAGCAGCATCTACGCTAACCTCTTTAGCATTTTGTTTTAGAGCAAGCAGTCACTATTCACACATTGCAGCCATGTCCATAAACAAATGGTTTTCCCAATTTGGTATGAAAGACCATGACTGATCAAGTACTCAACCCCATCGAACACTTTTTGGGATGAGTTAGAACGATACCTACAGGCCAGGCCTCGTCACTCAGCATCAGTGTTGGACCTCACTGGGTGAATGGGAACAAACCCCCTGCAGCCAGGTTCCAACATCTGGTGGAAAGCCTGAATCCAGAAGAGTGGAGGCTCATTGTGTCTCAATCACGTTACAGTGTAACTTATGGAGAACATGTTCAGCTTTTTACTTCATGTGTCTATAATCATAATAGCATACAAACACATCTTAAAGTGACTCTGATTTGTCCTAATACAGACCTGGTGCTGCTGTGAAGGCTGGTGGGAGGAGTTGGACAACTCTCTGTTTGTCTGGACTCTCTCTGCTGTCGGACTGCACCAGTACCAGTCCCACTGTGGTCTGACTGGGCACGGCACTGGTGGCTGTACTGGTTGATGTGGACGCTGTGGGAACTGAAACAGAAGCTCTCCTCAACGTCTGACTGCATCATGTTGGACTCTGGTGTCTCTGCCAGCGGCGGCAGGGAAATGTCGTCAGGTGACGCACAGTCGTATTCATCGTTGGAGAGAGAATCCTCAGTCAACACTTCCTGTTCCAGGAGCTCCGCCTCCGACAGACCTCCTGCTGATGCATCCTGGGTAGAAAGTAAAGGTGAGTATTAGGAGGTGATTTAGGCACAAAATCTGTCTTTAACTCTTAGATAATTAACCTGAGGCGGCGTCATGTTTAAACCACAGGTGTCTCGCATCTCCTTCCTCTGAAACTCCTTCTGAATGTCAGAGAACAATGGGCCAATCACAGAAGAGGGAGGGGGCGTGGCCTGAGGCTCAGCAGCGGCCGCCTGGATTTGGCTGTGTATGGCGCAGACCCGTCGGTTGGCCTCCACCGGGGAGCAGGAGAGGCTGACGGTGTGAGTGGAGCTGTACAACTGTCTGTGGCTGGAGGAGAGACGACACAGTGAAACTTTATTTATACAATCATCATACAAAATATTATTATTGATGATTATTGATACAGACAAGATTTGAACTAAACGTTGTTCACCTATGAACAAACTAAAGATTAGAATACAACATAAGATTACATTATTTTATTTTACTTCTTGTACTTTCGTCCTGAGAGTGGCGCTAGAGGTAAAGGTCATGTGATCTCAATCAAAGCAGTCTACCTGCTCTCTGTGACGGCCGTCTGTCTGTCTGCGTCCTGACTGCGGCTCTTCTGTAACGGACGCTTCCTGTTGGCTGCAGTCTGCCTCTTCACTGGGACCTCCTTCCCATCATGCTCGGCGGTCAGTTCGGGGGTGTGGCCTGTCTCCTTCAGTTCGTACTGGAAGAAAAGGACAGAGATGAGCTTTAATGTCCTCACAATACCAAATGATATAACATCTATAATATATAATGATATCAAATTAACAGTTTTTTACCATGTCAGCCGCCTCCTGACTGCTGCGGTTATCCGTCTGCTCCTTCTTTTTCAACTTTCTGTTTTCCTTCAACTTCTTCTCATTGTCTTTGTCTTTCTCTTCTGTCTCATTCTCTCTCCCTCGCTCCGTCTCTTCCTCTTCCTTGACCTCCTTCTCTCCATCGTTCTGCTGCTTTTTCAGATTCTCCAGCTGAAAACATCAAAGCGACAGCAGTGTCATAATCCAGGACACATTTATCATCATCTCAGAGTAGAAAATAACTCCTAACTGGGCAAAAAGTCTGAGTGACAAATGCGTTGTGTATATCTGTTTATTACCTTCAGTTTGGCCTCTAACTTCATCAGTCCGTCACTCAGCTCTCTGATGGACTCGACCATCTCTGAGTGTTTACTGACCGTCTTCTCAATGTACCGCTGCCCCTCCTCCACCCCTGAAAAACACACACACACACACACACACACACGTAAAACACCTACCGTCTCTGTTTGAGCACCACTGGATTAGATCAGCTTTCAGAATAAAAGCATCCATTCCTCATTCTCCTGCCGTTACTCACCGTGCAGTCTGACAGCCAGCTCAGCAATCTGACTGATCCTCTCCTCCTGCTGAGGAACCGTCGGCCAGACGAACTTCTCAAACTGTCGGTAGAGAACAGAGACAGCCTCTGTGCTGCGACACTCAGAGGAAAACTTCCCGACGCGAGTGATGGTCGCACTCGCCTCTTCGCACCAGAACTGATACTGTTAATCCAGAACAACGTGTAAACGTGATCTCATGTTTAATCCAAAAAACCCAATTTAAAGAAAAAAATGCCTCCAGTGTTCCTCACCTCCTCCATGGCCTGCTGCAGTCTGCGGGTCATCTCCAGTGTTTTCTGGTGGTCGCTGACACTTCGCTCAAAATCTCCCATCTGCCTCTGCAGCTCGTTGACGGCATCCTCTGCCTCCCGGGCCACGCCCCCGTCCTTGACCTCCAACCCCAGCCGGCCCGTCACACCCTGCAGACGCTTCCTGAGTGCCTGCAGGATCGGACAGAGCGGAGCATGATAGACCCGCCTCTCACTTCTCAGCTACTACATTAAGTTATTTATGTTACATAAGAGTCGTTAAAATCAAATCGCAGACATGTAAGAGTTGTAAGAGTCAGATACAGTTTGTTTTCTTCCACCTTTGTTATGTAACGTTGTCATTTGTGAACAAACTGAGTGGAAAATGACACACTAATGTCTAAGTCACCAAGAATTCAGAAAGAAAGATTCTGATAAGAAAAGACAGGAGAGGCTCAAACTGGGGATACTTTTTTCTTTTCGTTTGACATTTTTGCCTTTAACGGACTCATTATATTAATAATATTAATAATATTAATAAGGAAACATAGAGAAAGAGACAGATATAACATGAAACAAAGGTCTCTGGCTGGAATTGAACCAGGGACACTGCTTGTATTTGGCATGCGGCCCAACCACTCAACTACTGAGGACCCTGCCAAACTGACCACCCCTTTGCTTCTGAATGGAAATCCAGTTGCACAAAGTCCAGATCACAGACTCAGATCAGGAGCTGGACTTACCTGCAGCTTCTCCTCGTACAGCTCCACCTGCTGCAGCTGGTTCCTGACGGCCTTCGTGTTCCTGGTCCTGTCGTTTCTCTTCAGGTAGTTAAACTTCAGGTTGCTGAAGCGTTTCTTCAGCTCCTTAAAGGAGTCACGGAGCTGAAACATGAAGCATCAGAAAATTACTCGCCAACAGAGTTTTATGTTGACAGAGGGACTTCCAATGTAGTTTGATCTGTGGTGCAACAAGCACATACTTCACTGTTGATAGGTCGCATTATTTTTCAATTAAACAGATAGTTTCAAAAATAAAATGTCAAAATGCATTTTTGAATCTGTAACCAACAAAGATTGTATATTTTCAGCCACCCAAGGCTGTATGTATGATGACAACAATTAGGTCCAGACTGAAATATCTCAACAACTGATTTCTGTCCAACTTCCAAGAGGATTGATTCCCTGAATGATCTGGTTTTGGGCGAAATGAACTTTTGGAATGAACTTTGATGAAATTGAACGTTCATGTTCGCCTCAGAATTAAATGTAATGACATTAGCAATCCACTTTTCATTTAGCACCATCATCAAGTCAATTTGAATACGTTTATGACCAAATACCGACATAACTAGTGACATTCCTATCCCATTAAGAATAATAACATCAACCTGCTGGTGGCGCTAGAGGAAAAGATACAGAATCCCAACAGTCAGTAGTATTCATCCTCTGGCGGCCATGAATGTTCGTGGCAATCCATCAGGTTATTTGTTGAGATATTTCAGACATTAACAGGGCTTATGAATAGTTCACATAATATTTTATATTGTATACGTCATTTATCTTATTTTTGGTCAGAGCTGTTCTAACTGCGTTTTGTTTATCTTGGTGTCGATGTAACTGCATGCAGACGGAGCTTTGATAAGATTATTTTTAGAGCAGGAGGGTTTAAATCCAGCAGGACATTTCTGCCTCTGACGGGAGGAACAGCGGTGTCAGATGGCTGATCTCGCTCTGGACAGCTGAGAGAGAGAGAGAGCGAGAGAGAGACAGAGAGAGAGGGAGAGAGAGAGAGTGTAAAGGAGACAGAGACGGCGTAGTCTATTCGGTGAACAGATGAAGAAGTTGAAGTCAGAGGTTTAGGAGGTCTGACTGGTTTTCTAACATTTGTTTCCATCCAAAAATTACGGTGGCCCTGAGGTGCAAATCACAACGGCAAATCAGAAAACACAACACAAAAAGAGAAAACACAACGGCAAATCAGAAAACACAACGACATTAACCAAACCGGAAAAGGTAGGTACCCTCGGGCGACATGAGTCGTCGCTGATTGGACAAAAGAACTGGTCCGTCCTTTGAACCGGAAACACAACACCACCAGACCTATGCGTTCAAGTTGCCAAATCTGAAAATTCAAACCACTAAATAAGGAAAATATTGTATTAATACGTCCATGTTAATGTGGGATACCTAAGAGAGGTAGAAACAGGGGTTCCAATAGTCCATATCTATGTGTTTTCTGATTTGCCGTTGTGTTTTCTCTTTTTGTGTTGTGTTTTCTCTTTTTGTGTTGTGTTTTCTGATTTGCTGCTGTGTTTTCTCTTTTTGTGTTGTGTTTTCTCTTTTTGTGTTGTGTTTTCTGATTTGCTGCTGTGTTTTCTCTTTTTGTGTTGTGTTTTCTCTTTTTGTGTTGTGTTTTCTCTTTTTGTGTTGTGTTTTCTGATTTGCCGTTGTGATTTGCACCTCAGGGCCACCGTAAAAAATCGTTGGGGGAAACCCTGGAGAGAGTAAGGAGTACAAAGGTTACATTAAAGATTGCCCAAAACTACCAGGAAGTAAACTGAACTACCCCCAAGGACCAAGAGATCCCATAAACACCCCAAAAGACTACAATTACCCACAAGTACTGTTAACTTCCTCAGACCACCATGAATGCCTATAAAGTGTCCCAGAACACCACAAAGTGCTATTAACCACCTGTAAGGACCATGAAGTACCCCAACGAGACCAACGCAGAGTACAAGAAAGCACCAGAAAATATCACAAACTATCCTGCAGTAGCATGAAGAACCCCAAAAGGTTATTGGTTATAATCCCTGAACCATCGGAGGAAACCTAGTTTGAGTCAGACAAAACCTACACTAATGATTCATTTCAATTTCAATAAAATTTTATTTGTATCGCGCCAAATCATAACAGATGTTATCTCAGGACACTTTTCATATACATCAGGTTTAGATCATACTCCTTATAAAACTATTTACAGAGACCCAACAGTTCCCACCATGAGCAAGCACTTGGTGACAGTGGCAAAGAAACAGGCAGAAACCTCAACCGGCCCACGGCTCTAGGTGAGCGGCCACAGTGTACCAAGAAATAACCATGTAGTGTCACAAACTACATCCGAGGACCATGAAGATTAAGAGAGTAGCAGGAAGTATATCAATAAAATGATCCACAACGACCAGGATGTGTCAGGAAGTAGAGATAACCTTGAAGTAGCCAACCCAACACAAAGACCCCAATGGTACCCTGTAACATCTGAAAGATATACCCTAAAACCCCCCTCAGCTTGCCATAAACTACCAGGAAGACGACCATAAAGTATAATTAAATTACTGTAGTACTTCAGATATCTACAACATGAAATACCATAGAATAACTTCACTGTGGGTACTTTGTACACAAACCTAATTCAAATATCTTTCAGAGTTCAGCTGGTGGACTCTGGAGGATCCTTAATGAGCACCAAAAATACCCTGAATGTCTGCGGTGAGAATACCAATCCACCAACGAACACAAATAGAACCAGTCCACAGCAACCAGTCATGTTTTTGAAAGAAAAAACCTCATCATCTTCCAGAAGTAAATGTATATTCCCTTCAGGTGACTCAACAGTGTGGACACAAACAAGTCCAAAGGGTCATTCTGTGTCTCACTTCTTCCCTTTACCCTGGAGCTCACCCCTCATCCCTCTGATTGAGTGTTTATGAGTTGGATTAGTGGTTGTGTCCTATTACAGAACTACAGAACAGTGACAGTTAAGCTTTCCAAATGGAAATTATTCACCACTGATCTCGTCATCGAGGGCTTCCCCTAGAGAAACGCTGCAGTAGTGCTGTGAGTGCACACTGCCATCACACACCAAGTCTTCAAGGGGACCGGAGGGAGTAAAATGAGATGAAACTGGAGACTTCTCTTATTGTCATGAACACTACAAATTTCAAGCTCTTTTCCAGGCTTCAATATGCGCTTGCAGCCCAACTACAGTGGTACCGGAAAGTGCCTGAATTGGACCAAAAAAGGTGCCAGTACCCTAAATCAGCACAACCCTGACCCTAAACACAACATAACCCTAATTCCTTTGCCATTTTTAATCCTAGCTATGTGTTCACAGATACACTTACACAGGCATCTGAGTACCTCAATCTTGTATTACCTACTGTACTAAAACTACTGAGTTTTAGAAATACTGAAGTCCAAAAACTGAACTTGCTAGGCAAAGCAAAGCATCAAAATAAAGCTGTTTTTAGGCAATTATTGCAAAGTTATTTGTACACCTAGGAAAAAAACAAGGTCCGGACCCGAGTGGTGGGTACGGAGAGTTTATACACTCAGTCAGTGAGTCAGAGTGTATCATTAAGATAAAGTAACGTCAGTGTCAAACTGCATGATGCTTTTATAAATCTAAAAGGTGACAAACTCCAAGAAACAAGTCTGTTTGTCTCTGTTTGTCTCTGATGTCCACCCCAGCTGCTCCTGCAGGTTTCAGTGCGCTGGTGACATGCAGCACCAGGTGCATGATGGGAAATACCCGTTGGCTGAGTCGTCCTGTATTTCTGATCTGTCCAGCTGACTCCCCCTCTCCCTCTCATGGTCTCCCTCTCTCTCCCTCTCTGTCATTCCTCCAACAGCTGCTGCTGCTCTGCTGTTCAGTGACACAGCAGATTGAACCACTAACACCAGTGAAACCAGTAAAATGTCAAAGAACTGAAAGTTTTATAATTTGAGAGATTTACCTGAAGAGGGCACCAACATGTTCGGGTTGATATTTCACTAACATCCATACAATAACTGCTGGGGTCGGACTAAGTCAACTCTAAATGACGTTAATGCTAACCAATAACGCATCGGCGCACAAATTGCTAACAGCACGTAGACACGTTTCAACCTTCAGTCCCATTAAAGCCATCTGACCTGTTTATGATATTAAACAACCCAGTTCATATCATCAATTTAACTCAATGTGCCTCTTGTAAACTTGAGAGATAAATAAATGGATTAAGTTTTTTTTCATGGAGAGAAGTTGAGTTTTCCATTCACCTCAATACAATTTGGGAGCAGCATCTAGTGGACATTATATGAACTGCAGCTGAACACACTTCACACAACTCCGACACTCAGCTGCTGATAAAATCCAGAAACATGAAGCAACTTTTTTAGTGTTTTCCAACCCGCCACAACTCTGCTTTTTCTAATTATCTCCCTGACAGCGGAGAGAAATCAATGTAAGAAAGTGAACCAGCAGAAAGAGACCGAGTCCTGCAGCGAGCTGAGGGACTTTATGGACTCCAATAAAATCTAAATGTGTCCTGCTGGCTTCAGTTATATTTAGAGTCTGATAAAAAAGCGAGCGAGTGGCTGTTTCAGATCACACTCGTGTGTCCAAGTCGAGGCAAATAGTAACAAAGTTAATTTCAAAACTATCAACACATTTGCAGAAAGAAGTCTACCTGAAATTCAAACTTTCAGTAAATGAAAACATTTTATTGAAATTGGCGGTGGATTGTGAATTTATTACAAAATGATAAATATGTAATTTTAAGTCAAAATAACTTTAGACTTTGATGGCAAAACATGTCATTTATCTTTTGTAGGTACCGATTTCCCTATATTCCCTGTTTCCTGGAAATATCTCATTTGGATTATTTTTAAGGGGGAACAGAAACAGTGTTTCCAATAATAAATAATTAAGAAATAATATATGTAATACCCTTATTTATCCTTCAGCAGCAGAGTGAAAACCTGCTGCTGGTTCAGTGGAGATTCTGGATATTTATAGTCTGATAGACAGACAGACAGACAGACAGACAGACAGCTGGCAGCAGCCCCCTCTGCTGGTCGTACTGATTAATAACAACAGAGCTCAGTGTCAGTAGTTACCTGCCCAGATACCAAATCAAAAGAACACATGTATGTACATTGTCGGGTCTGTGCACAACTTTTAAAATGCTCATTTTCTGAGTGGAGTTTGGTTGATCAGGGCTCTGCTAACAGCTGGAATCAAGACACATATTTTCTAGCTACCTCTCTTCCTTTTCTCCAACAACCTCCTTTTTCTGTCTGCTCTCTGTAAATATATGAAGTAGTATGATCGAGCTCTGGGTCCGCGGCTCACAGCAGACAGGTTGAGAAGAGAGAGTGAAGATAAATCCACTTCCACCAAATCCACTAAACACAGGTAAGGCGGTGAGAGAAGCTAAAGAACCTTCCACAGCTCTCAGCTAACGGCTGTAGCTTGAACCTGCTACCTCACCTGGTTGATGTCACCATTGAGTCGACAGGCGAGCTGCTCTCTGCGGAGCTTCTCCTCACGTCGAGCTGCTTCATTCAGCCACGAGACGCAGAGAGAGTCCAGAGAGACGAGACGAGCCTCCAGCTGCTCCACTCTGAAACACGTCCAACCCTGACAGTGGCAGACACAGTATTCACATCCATTACCTGCAATCCTCTCTCTGATGGTTAATGTAGGTCATACAGAGGAGTCATTATTAAATTGAGACTGTACAGTGAGTACAAATACAACAATGTAAAATACTGCATTACAAATAAAAGTCCTGCATTTAAAAGCTTACAGAAATATTACAAACAAAATGTAGTTAAAGTAAAAGTAGAGCAGTATAGTCAGTTGTCTGTCTGATATCTGATTATATGTGATGTTATTAGATTAATACTGATCAATGTTAGAGTAGTATTGTAGTGTTTGTTGACATGCAGGTGGTTATTCATTTTAAACTATGTGTGTGAGTGTGTGTGAGTACTCATACACTGTGGCTGACGGCAGTGCAGATGTCGGTCTTCAGCGTTGAAGCCGTTTTAAACAGACTCTGGATCTGCTGCTGTTCCTCTCTGTGTCGACTCAGCTCAGCTTCACTGGATCCACATAAACCAGCTGAACCAGTTGAACCAGTCGAAGGGCTCGCGAGGTCCGACTGGAGCAGCGCCTCCAGCTGGACACAAAGAAGACTGAAATTAATATTAATTCTCTTATTGTATATTTATGTAACACATTTTTACAAAGTCAGCAGATTTAACTGGTAACTTCTGGATTCTTAAAGCTGACATGAAGAACAAACAATATACAGACAGAGGCACACAGTAAAGGGGTTTTAATTTTCACAATTTGATTCACACTGTAAATTAATCTGTTGATTCTGATCAAATTGAACAAAATAATGATGAGAAATTGTCAGTTCATACAATGGCGCCAATCGCAGGTTCCTGGAGCCAAAAGAGAAGACTTCAAATGTCTTGTTTCATCCGGATGAACCAAACTCAGAAGATATTCAGTTAACAACATAAAGCTGCAACCAGAACACGATTGGCATGAAGTTTCAAGGTGGACAGCTCATCCTACAAACAGCTGAGTTTCAAACTAAATATGCAGCCAGGTTTACTAAGGCGATCTGAGCGAGGGGCTGAAACACCATTACGATTTTACAGGATTTTTGGTAAATTCCAGGTGTTTCCACAACAACAACAACAACAACAACAACAACTTCCTCCCGGCTCCACCGACCTGTTTGGATGTGCGGTGGAAGCTGCTGCTCAGGTCCAGGATCGATTCGCTTTGATGGATCTTGTTCTTCACCCTCTTCTGGAGCTTCAGCAGCTCTGCCAGATCCTCCTCCGTCACTGGTCTTCCCTTCAACTCCTCCACCTCCAGTCTGTCCTGGACTCCTCTCAGAGTCTCCCAGCTCTTCTCCAAGTGCTCCACCTCAGTGTCTAGTTGCTGAATAAATGAAGAGAGTGTGTCTGATCATCTAGTCCCAATGGTTCTAGCAGTAACAACAGTGCAACAATAACAGCTGTCCCAGGAGTCCCAACGGTAAAGGTTCTGGTCCATTGGGACTCAAGGGACAGATGTGATTACACTACCAGCAACCGTGTGGTAGTGTACGATCTACTATCTACAGATAATTCCCAGCTATCCAACATTTCTAAAAGGTCCCAGCAGGTTTAACAGTCCTTACAGTCTTTAGTCATAGAGTAGTCCCATGACAGATCCAGATAGATTTCCCTACAGTCCTCATTGTAAAGAAGTCCCGGCAGCTCAAAGTCACTCACACTAAAATGTGGTCTGGCCTGGCTGAAGTGCTCCAGGAGCCTGGAGGTCTGTAGGTCCGAACCCAGATCCATCAGAGTGCAGGAGTCCAGCAGCTCAGAGACACAATTCAAGTCCTGCAGGGTCTGAAAATATACAGCGTCCCAGTAGTGGAAAGTAACTGAATACATTTACCTAAGTACTGTAATTCATTACTTACACCCATTACTTTTTTTAAAAGGCAACATTTACTTAAATATACCTCACAACAGTTATTTGAGTTACTTTACAGTATAAAGTATTTCATACATAATAGATTAGACTGCCCTCAGTTACTTTTCTCTGGCGCAGTGTACTTGGTACCTTGAGCAGTCTCTCCCGGGATTTCCTGCAGTAGTCCTGCTGCTGCTGGATCTGGATTTGCTGCTGACTCTGCAGCTCGTTCACTTCCTGTTTGGTTGTGCTGAGTCGCTCCATCGTCTGCTGCACCACAGACACCACAGACTGCAGGTTTAACCCTGCTCCCGACACCTGAGACACACACACACACACACACACACACAATATGAAAAGCAAAATGATTCTTCATGATTCACAGTGTAAATGTCCAATGTAATAAAACGTCATAGAATCTGAGCTGGTTAAATCATTTCAAGGCATTTAATGTTAAATAATCTCATCAAAAACAATTTAATCTGATTCCTGACAGTCTTGTTACCATGGGAACAGTAAGGACGTAGTTGTTTCCCAGTTCCTGGGCAGTGTGGAACCTCTGTAGAATTTCCTGCCAGCAGGCGTCGTCCTGCTTCTTGGAGCTGGTGGTTGTCCTGATGTTATTACCAGCTTCCCTCTCTTTCTGCTTCTCCTCTTCTTCCTCCAGTCTGCTTTTGTAGATCTCTCTTAATTCTTCCATCTCCTCCTCCACCTGGAGAACAGGAGCACAGTTATCTTCACGCTACATCAACACTGTGACACCAGGCCAGAAGTCCAAAGGTCACCAGGTTCGAGGAGATTTAAAGCCGTTTGGATCATTTTTATGTACAAAATCCAGAAGAGACTCTGACCTGCTGTGCCGACCGGAGGAAAGTGACGTAGGGTCGCAGCAGCTGCAGGTTTGAGTCGATCTTCCTGTTCAGACTCTGCAGCTCCTTCAAGACCAGATCAACTCGATCAGCGAGCTCCGGACTCAGTGAACCAGCTGGGTCTGCTGCAGGCGGAGCGGGCGGAGTGGGACCGGTTCTTCCCGAGCTGCCCCTCTTCAGCTGCTCTGTCAGGGCCTTCAGAGGAGACAGCTGTCTGCTGGGTTCTGGGTGCAGACCTCTGATCTGATCCAGGATCTGCTTCATGCTCTCTGCTTCGTGAGCTGCAGACTGAGACAAACAACAACAACATCGCAGCAGTGGAAACAACAAGTGTTTCTACTGTGAGTCTGTGGGAAACTCACCTGAAATAACTTTAATATCTCTGTATTACTTCATCATTATAACTTAATCCATTTAATAACTAAAACACAACCGTGAACTCCACGGCAGCTTTGATCAGACGTCCCTACAGATCACCGGTTCCCAACCTTTTTCTATCACTTAGAAAACTATATTTTATAGATATTTCATATTATATTGATTAATAACAATAACAGCAGATAAACTGAACAATGAACCCAAACAGTGAACACAGTAACTGCAGGACGTTTGTGTAAAATCAGAGATTTGGATATATTTTTCAAACTTTTCATACAATTATCTGTGTGTGTGTGTGTGTGTACCTCAGCCTGTGTTTGCAGCTGCAGGTGTGTGTTCAGACTGTCTTCTGCCTCAGAGAGCTGCCGTCCTGCAGAGCTGTTAGATAAAACACTGCTGCCCCACTGCACCCAGCTCCAGACCTGCAACACACACACACACACACACACACACACACACACACACACACACACACACACACACACACAGACAGAGACACACACACAGACAGACACACACACACACACACACACACACACACACACAGACACACACACACACAGACAGAGACACACACACAGACACACACACGCACACACACACACACACACACACACACAGACACACACACACACTTGAGTTGTTTCCTCCATATGAACCTGAAGTAGCAGCGGTGTTGCATTCACTGACTCGTCTGTAAATAAAATGTCACCTTGTCTACGAGGTGTTGGCATGACGACAGCAGCTGTTGCCTCTGATTGGTCAGGAGGGCTTGGTGGGCGTGGTCAGTTTCAGTCTCATTTCCCAGCATGCTCTGCACATCTAGAGTTGATTCAAGTTGCGGCTTTCTGGTCTCTGATCTGGGTCTAGGTTGTAGGTTTGTGGTCTCCTTTGATCTGGATTCAGGGGCCGCATCTGTGGGCTCTGATCTAGATTCAGGCTTTACATCTAATCCAGATCCTGGCTGCTCATCTGATCTCGATCCAGGCTGAAGGTCTGATCTGGACCCGGGCTTTACATCTAAAAGTTCTGGATCTGATCTGGAATCTGGCGTTAGGTTTAATTTGAATCCAGACTGCAGGTTTCTGGTCTCCTCTAATCTGGATCCAGCCTTAAACTCTAATCTGAAACCAGGTTGCAGGTCTCTGATCTCTTTGGTTCTGGAACCTGGCTTCATGTCTGTCTCTGCTGATGTGCATCCAGACTGCAGGATTCTGGTCTTATCTATTCTAGATCCAGGATTCACATCTGAAGGTTTTAGATCTGAACCTGATGTAGGCTGCAGATCTCTAGTCTGCTTTGATCTGGACCTGTGATTCACATCTGAAGATTCTAGATCTGATCTAGATCCAGGCTCTGTGTCTCTGGTTTGCTCTGGTCTAGATCCGGGTTTTACATCTGATCTGGATCCAGGCAGCAGATCTCTAGTCTCCTCTGATCTGGACTCAGGCTTCAGGTTAAATTTGAATCGAGACTGCAGGTTTCTGGTCTCTTCTAATCTGGATCCAGTGACCAGGTCTCTGCTTGGCTCTGATCTAGATTCAGGCTTTACATACAATCCAGATCCAGGGATGTGGTCTAATCTGGATCCAGACTGAAGGTCTCTGGTCTGTTCTGAGTTAGAATCTGACTCAAGGTCTGATCTGGATTCAGGCTTCAGATTTAACTTTAATCCGGATGGCAAGTTTCTGGTCTCCTCTGGTTTAGATGCAGGCTTTACATCTGACCTGGATCCAGGCTGCATGTCTCTGGTCTCTTTTGTTCTGAAATCTGGCTTCCTGTCCGTCTCTGCTGATGTGGACCCAGACTGCAGGTTTCTGGTCTTATCTACTCTACATCCAGGCTTCACATCTGAAGGTTTTATATTTGACCCTGATCCAGGCTGAAGATCTCTGGTCCCCTCTGATTTAGAATCTGACTCAAGGTCTGATCTGGATTCAGGGTTCAGGTTTAATTTGAATCCAGACTGCAGGTTTCTGCTCTCTTCTGCTCTAGCTCGAGGCTTAAACTCTAATCTGAAACCAGGCTGTAAATCTGATCTGGATCCAGATTGCAGATCTTTAGTCTCCTCTGATCCGGACCCGGGCTTCACATCTGAAGGTTCTAGGTCTGATCTGGACTCAGCCAGCTTTAATTTGAATCCAGACTGAAGGTTTCTGGTCTCGTCTGGTCTAGATCCAGACTTAACATCTGACCTGGATCCAGGCTGAAGGTTTCTGTCCTCTTTTGTTCTGGAATCTAGCTTCAGGTCTGTGCTCTCTGCTGATGTGGATCCAAACTGCAGGTCTGGGATCTTGTCAACTGTGAGACTCCAGTCCTGTAGCGGAAACAGAAAAATGGATATTATTGATCATTTGATTGATTACTGCAGATGATATATCAGAGACTCTACTGTTGTCATATGCTCTTATTGTTGTAACTGTCCTACTGGGATCTGAACAGTCCCACCTCAGTCTTCAGCCGGCCCCCCTAGGACCTGAGATTATGATGCTCTGGATTCCTCCAACATTAAGAACAATCATAAAATAGATTTTTATCATCATCTAATGCTTTAGATGCTTTTGTGAAACGTGGCCTGTTTCATCAGCGGTCCAGAACCATCAGCAGACAGAATATTTTTAAATACAGTCATCGGAGAGTCGAGAATGTAACTGCAGGCAGGATTTATTTTTATGACATGAACACAAGATGGATGCTGACAGAATAGACTGATGACTCCCACTGCGAAGAGTTCAATTACTCTAATATGGAGTTTTACATATAATGGAGTCAGCGAGGGAAAGTCTGACATCCTGGACTTCAGTCAGCTGTGAAACAACCATATTTAAACCTGCGGTGATAACCTGTGTGTGTTCAGCACCTGATTTATGAAGGCAACAGCTCGTTACTCAGTTAGCTCCTGGACTGAGTCTCACACTGACCCTCAAGGGCCCCGTTGGTCAGATGTGGGTTAAGTGACTCAGGCCAACATGTCACACTTTTATTTTGAAATAAAGGAATAGGTATGTGAAACCCTGATCAGCATTCACATTATTGGCTTTATGAGCTTTAATCGCATCAAAAGCTAAAATACTGGACCAGACTGGTCACATGACTCAGTGGAACAGCGAGTCAAATGAGTTTTCTACAATATGTTGCGGCAAATATTTCACAATAAAAGCCTTTTTAAGAAATGTTTCTGTCCACTGAAACGCTACAGGAAATGAGTGTGTAGAGCAAATGGCCTTTCTGTGCTTCATCTGACAAACTCAAGAAGCTCATTTGTCTCTTACTTCGTTGTGTGTGGACTCTTTCTCACGGACCATGATGCCGTTCTCCGCCTGCTGGAGCTGCAGCCTGACGGCCTGGTCCGCCCTCCTCCTCCGATCCTGCAGCATCTCCACCAGCTCCTCCAGCCTTAACGCCATCCCCCTGCTGCCCCGAGAACACTGGGAGGAGGACACAGCATCAGCATCAATCCACACATTTCACACAGAGGGAGTTAACAGCAGGATGAAGGAGCAGTTGAACAGATGTGAGACACTCACCTCCTCCACCTCCTCCTCCTCGTTGTCCTGCAGTACTCCTCCTCTCCTCTGGAGGGCCTCGATCTTCTGCAGCTGCCTCAGTTTCTGTAGAAAAACGTTGCTGCTGGTTATAACCTGCAGGGATTTCCCCAGAAGATCTGGAATCACAAAGACACAAAGACAATGTCATCGAGATTACTCTTTTCAACCACAACGCTCAACTTACAACAAACTAGTTGATACCAGTTTATATAACTTAACCCAGTTTAAACCAGCTTTTATTAGTTAAAGCTTAGATATAAACCAGTTTAATCCAGTTTTTGCAAGTTTAAACCAGTTTACAGTGGATCAAACTAGTATTTCAAATCGCCTTTAACTCTGCACCTACAGCAAACCAGTTAAAATGTAATTTAACTGGGTTAAAAACTGTTTATATATCCTTTAACCCAGTTTCAATCAGTTTCTATTAGTCTAAACCAGTTAATCTTTGATATACACCAGTTTGTAGTGGATCAAACCAGTGTTTTAAATCTCCTGCAACCCTCCACCTACAGCAAAGCAGTTAAAACCAGTTTATATGTAACTTAACTGGGTTTAAACCAGTTTGGATTAGTTATATCTTCAATAGAAACCAGTTTAATCCAGTTTTTGCAAATTGAGACAAGCCCAGTCTAAGACAGAGCCGACAAAATAGAGACAAACACTTTCTAAAATAAAACTAAATAGCTTGTTTGCATTCACATATGGAAGAACATTTCCAACAATGTGACAAAGAAGGATTCAGCCACCAGCCTCCATTCATAAAAACAATGATTTAACTCACAGAACACAGGAGTTGCTGGTCTCCCGCCGCCTCCATCAGTTAGTTAGTTTGTGTTATTGTGTGACTTCCATTTTGAGTTCGTGCCACATGGCCGCAGGGACGTGACATCATGTGCAAACAAGCTATTAGTGATAATTTATCCTCAGTGCAGCTGTGAGTAACACTATAAATACTACGACTAATATTAACGCTGATTACCTCTCCTCATAGAGTCGTATGTGAGCTGCCCTTCAGTCAGCCTGTCTGGTCTGATCCGTAGACCCTCAACTCCGTCGATACCGACAGCAAACTGCAGACAGACCGAGTGTTAGCACGCTTAACACAAAGCATCCATCAGAAAGGACACATTGACCTGATGGTGGCGCCGTATGAAACCTCAGAGGATGAACAGAGTTTTTATAGTTCATCCTGAGGGGAACATGAACCAAATTTCATCCAATAATTCACTTATAACCACTAATGTCAACCTCATGGTGGCGCTACAGTGTGAGTGTCAGTGGGAGTCATCCACTGGGGAACATGAACGTCTGCACAACATTTCACAGCAATCCATCCGATAGCAGTTGAGATATTTCAGCCTGGACTAAAGCGATGGATGAACGACTGACACTCTTCACATTGCTAATCCATTAGCGTCGGAGCTATTTATTGACCAGCAACCGGTAGACGCTGTGGCTCTATGCAGCACCTCTTATGTGCTGAACTCACAGTGGGATTGTCAGGTTTGAGATGCTTGTGCTCCACTGTCGACTGAACAGCGGTGACTAGCTTGTTGGCTAAAATAGATCCAGAAAGCTTCCCGTTGGACTGTTTTAGATAAAGGCTGCAGCAGGTGACCGTGGTCCGGCAGCAGGTGGTGATCATAAAACGACAGCCGGCCAATGAGCACGGCTTACGGCAGCACGCAAATACACCGAGTTGAAACAAATGTCCTTCATAGAGACACGAGACGAGGATAAATCCCGTCTACAGTTGGGCACGCTTCACAGATGAGAACTTTACTGCCTACAGGTCAGAGGTCACAGCAGCCTGACAATAGATTTAGATTACACTCTAGAGCTCCAGTTAGATGTTTCCATCCATCTTCTGAAAAGATACGTCTAACTAAAAGGTTTTCCAACTACGAATACGATTTAGAAAGGCCCTTTTCTCTTTTATATTACTTACAAATTCATTTGTTATACATCTTTATCTTATTATTTAATTTGGGTAAATTTGTTAGTTAGATTTATATCACTGTTCATCCATCCGTGGTCGTATCGTTTGAACTTTAACATACTTTAACTAGACAGCCATTTCGTTAATTTATCAACAATTAATCAACAATCTGTACAGCTGCGGCCCTAACATCCATGTTTGTCTTGAGTTTATCTTAAAAACAAACTTTTGTGCTGCACACAACCAAACTGATTATACATATAATGTTTCCAACAAACATATTGTCTGTACAAAAAAACACAACAACAGCTATTTCCTACTAGCTTGAATATGTCAGCTTGGGTTCAAAAGTTTAGTTGAATTCTGTGTCCCGTTTCGACCTTGATGAAATAAGCAACACAAATTTCCGTCAGCTTATTTGTTAGATTTGACTGTACACTGGCGCACATTAAAAGTGATTATCCTTTGGGGAACAGTCAGGAAATTTAATTGAAGTGTGAACAACACCAACATCTGCATTATTGTGGAGAACAAATATACTATTAACTATGTTCAGTCTTTAGTTACCTTTAAAAGGTACAACTGTGATTAAAGTTGCATTCTAACATTTCCAATTATCCATATTTTTAGATGGTACGTACCTCCAGTGCTCGGCGGTAAAAGTCTGAAGCCAGCATCAATACTTCCTGTCGTCTCTCGAGCAGGCGGAGAAGCAACACCCATCCCTCCTTCAGAGATGCTGCCATGGCCTTGTACACTTCCTCCTCTTCCTCCTGTTTCTTGTTCCTCTTCTGCTCCATCATCATCCCTTCATCCCTCCTTCTCCTCAGCTCTATCTGTCGGCTCTTTTCCACCACAGACAGCACTTCCTTCTCATGTTTCTGGAATAATTGAGTTATTAGTCTCATGAAAATTAAAAATAAAATAAAACTTAAGAACAAAACGTCAACTGCTACATTTGACAGATGCACTGAAATTGTTTGGTGACAACAGGGGACAACTTATGAGAACTGTTTGTAGCTATCAAGGTGGTTTAAAGATGTATTTTAATAATTTCCAGACTTAAAATAAAATTTTAAGATAACGTAAATATTATCTGGTTGTCATTTAGCTGATTAACAGCTAATAGTCATACAAACTCCTATTGACATTTGTAGTAACTTCCTCAATAGTATTTCATTTAAACCAATTAAATATGGTTTAAAAAAAGATTGTGTACTCAATATTTATATTTTTATAGTATTAACAAACACTATTTCCCATAAACCAACGGACAAACTATAAATTTGGAGATACTATTAGAAAGGATTGTTAGTGGATATTATGGATGAAGATCTGATGACTGTGCCAGAATATTTTCATGGTAGTTGTAGTTTTTGTCCACAACATAATACATTTTTTTAACTTTTCTCAGTGTCAAAGGTTTCTATTTGTCCAGAAACACGCTTCAGTTTAAAGACAGATTAAAGAAATGCTGATTTATTGAATTACAGAAGCTAGACAGGAAGTGACGTCAGTGGTTCTCTGGCATCGAACGAGTACCTTGAGTTTCTCCATCAGCTGCTGCTGTTCCTGGACCAGTGTCTGGTTTTCTTCGTGGTTCGATCCGATCTCACAGAGGCCTGGATGGACCTGGACCAGCTGGAGGTGGACCACAGACCCACTCTGTACACACAAATCAACGTTTTACCATAAAAACTAGATACAAACTCAACTTCAGGGTTCTGGAGCTTTTTATTAATGTCTTCTTCAAACTTCCCCAGATGATTACTGACACTGATACAATTACTTTGTGTCTTACAAGTTTTCTGAAATGTTATGTTTAAATATGCACACAAGACATTATCTAATCAAAGATTTTGGATATCTCATTTTATCACTCCATAAATCACAAACTAATGTCAACAGCTATAAAATAAATCAATTTTCACCATTTTTATAGCAATAATATGTGACATGATTTATTATTTATTTAACAAATGTTATGTTCAAATATGCAAATGAGTCATTATCTAATGCTTACTTTTGGTGAAATCTAGTCACAAATAGGCAAATCATAATAAAATAAATGTGTATTCTGGGGCGTAGATGCACACTGATGAGATTAAAGCTGGTTAGAGTCACAGTTTGGTGTAATTTTGTTAAAATGTTCCCTTTAGACTGTTAATATTGTTTTATTTTATTTAGTTGTGTTCGCCACAGAGCTACCCGCTGACCGCTGTAGGTGAAAAGTAGCTGCGTGGTATCACTGCTTGTGTGTTACACATTCCTCCGGTGATAGGGTATCTCCGGCATGTGGACCCGTAAAGAACACAACATGACTCGTGACCGCACATAGACACAAACACACACTTTAAAAACAACAACAACAGTGTCCAAAACTATTATCCTACACATGTACAAATATGATTTTAAATACAATCTCCGTCTGCGAGGTGTCAGATGTTGCTCTCTCCCTCTTACAGCAGCATCAGTAAATAGTTTGAGCTAAAACAGGAAACAGTACACGGACTGAAAAGTGACGGACTTTAAATGAACTGAAAAGCTCGGCTCTTCTGAAACTGCATCTGATGATTAGTTCAGTTCAGTTATTTTATTATTCCAGATGGGAAAGTGGATTTAAAGTCAGAGGCACAAACATAAAAAACAACACAAATACAAAAACAAAAAGTACCAAAAAGCACAAAAAAAATGACATACAATATAAACCATAATACAACAACAATGCAAATAAAATGAATGTGCAAGATGCTAAAACTACATATGTAAATAAGATGCTATAAAGCTAAATATAATTTCATTTAAAAGAGTAAATAAATCCCCAAACCATGTTTTTCAGCTGAAAACCCTGAAAAAATTTATTTAATTAGACTTTAAGGCAGATATTCTAAACTTCAAGCTAATATAGCTCACTTAAGTCAAGATTAGCTGTCAAATATCTAGCTAATAAGAAACAATTTAGTACTCTCTCACAACCCAATCATTGAAAATCAACACTATAGCAACACTATAGCTACAGAAAATCTTACTTAAAGCTAACATAGCCTATTGGCTAAGAACTAAAAACTAAGACTCATAGCAAGTGAAAACCAAAACTACCAGACTGAGCTAACTAAAGCCAAAACAAAGAAATACTGCTAACAAAAATTTAAGCTAATATCTAACAGTATGAAAGCTCAGTAGAAGGATTTAAAAAAGGGTTTAAAAAGTAGACTCTCCGTTCAAAATTGAAAACAGTATTATTTAATACTAACCAAATACAAAGCTAACAGTCTAAGTTATAACTAAAGCTAACAGTGTGTAGCCTAGAAAACTGTATGTCAGGCTCTCTAAAGTCTACTGCGGACTGCGTTTACACAATGTTTCTGAACGTGACTATAACCCCTCATAGCTGTCTTTGTAGCTACAGATACATTTGTCTAATTTAGTCATTGTTATCATATTACGTGTAGCTATCTGCTAACAAATGAAACCAGATACATCAATTTGTATGACTTTGTATAATGTTAGGGTTTTATTTTTTGGGGAGTGATTCGCAGTCACTCGTTTTTGGACACTTAGAGGTCTTTTTTATAACCCAATATGTGGTTATAATGGTCTTTGTGATACAATAGCAAAAATGTGTCTACTCATATAACCCCCTTGGATAAGCTGGGTTTTAAGCAGTGAGTTAAATAGTGTCCGTTAAGGTGTTGTGATTTTAACCTACGATCAAAGCTCAACAAGCTGAATGCTTTTTGGCCTCTTTACGTACCTCGAGAACGGAGACGACAATCTGCGACTGGCCGGCCTGGACGGCGATAGTGCTGAGAGTGGTGAATGACCGAGATAACTTCATGTTCCCTTCTCTTCCTCCTCCTCTTCCTCCTCCAGTTCCCCGCTCTGACTTCGTTTGTCCTCCACATGTTTCTTCGGTCTCTCCGGACGTCATGAAGAAAGATTAAATCCTGTCACAAGTTCTGGGGTCACTTTAAGCTCGTCTCAACATCAGCAAGTTTACTCATAGTTCCACTTCTGTTATCCTCATTAATCCACTCTTCCTCCAGTTTCCAACTTTTTTTTGTTTTGTTTTATTTCTCTTTGGTAAAGTTCCCCGAATAGCTCCTGAAGTGAAGCCGAACCAGTTCGTGTTGGTTCGCAGTGTGAACCCCTTCAGCCAGATTCACTCCGTATCAACAGCTGTAATCCAGTTACTGGTTTTTCAGAGGTCTTTAAACGTTGAAACTCCTACAGAACATAAAGAACACGGATTAATACAAATGTTTTAGTTTGATTTTATGCAGTTAAAACATTGTAAACTAGGTACAGACCATAAGTCCACTGTGGAAATAATAAAACCTATTAACAATAACCCCTTAAAAACATTAAATATTCAGTCAGTACAACCTCCCTGTGTCCAAACAATCAATGGAAGGATCACTGCCGTTAGCTGGCTTTAACTGTACGGACACTGATTCTGTGAGTTTGGCAAAATACCAAATGAAACCATCTCAAGCCGACGTCCGTCTGTAGCATAGACTGTGGCGTCTACATTAGCTAACATTAGCTCGAGAGCTAAAGTAGACTTCAACCGTATTTAGATGATATCTGATATCTTCAGCTTTAATTATCAGCAGTTTGTCATTATTGCCATAAATCGACAATTGAATAGCATCAATTAGTCGTCACTAAATATAATTTGATTTATGAACGATGAAAAAGTAATTTTAGGTTATTTTTGAATTACAGTATATTTGTCTGGTTGTCTACATTCAGTTAAGTTTTGGAGTTATATTCAGAATATTTGTGGAACAGTTAAACCCTGATTCAAATTCCTTTACTGTAATAATTATATTAGTATATCAATATTTGCATTATGATGCTGTTTTTTTAATTATTTCATCAATGGTGAACAGATAATTTACTATTGCTTCATAGATCAGTCTTAAGATATTGATTACAACATATTTAGGGTTGTAGGTAGTGAAACACCTCTTTAGCAATCTATACGATTGTAATTTGAGCTTTGATTGGGGCCAAAACATCTGACCCGACCCGACCCGACCCAACCCCGGAAATTTTTAGTGTGAGCCCGAACCAAGCCTGAACCATGGTAGCAGTTTTGGGTCCGAACCCGGCAGCGAATCTAAAGCTCTAAAAATGATACAGTTCTAAATGTTATTTCGTCCATCAATAAATGATTGTTTGATTTATTATCGATTAAAGGGATCATTTTTCATAACCTGACAACCCGAACGTTGGTTATTACTGATGGATATTAAGTCGAAATTAGCAAAAATACAATTATGTATCCGCACTCTGAATAGGCGCGGGCTTAATCAAGCTGTCGGTGGAGCTTAAACCTGGAAGTGGCAAAACTAACCGTAACTTGTTAATTTGAGCCTCAAATCGTTGTGGTTCGATTAAAAGTTGTTATATTTATTAGAAAACTATTTACAGAACAAGTTGTTGTTGTTTTCAATAAATGTTGCTATATTTAGGAGTACGGATAATTGCGTGATATTGATACTGATTAAAAAAATCAGATGATGGAAGTCACAAAAATAAATGTATGTATATTCATGACTCTCATGCAGAAAATTACTGAAGCTCATTTGCGCCAAAGATTCTGTACGTCATTATAATTGGAAACTTTATCAAAATATCGACTTAGCATCTCAAATTAATGACAAAATGTCTCAGTTTTGGGCCCAATTTGAACTTAATAAATATAAATAAATAATTTATCGTTTATTACAAGCTAAAGCAAACTACATTGTGCACATAAGACAGTGCTAAACTAATAAAAATGTATTTTGAATTAGTATTTCAAAAAATACCAAATTTAGAAAGAAGAAAACACTGTCAATGTCAATATTTTGATAAAGTTCCTCTTTATAATGGCTAACATTGCTTCACAATGGTGGAAATGGGCTTCCATAGAAAACACAACTGAAACATCAGAAAAACTTTATCTATCTTTTATCCAATCACCAGCTTTAATATAATTATTAAAGTATAAATATTTGGTACATGTGGGTTTAAACAATGTGTTTTCACACAGCTGATGAAGAAACCTCACTGCAGACATTAAATATAGTAAAATGTACATAAAGACGAGCCTACCTTCAGGGAGGTCAGGACGCTGCTGCTGCTGCTGAGACTGCGGAGCCACAAAAACACTGAGAGGAAACACAGCGAGGGAGAGAGAGAGAAAGGGAGAGGGAGAGAGAGAGGGGGAGAGAGGGAAAGAGGTGGTAAAAATAGATGTGGTTTCCAGTGGGATTATCACTCAGCTGAATGACAGAGAGACATCTGCCTTCCATAAACAAACACTCCACCCTCTCTGTCAATGACAGTGTGTAAATATATCTGCAGGCCCGACCTAATGAAGACATAGAGACCTTGGCATTGATTAACTATCAGAACCATTAATTATGAACTCAAGTGCTGTAAAAGTACAGTAATTATTTATTTATTTTAATGTTATGCTATTTAACAATTCAGAGACAAATACTTTTATACTTTTTACTTAATCGACTTAAATTACTTAGTTACCAATAACTAAAGCTCCTTTGCAGATTCTGATCAATGAAACAGAACGGAAAAACCAAACACTGACTGTACTTTAGTTTAATAATTACAATAATACAAAGCTAAATATGTACATATAGAACAGTCATGAAAGTGCAGGAGAGGAAGGAAGCCTGAAAGGCTCATTCAGAGTCGTCCCGCTGTTATAACTGAACCAGGAGATTGGACTCAACGACTCAACATACAAAGGGCTTGGTTGAAAACATACAGTTTACTTACAAAAGTCCAGGACACAGAAATCCAATAACCCCAAGCAAACAAATCCAAAGCGGCAAAGGCAGAGTCAAAAATCAAAAACCATGAAATACATGAAACACAAGGAAAATGGTGGAAGGCTTGACCCTAAAGACGAACTGGAATAGAAGGGAAGGAACACAGAAAATATCCACTCTACAGATGAGTAGCTACTAAGACACAGGTGCAGGTAATCAGGGTGGAGCAAACAATTACTAACGGCGGGAAAACACACAAGGGCAGGAAGTGATTGGAAAACTTGTGCATTGGCCAGGAAGCTCTGTTCATTGTATCTACTGTCAATGGTACCTTCAGAAACCTGGAGAATCTCCTAAACTCCTGGTTTATTTAGCTACAGCCCGTCAGTCTGGAGTTTCAATTCATTTCAGTGGAAGTGGATCTGGTTCTGACTTCACTCTGACTATCAGTGGAGTTCAGGCTAAAGATTCAGGAGTTTCCTACTGTCAGCAGGGTCTTTTAAAGAACTCAAATGAGGCACAGCTGGGATTCAAACCCAGGATCTCCTGTTTACTAGACAGGCACTTTAACCAACTAAGCCACACCACCAATTGCTCCTCAAACAAAGTGACACAACAAACAAAACCGACTAATCTTCGTGCTCTAGGCTTGGATGGGGAGCAGAAAAACAGCACCTTTGAGGCCTGTGGAAACACAAGGCAAAACAGGGTCTGAGCTTAAAGGGTCTAGGGGAGGTGAAATTTGACAAACAAGCACCAACTTGTATATTTCCAAGATTGATAAACAAGTTTGAAGACAATGCCTAAACATTGAAAGTAAAGTTTTGTTGACTGTCCCTGGGTGGGCTTGAACCACCATCCTCAGTTAACAGCCGAGCGCGCCACAGAGACAAATTCAACTGAACCCGTCAAAATGTATAGTGTGCTTTTCTTACAATGTCGGTTGAACAACAAATTTAGACATTGCTCAGCAACAGCTTCATAGAATCATCTAGTTCTGCTCTCCTGACTGGTTGAGACCCCTGAGAAGGATGGCACTCTCCACTTTTGTGTGGACTTCAGGGGAGTCCTAAATCACACCATTAGGGTTATCCAGGGAGCTCTGTCCATTGTATATACTGTCAATGGCACCTGCAGAAACCTGGAGAAGCTCCTAAACTCCTGATTTATTGAGCCTCGGAGTTCCAGCTGGGTTCAGTGGAAGAGGATCTGGTTCTGACTTCACTGTGACCATCAGTTCAGGCTAAAGATTCAGGAGTTTCCTACTTCAAGCTGCTAAACTCCTGATTTATTTGACTACAGCTCACTTCAGTGGAAGAGGATCTGGTTCTGACCATTAGTGGAGTTCAGGCTAAAGATTTAGGAGTTCACCACTGTCAGCAGGGTGTTTCAAAGAACTAAAGCAGGCACCGCTGGGATTTGAACCCAGGATCTCCTGTTTACTAGACAGGCACTTTAACCAACTAAGCCACAGCACCAGTTGCTGCTGACTGAAAGTGACACAGCAAACAAAACTGACTCATTTTCGGGATCTAGGATGGGATAGGGAGCAAAAAAAACAAGCTCATTTGAGGCCTGTCGAAACACAAGGCAGAACATGGCTTGTGTTTCAAGGGTCTAGGAGAGGTGAAATTGGACAAACTATCACCAACTAGTATATTTCCAAGATTGATAGACAATGCCTAAACATTTTACTTGAGAGGAACAATTTTTGAACATCCCTTGATGGGTTTGAACCACCATCCTCTCAGTTAACAGCTGAGCACGCTGGCCGATTGCACCACAGAGACACATTGAGTTATACCAGTCAAAATATCTTGTGGGCTTTTCTTTGAATGGAACGCCAGTAAGCCAGTGAGTGTCTCTTCTCAGTTTGAAATGGGTGTGTCATTTTTCACAGGCTAGGAGGAGGAAGCGCTGTCCATTGTTTATACTGTCAATACTTCCCTTTCTTTTAATTGATTAGTTAGTTAACTGACCGATATCTTGTATAATTATGAAAGTTGAATAAGTGTTGTTTATCAGTGTATAAGCATTGGTAAACTGTCCAAATACAGTTTTTATCAGTGTAAACAGCAATAATTACTGTAATCTCACAGATAATGACTTGTATTATAGTTCTATAACTTATTTTAAGATGAAAATAACAATATATAAATTAGAATTATTTCACAGAACAAAAAGTAAAAATATTAACATTTTATGAGAAATGAAACGTAGTGCAGTGAGTTTTTAACACTTCAATATGAGCCACATTAACAAACATATATATATATATATACACATATAATAATTATAATAAGTTTGTGGCAATTTGAATAAAACACAACTTTATTAATCAATGTGACCGTGACTGAAACTCTGTCCCAAATTATATCATGCTAACAGACTGAGGCTAAAGCTAACAAGTTGCAGCTGTCATCGACTCTGAAGATCCAAAAGACTTTAATGAAATCTAACTTTGACTTTATTGAGTTCACCGAATATTGTTGACTTTCTCATAAATTTTTCTTTAACAGGATTCAAACCAAAGTAAAAGAGTCACAGAAATATGAGTGAAAGTGAATTTGCTCTGGTTGTTTTCTTTGTGTGATGGATCATATTTCCCTTTAAAATGAGACAAAGCTCCGCCCCTTAATGACATCACCTGAGACCAACCAGGAAACAGTCTGTTTCTGTTCAGTTCTCATTGAGGAGAGACACACAGACGGACAGACAGACGGTAAGATTTACCTTCATTACAAAGTTGTGACTTCAACTGACACGTTTTATTTTCTTCATGTTGTTGATGGTCTGTTCTGGTTGTTTGGGATTGATTCAGATTTTGTGTTTGTTTATTGTCTTGTTTATTGAGTTATGTTGTGAATTTAAAAAAAGGTGCTAATTTAGGATTAATGGATTGTCATGTATTATGCAGTTTTTCATAAGAAGTACTCTGAAGTCCATCCCACTTTGGATGGAGCGGCTCTCTTATCTAGAAATATGGCGAAGTTTATTTCTAAAACCTGACAGTCCAGAGTTAGGACCAGGAAGCAGAGCTGCTGTCTTACACACTTCTCTGCTCTTTCTTTAGAACAGTCACCCACCCAAAACCCCATAGAGACTGTGTCTGTCCCCCCGACCACCTAAATTATTTAAAGAAATAAAAACAAGAGGAGTTAAACATAAAAATCTAATAAAAATTAAAACTAACTCCTCAGTAGCACAAAATAAGAGAATGAAATGTGGGCTGTTAAATATCAGGTCTCTGTCCTCTAAAGCTGTTTTAGTGAATGAATTAATATCAGATTATGATATTGATTTACTTTGTCTTACTGAGACCTGGTTGTCCCACGAGGAGTATGTTAGCCTAAATGAATCCACCCCCCCAGTCATATTAATACTCACATTCCTCGAGGCACAGGCCGAGGAGGTGGAGTAGCAGCCATATATGATTCGAGCGTTTTAATGGACCCTAAATCTAAACTAAATTATAATTCATTTGAAAGCCTTGTTCTTAGTCTTTCTCACCCAACCTGGAAAACACTGCAGCCAGTTCTATTTGTTATAGTGTACCGCGCTCCTGGACCGTACTCTGATTTTATATCTGAATTCTCTGAGTTTTTATCAAGTTTAGTCCTTAAATCAGATAAAGTCATTATTGTAGGTGATTTTAATATTCATGTGGATGTTAACAATGACAGCCTTAGTAATGCATTTATCTCATTAATAGACTCAATTGGCTTCTGTCAGAGTGTAAATAAACCAACTCATTGTTTTAATCACACTCTTGACCTTGTTCTATCATATGGCATTGATATTGAACATTTAATAGTCTTCCCACATAATCCTTTCCTATCTGACCATTATTTAATAACTTTTGAATTCATACTATTAGACTATAAGCCATTAGGCAAAACTTCCTACAGCAGATGTCTATCTGACAGTGCTGTAGCTAAATTTAAGGAGGAGATTCCATCAGTGTTTAATTCAATGCCATGTCTGAATTTAACAGAGTCCTATAATAACTTTAGTCCCTCTGAAACTGACAATCTTGTTGATAGTGCTACAGGCTCACTACGGAGAACATTAGATTCTATCGCTCCTATAAAAAGGAAATTATTAAAACATAGGAGACTAGCACCTTGGTATAACCACCAAACCTGCCAGTTAAAACAAATAGCTAGGAAATCTGAAAGGAAATGGCGCTCTTCCAAATTATCAGAATATCGCTCAATTTGGCAAGATAATCTTAAAACCTATAGAAAGGCCCTCCGTAATGCCAGAGGAGCCTATTACTCAGCACTAATAGAAGAAAATAAGAATAACCCTAGGTTCCTCTTCAACACTGTAGCCAGGCTGACAGAGAGTCACAGCTCTATTGAGCCACATATCCCCATAAACTTAAGTAGCAACGACTTTATGAGCTTCTTCTATAATAAAATTATTACTATTAGAGAGAAAATTAATCACCAACTGCCCTAAACAGATATCACTGTCTCTCCAAGTTCAGGAACTCAGATATATATTTAGAATGTTTTTCTGCCATCGATTTCTACATCGAAGCCATCAACCTGTCTGTTAGACCCGATCCCAACTAGGCTGCTTAAAGAAGTTGTTCCCTTAATTGGCACTTCTTTACTGGATATGATTAATCTTTCTTTATGATCAGGATATGTACCACAGTCCTTTAAAGTAGCTGTAATTAAACCCCTTCTTAAAAAGCCCACTCTTGACCCAGGGGTTTTAGCCAACTATAGACCGATTTCTAACCTCCCCTTCCTCTCTAAGATTCTGGAGAAAGTAGTCGCCAAAGAGTTGTGTGACTTTCTACATAACAATAGTTTATTTGAGGATTTGCAGTCAGGATTTAGAGTTCATCATAGCACAGAGACAGCTCTGGTTAAAGTTAATAATGACCTTTTGATTGCTTCTGACAATGGACTTGTCTCTGTACTTGTATTATTAGATCTTAGTGCTGCATTTGACACCATTGACCATAATATTCTTTTACAGAGACTTGAGCATCAAATTGGCATTAAAGGAACCACACTAAGCTGGTTGAAGTCATATTTATCAGATCGTTCGCAGTTTGTACATGTTAACGATGAATCTTCAATAAATACTACAGTCAGTCATGGAGTTCCACAAGGTTCTGTACTTGGACCAATCTATTTACTTTATATATGCTCCCTTTAGGCAACATTATTAGGAATCACTCCATTAACTTTCACTGTTATGCCGATGATACGCAGTTATATCTATCAATCAAGCCCGATGAAATTAATCAATTATCTAAATTACAAACATGTCTTAAGGACATAAAATCCTGGATGAGCTGCAATTTTCTGATGTTAAACTCAGAAAAAAACAAAATTCTTGTACTTGGCCCCAAAAATCTTAGAGACTCACTGTCTAAAGATATAGTTACTCTAGATGGCATCACCTTGGCCTCTAGCACCACTGTCAGGAATCTTGGAGTTATCTTTGATCAGGATTTGTCATTTAATTCCCACATGAAGCAAACCTCTAGGACTGCCTTCTTTCATTTACATAATATTACAAAAATTAGACATCCTATCACAGACAGATGCAGAAAAACTAATCCATACATTTGTTACTTCTAGGCTGGATTACTGCAACTCATTATTATCAGGTTGCCCCAATAAGTCCATTAAAATGCTCCAATTAATTCAAAACGCTGCAGCACAAGTACTGACAGGAACTAGAAAAAGAGATCACATCTCTCCTGTACTAGCTTCTCTGCATTGGCTCCCTGTAAAATGTAGAATAGAATTTAAAATTCTCCTCCTCACCTATAAAGCTCTTCATGGTCAGGCCCCTTCATATCTTACAGAGCTCATAGTACCCTATTACCCCTTTAGAACACTATGTTCTCTGAATGCTGGGCTACTTGTGGTTCCTGTAGTCTCTAAAAGTAGAACAGGAGCCAGAGCCTTCAGTTACCAAGCTCCTCTCCTGTGGAACCAGCTTCCAGTTGTGGTTCGGGAGGCAGACACCCTCACCACATTCAAGAGTAGGCTTAAGACATTCCTCTTTGATAAAGCTTATAGTTAGGGCTGGATCAGGTGAGTCCTGAACCATCCCTTAGTTATGCTGCTATAGGCCTAGACTATCGGGGGATTTCCCATGGTGCACTGAGCTCCTCTCTTCCTCTCTCTTTCTGCACTCATTCATGTTCCATTAATGCATGTTACTAACTTCACTTCTTCCCCGGAGTTCTTGTGCTTTCTCGTCTCGCAGGTTCTTATCGATCCTGATGGAGCCTCCTGCCATGGTCCTGCTAGATTGCCATTGCCAATACTGTTGTTGCTGTGCACCCGTCTGTCTGTCTGTCTGTCTGTTTGTCTCTGTCTCTGTCTGTCCATCTCTCTCTCTCTCTCTCTCTCTCTCTCTCTCTCTCTCTCTCTCTCACCCCAACTGGTCGAGACAGACAACCACCCACCTAGAGCCGGAGGATCTGTCCTAGGTTTCTGCCTTTTAACAGGCAGTTTTTCCTTGCCCTTGTCACCAAGTGCTTGCTCATGGTGGTACTGTTGGGTCTCTGTAAATAATGTTATAAAGAGTTCAATCTGAAGTCCTTAAACCTGCTGCTGACTGTAATAACTCTCAAAGACTCAAAGTGAAAGTAACTGAGGCAACTTTTTACAGCAGGGCGGGAACCATAACTGACTAAGCTGTTGAACGTGTTGTCTGCTGTTTCCAGCTGCACTCAGAGGCAAAATGGCTTCCAGATCAGAGGAGGATTTCTGCTGTCCGGTCTGTCATGTGGTCTTTAGAGATCCTGTTCTTCTGTCATGCAGCCACAGCTTCTGTAAAGACTGTCTGAGCAGCTGGTGGAAGGAAAAACCAACACATGAGTGTCCAGTTTGTAAGAGAAGATCTTCGAAGGATGAACCACCTTTAAACCGGGCTTTAAAGAACCTGTGTGAGAGTTTCTTACAGGAGAGAGATCAGAGATCTTCAGAGGCTCTCTGCAGTCTGCACTCTGAGAAACTCAAACTCTTCTGTCTGGACCATCAGCAGCCAGTGTGTCTTGTCTGCAGAGATTCAAAAAAACACACCAACCACAGATTCAGACCCATCGATGAAGCTGCTCAGGATCACAAAGAGGAGCTCCAGAAATCTCTGAAGCCTTTAAAGGAGAAGTTAAAGGTTTGTGAAGAAGTTAAAGTGAAGTTTGATCAAACAGCAGAACACATGAAGGTCCAGGCCCGATGCACAGAGAAGCTGATTAAAGAGCAGTTTAAGAAGCTTCACCAGTTTCTAGAAGAGGAAGAGGAGGCCAGGCTGGCTGCACTGAGGGAGGAAGAGGAGCAGAAGAGTCAGATGATGAAGGAGAAGATGGAGGCTCTGAGCAGAGAGATAGAAGCTCTTTCAGACACAGTCAGAGCCACAGAGGAGGAGCTGAGAGCTGAAGACGTATCATTCCTCAACAACTACAAGGCTGCAGTGGAAAGAGTCCAGCAGCGCCCCCTGCTGGAGGATCCACAGCTGCCCTCAGGAGCTCTGATAGACGAGGCCAAACACTTGGGCAACCTGACCTTCAACATCTGGAACAAGATGAAGGACATGGTCTCCTACAGTCCTGTGACTCTGGACCCAAACACTGCTCATCCAGTACTCATCCTGTCTGAAGATCTGACCAGTGTGAGAGGAGGAGAGAAACAGCAGCTTCCTGACAATCCAGAGAGGTTTGATTATTCCTGGTCTGTTCTGGGCTCTGAGGGCTTTAACTCAGGGACTCACAGCTGGGATGTTGAGGTTGGAGACAGTACACGCTGGTTTCTGGGTGTGTTGGCAGAGTCGGTCCAGAGGAAGGGAATCATACTGTCTGGATTATGGGGAATAGGGTTCTCTAGAGGTAAATGCTCAGCACTATCACCACCAGCTTCATTCACTGTTCTCGTATTTCAGAAGAAGCTCCAGAGGATCAGAGTGAATCTGGACTGGAACAGAGGAAAGCTGTCGTTCTCTGATCCTGATACTAACACACACATACACACCTTCACACACACTTTCACTGAGAGGATGTTTCCATACATTGACACTCTGTATAAAGTAAAGATATTACCAGTGAAGGTCAGTGTGACAGTGGAACAGAGCAGTTAGAGATAAAGAGGATGATTATATTCATCATGTTTGTTTCTCTTTCACCCATTTTATTTTATTTTGATTTAATTTGAAGATCTGCTTTTTGTTTCTATTGTGGACCTTTTACCATGTGAAATTATTTCACTTAGTTTCTGATCTTTATGTTTGTTTTTTCTTTTTATTCATTTTTATGTAAAAAATGTTTAAATGATCCAAAAGTGGAGATGATTCAGTTTGTATCAGTATTTTCATTCAGTCCTTCTATTTAAGGTGGACGTTTCGTGTTTAAGGTGGAATTAACATTGAAGCTGAATGGACAATTTTTCAACAACATAATGAAATACTGTCTGTAATTTGTTGTCCGTTACTTCCTGATAATGAACATGTTACAGATTATTGATTTAGATAGATTTTTTATCCCGAGGGAAATTCAAGACAGTTCTGATATTGTTCACACTGGTAATCATAATCAATAATCAATATTAGAACAGCTTTATAGTGCTGGAGCCGCTCCAGGTGGATCTACTTTATATACAGTGAGCTAGTTTAGCCCTCAGGTTCCCAACATAGGGGTCTGGGCCCTCCAGAGGGTCAGATAAATGTGTTCTTCTCTCTGCACTTTAATCTTTGATTATTGGAGGAATATTGATGGTTTGATCGGTTATAGAGAGGAGTGCTGCTGAACCCGCCCTCCGGTCTTCTTCTGGTGATGCGTTCAGTGACACAAACAAACAGCTGATAAATGGGAGGACGACCAAGAAAAAGAAAAAACAGTTTATTAAAATGTGAATTTAAAGAAAAGTTGTGACAAACCAAATGAACAGTTTGAGTTTTTCTTTCTTCCTCAGAAACACTGAACACGATTAAATATATTTATTCTGAATACAAACTTTATATTTAATCTGTTTCTGTGTGAAGGAGAAAAGATGAAAACATAAAACAGCTTCTTCTGAAGACAAACAAAAGTATCTGGATGACCTTGAACACATCACAGACTTCCCACCAACTTAAAGGAATCTTTGTCGTCTGGTTTTGTCCTCCTGTCCGTACGTCTGACAGCGTTTCACTCTGCAGCTTCACCTCTCTCACAGGAAGCTGCGGAGCCAGAACCAGGTTCCAGTCCTGGTGGTCCGGACGAGGAAGAGGGGGGGTCAGTGACTCTTCTTGGACGAGCCGAAGCCTGAGAAACTCATCACCGCCGCCATCTCAGCGTCCTCCTCAAAGTCCACGTCCTCCTCCGCCCAACGCTTCCGCTCCTTCTGCTTCTCCTTCTTGTAGGCCTTCGTGGCAGGCAGGCAGGCAGGCAGGCAGCCAGGCAGGCTAATTAACATATATATTAAATAACATATTAATTAACATATATATTAAATAATATAACACTAAGGACAGGCTGAGACAGACGTCTGTTAGAGACACTGCTGACCGTCATTGACACATATTACTCATTAAGATCAGGTCCACGTTTAAAATCTCTTTCTGGGAGCATCACCATTTACTGTCCAGCAGGGGGCGTGTCCTCTTCCTCCTCTCCCTCCTCACCTCCTCCCTCAGCTCCTTCATTCGCTCCTCAAAGTCGTACTCCTTCTGCTTCTCCTCCATCTTCTTCTTGTTCACCTCAAAACGTTTCTTCACCTGATCCAGAGACGAGCGCCCCACCCACATCGACATCCCAAGATTCCTCTGGTCTGCACGCACACACATTATTATTGTTGTTGTTGTTGTTATTGTTTATTACTAGGATCATTGTTGTTGATGTGATCCAGGAAGTTGAAGGAGTCTTTGACTACACAGTCACAGACGTTACAGTAGTACCTGAGAGAGAGCGACAGCCAATCAGAGCGAGGCAACAGGCCGCAGCGGGAGGGACCTTTATCAATTATTGATCTCTGATCAAACAGCTGATCAAGGAGAGCTGTTTTTGGAGGGAAAATCTTCATGTGTCCTACCGTTTATAAAGACTGGTGCAGAATATATTAAATATAATATTTATATAAAGTAATTATAGGAAGCAGAAACTGGGTTCAGTGGAAGAAGATCTGGTTCTGACTTCACTCTTATTTAATTCAAGTTGATTTAATAAAAAACACAGACTGCGAACACAAAATACCAAGTAAAAGTATATCTCTGCAGATACAGCGTCTGATTCATGGTTTTGTTCTTCGTAACGTGAAGTTCAATCTCTATCTGACGTTGTTGTTTTTGTCTTTGCAGGGAACGAAACAGAAGTGGCCTTTTTCAAGAAAGAAGACTACGGTCTCTTTAAAGCTAATCCTAAAACTGCCTGGTGACCAGAGTGTTTTACAGCAGAGGAGGTTCTTAAAGGACTGAGGTCAAAGGTCAATTCCTGTTTGTACAGGAGAGTTTTAGGTTGTTGTTTTTAAATTCATTCATTCACCACTCTGCCTTTTTATTTCTCTTTCACATTATTATTTTCCTGCTGGTGATCGTGACCATAGACGTTAGTGTTCTTTTAAATTATGCCGATTAAAGACTTTGATTTTTTGTATGAAGATGAATTTCTGTAAAATAAAGTTAATTTAACTTGATGTGAACTGTTGCTTATGGACACATTTATGTTGCAGTTTGAGGAGAATCAGTTATTACCTGTAATGAGACATTTATTCAGACGTATATACAAATAGTCTGTTTGGAACAATAATGTGTGTCTGATATTATTTTTCTGCCAAAATAAATCTCTAATTTCACATTAAAATCTTTAAAAAGTTCATTTTCTTCGACCTCATTTAAAATAATCCAGAATCTCTGAATATGTAAATGATGATGTTTGCTCCTCCCTGTAAAGTCCATTCTCAGTGTGTGCGCACTGTAACACGATACCTTATTTTAACTCAAAGTAAATAGTTGAAATGGATTACATCCAAAGTTTTAACTAACACAAACTCAATTTTATAAGTTAGAAAGACTCTTCATTAAACTGCTTTTACTAGTAATTTTAAGTGACATTAACCTGATTAAGTAATTTTTACTTGGTATTTTGTGTTCGCAGTACAAATAAAAATTACAAAATTGAGTCAGTTTTACTTCAAATCAGTGCAATGAGTTTTTTTATTAAATTAACTTGAATTAAATAAAACTTTGTGATGTCACAAATAATGCTGGTAGGCCCCGCCCCTTAAAATCAGATGTTCAATGAGCCTGAAACTTGTCTATCAATGTTGACGATGTGCTAGTTTGTCCAATTTGAAGCTCAAACCGTGTTTTGCCTTTTTTTTCCAGAGGCCTCCAAGGTGCTTGTTTTTCTGCTCCCCATCCCATCCTAGATCCCGAAAGTGAGTCGGTTTTGTTCGTTGTGTCACTTTGCTGAACTAGCAAGTGGTGCCGTGGCTTAGTTGGTTAAAGTGCCTGTCTAGTAAACAGGAGATCCTGGGTTCGAATCCCAGCGGTGCCTGCTTTAGTTCTTTGAAACACCCTGCTGACAGTGGTGAATTCCTGAATCTTTAGCCTGAACTCCACTAATGGTCAGAACCAGATCCTCTTCCACTGAAGTGAGCTGTAGTCAAATAAATCAGGAGTTTAGGAGCTTGAAGTAGACTCCTGAATCTTTAGGTCCAATTCCCAAATAAAAGCCACTTCACTCTAGCTAGGCTAAGCAAGCTACCTACACGCGAGAGGTCTCTTTAGTACAGCTGGTGAGGGAACAGCAGTTACTGACGGAGGAGTCGAGCCTTCGTTGCCTCCGTCGTGGCGCAAATTAGCGTGTTCACCCGGGTGTGACCTTCACATCAATGCCACTCGGAGGTGAAGCCGATTAATATCGGGTGTTAACGGGTTTTTTTGAAAGGGGCTATAGACAACACAAAATTCGATATGAACGTAAGAGCCGCATGTGGCTCTTTGCCTGGTTTCGTGCGGCTCTTACGTTCATTATGTGTTGTCTATAGCCCCTTTCAAAAAAACCTGTTAACACCCGATACTAAAGAGACCTCTCGCGTGTAGGTAGCTTGCTTAGCCTAGCTAGAGTGAAGTGGCTTTTATTTTGGAATTGGACCTGAAGCGAAAAGCACAAGCCTTGACCAGAAATTGAACCAGCGCCACAACAGTGAGAGCACAGAATCCTAACCACTACACCACCAGGGAGGGAGAACGAATTTATATGAACCTCATTGACAATTGCTGTCCTTAGTGATAGTGAGATGCTAAGGAGTGTTAAACTGACACCATTAAAGTCGGTATTGGTGAAAGAGCCACGCAGTTGGCCAGGCCTGACCTAGCACCAACTAGTAAATCATTAAGTTTGATGAACAATGCCTAAACATTGTTCTTCAGAGGAACAATTTTTGAACGTCCCTGGGTGGGCTCGAACCACCATCCTCTCGGTTAACAGCCGAGCGCGCTGGCCGATTGCGCCACAGAGACACATAACGCTATGGCCGTCAAAATGTATAGTGTGCTTTTCTTACAATGTCGGTTGAACAACAAATTTAGACATTGCTCAGCAACAGCTTCATAGAATCATCTAGTTCTGCTCTCCTGACTGGTTGAGACCCCTGAGAAGGATGGCACTCTCCACTTTTGTGTGGACTTCAGGGGAGTCCTAAATCACACCATTAGGGTTATCCAGGGAGCTCTGTCCATTGTATATACTGTCAATGGCACCTGCAGAAACCTGGAGAAGCTCCTAAACTCCTGATTTATTGAGCCTCGGAGTTCCAGCTGGGTTCAGTGGAAGAGGATCTGGTTCTGACTTCACTGTGACCATCCGTTCAGGCTAAAGATTCAGGAGTTTCCTACTTCAAGCTGCTAAACTCCTGATTTATTTGACTACAGCTCACTTCAGTGGAAGAGGATCTGGTTCTGACCATTAGTGGAGTTCAGGCTAAAGATTTAGGAGTTCACCACTGTCAGCAGGGTGTTTCAAAGAACTAAAGCAGGCACCGCTGGGATTCGAACCCAGGATCTCCTGTTTACTAGACAGGCACTTTAACCAACTAAGCCACGGCGCCAGGTTTTGCCAGAGCAAAGTGACACAACAAACAAAACCGACTCATTTTCGGGATCTAGGAAGAGATATGGAGCAGAAAAGCAAGCACATTTGAGGCCTGTGGAAACACAAGGCAGAACGTGGCTTGAGCTTCAAGGGTCTAAGGGAGGTGAAATTGGACATGGTAGCACCAACTAGTATATTACCAAGATTGATAGACAATGCCTAAAGGTTGTTCTTCAGAGGAGGAGCAATTTTTTGAACGTCCCTGGGTGGGCTCGAACCACCATCCTCTCGGTTAACAGCCGAGCGCGCTGGCCGATTGCGCCACAGAGACACATAACGCTATGGCCGTCAAAATGTATAGTGTGCTTTTCTTACAATGTCTGTTGAACAACACATTAGGACATTGCTCAGCAACAACTTCATAGAAACTTCCACTTCTGCTGTTGATTGCCCCAAGCAGTCATGCCTGACATACAATGGTTTGAGACTGTGACCCCACTGAGTTTCCACAAGGAACACCAGTGGGCCAATGAGTCTCAGTTTGTAATGGGCGTGTTATTTTTCACAAGCTAGGAGGAGAAGGAGGCTCTGTCCATTGTAGATACTGCCAATGGTACCTTCAGAAACCTGGAGAAGCTCCTAAACTCCTTATCTGTTGAGCCTCTGAGTTTCAGCTCGTTTCAGTTTCAGCCCTCCTGCTTCTGACTTCACCCTGACCCTCAGTTCAGGCTAAAGATTCAGGAGTTCACTACTGTCAGCAGGGTGTTTCAAGGAACTCAAATCAGGCACCGCTGGGATTCGAACCCAGGATCTCCTGTTTACTAGACAGGCACTTTAACCAACTAAGCCACGGCACCACTTGCTAGTTCAGCAAAGTGACACAACGAACAAAACCGACTCACTTTCAGGATCTAGGATGGGATGGGGAGCAGAAAAACAAGCACCTTGGAGGCCTCTGGACAAAAAAGGCAAAAGACGGTTTGAGCTTCAAATTGGACAAACTAGCACATCGTCAACATTGATAGACAAGTTTCAGGCTCATTGAACATCTGATTTTTAATTATTTGTGACATCACAAAGTTTTATTTAATTCAAGTTAATTTAATAAAAAAACTCATTGCACTGATTTGAAGTAAAACTGACTCAATTTTGTAATTTTTATTTGTACTGCGAACACAAAATACCAAGTAAAAATTACTTAATCAGGTTAATGTCACTTAAAATTACTAGTAAAAGCAGTTTAATGAAGAGTCTTTCTAACTTATAAAATTGAGTTTGTGTTAGTTAAAACTTTGGATGTAATCCATTTCAACTATTTACTTTGAGTTAAAATAAGGTATCGTGTTACAGTGCGCACACACTGAGAATGGACTTTACAGGGAGGAGCAAACATCATCATTTACATATTCAGAGATTCTGGATTATTTTAAATGAGGTCGAAGAAAATGAACTTTTAAAGATTTTAATGTGAAATTAGAGATTTATTTTGTCGGAAAAATATCAGACACACATTATTGTTCCAAACAGACTATTTGTATATACGTCTGAATAAATGTCTCATTACAGGTAATAACTGATTCTCCTCAAACTGCAACATAAATGTGTCCATAAGCAACAGTTCACATCAAGTTAAATTAACTTTATTTTACAGAAATTCATCTTCATACAAAAAATCAAAGTCTTTAATCGGCATAATTTAAAAGAACACTAACGTCTATGGTCACGATCACCAGCAGGAAAATAATAATGTGAAAGAGAAATAAAAAGGCAGAGTGGTGAATGAATGAATTTAAAAACAACAACCTAAAACTCTCCTGTACAAACAGGAATTGACCTTTGACCTCAGTCCTTTAAGAACCTCCTCTGCTGTAAAACACTCTGGTCACCAGGCAGTTTTAGGATTAGCTTTAAAGAGACCGTAGTCTTCTTTCTTGAAAAAGGCCACTTCTGTTTCGTTCCCTGCAAAGACAAAAACAACAACGTCAGATAGAGATTGAACTTCACGTCCTCAGTATTAAAGATGGTGGTCAGCTCATACAGTCTCCAGTGAACAGCAGAAACAAACTCTTACCGACGCCAGACTCTCTCAGGGTTCGTCCGTCCTGCAGAATGAGCTTCTCATCGTCATCTAAACTCATCACCAACTCGTTAGTCTGCAGTGAAACACAAACAGTTTGGATTTCAATCAACCGAAGAATGACGTGCAGCGGCTTTAATACGAATCTCAGCGTCAGGAATCAGATACCTTCGCTCCGTGTGCTTGGTGGATGATCTTCATCGTGTCTGAAAACACAATCAGAATGTTAATTAACCAGGAAACACAGACTGAACACACTGCGTCCATCAATACAATACCAACTGACTCAGAGACGCCACTACATGTGTTTATAGGTTGTATATAATGTCTTTATCCTCTATGACAGTAAACTGAATCTCTTTGTGCTGTGTAATGATATATAATCAATATATCTCTGCAGATACAGCGTCTGATTCATGGTTCTGTTCTTCGTAATAATCAGACATCACAATACGTTAAACTGATTAGATACAATTTACTTTCTTTATTGTGAATTTCTGTTTTATATTGAAGTTTTTGAACCTACAGCTGAAACAGCAGAATAAATCCATCGTTGTGACTCAGTGATCAACCTGATTGTGATCAGTTATTTCACTCAGCAGCAGATTACAGATTCACTACAGACTGTCATCAGAGAGGAGCTGCAGTACGTTGTACAAACCACCAGGTGTCACTGTTCTGCCTGACCACTTCACATCCCACTAAATATTACTTATTATTAGTAGTAGTAGTATTATTACATATTATTATTGCTCATTATTAATATTATTATTATTGTTAAGATTATTACTTATTATTAAATATTATTATTATTGTTATTATTATGAGGAAAAACAATCTGATTAATCACATAAACACTAATAAACATCAGCAGACGTACCATAAACATATTTCCTGAAAGGAGGAGGAAGCCCCGGTCTGGTTGTAATATCTGGAAGGAAACGAGAGTTTATCATCAGGGTAATAAGAGACTGGGGGGGGGGGTAAATAAGAGACTACAGGGGGTAACGGGGTAAATAAGAGACTACAGGGGGGTAAATAAGAGACTACAGGGGGGGGGTATCAGGGTATCTCCGAGCCCACTCGGCTCCACCGACACTGACCGTCTCTGACGAGCTGCATGAAGTCCCGAACCGACTGATCCACCAGGACTCCGTGAAACACGACCGGTCTGAAGTTCCGGTGCTCGAAGGACCGAACCAGGCGGACGGTGACCACCGCTCCCCCGTCGGCCATGTCCCGCTGCTAACGGCTGCCAACGGCTCCTAACGGCTCCTAACGGCTCCTAACGGCTCCTAACGGCTCTCTCCGGTAAACGCTGTCACACACAGTCGGTGCTCAACCTGTCCGGTAACGGGAGTGACTGCAGACACTTTCATCACCGAGCTGCTGCTGCTTCTGCTTCAGGTTTATGAGCAGAGCTGCAGACAGCGCCACCTGCTGTACCGGAGAGGAAACACAAACTACATTTAAATATATATTATACATCATTTATTTATATATTATCAATGTATTTATTTATATATTTCTGTATTTCTTTATTTATGAAAATGGATCTTTACATGCATTTATACATTTATTCTACATTTATAAATGTATTTATTTATATATTTCTGTTTCTAGAAGTATTTATTTATTTAATAAAATGTGTATGTATCTATTTATGTATTATTCTACATTTGTATTTAATTATTTATGTCTTTATTTATACATTTATTCTACATTTATACACTTATTTATTCATATATTTCTGTTTCTAGAAGTATTTATTCATTTAATAAAATGGCTATTTATGTATTATTTGTATTTATTTAATTATTTATGTCTTTATTTATACATTTCTGTATTTGTACATGTATTTAAATATTAAACATTTATTCTATATATTATGTATACATGTATTTATTTATTTATATATTTATTTAGTTGTGTGTCTGTATGTACATTGAGAGAGTGGTACCAAGAGCCTGAAGCAGGATTGGTCAGGGAGAGATTAATAGCAGACAATAATATAACTAGTAATGTAACTAATTACTGTTGGCAGGGACTATTACTATTAATATTATATATAATAATATTACTTTTGAAAAGAGTAATGAGTATTAAATGAGTATCTCGACACTGGTACTGAATAGAAATATCTAAAGGTTGCACGAATCAATAAATCCTTTTACAAATACGTATTTTTACATTAAACTTAAACCATCACTTGGTTTCACTATAATAATAATAATAATAATAATAATAATAACAACATAATAATAGAGGCAGATACAGTAATAGAAATAAATACAAACCTCAGAATCAGATTTATTTCAGTCAATAACGTTTCTTAGTGGCAACGAGAGGTGAAACAGTTAAAGTGTAAAAATATTCCATTACAAGGAAAGTACTGCATTGAATATGCTGTTGTTGAATATAAGTAAAAGTATTAAAGTATAATCAGAAACAAATATATATTATATCTTTGTCGACATATAAAGAGATAACAGTAAAGTCTCATCTTTCTTTCTTCACACAAACTGTAAAACATGGAGCTGAAGCATAAAGTCTCTAGAGCTGCAACCATTAATCGATTAATCGATCAGTTGATTAATTGTTTTGAGCCTTTAAGAAAAAAATGTCCAAATTCTCGGATTTCAAAGTGAATATTTCCTGCTTTCTTCAGTCCTCTTCGACAGTTTAATGAACCAAACAACTAATCGATTAATCTAGAAAACAATCGTTGGTTGCAGCCTTCGATAACAGCAAACAGCAAAAAGTCCCTTTACCATTTTTAAAATAACTCCGTCAGTGTGTTGTAATGTCTGACAGCTGAGGCATCATTAATGTGATGTAAACTCTCTGATTTGCAGTATTTGTCCGCACAGTGGAACTTTTGCAAAAAATAAATAAGAAATCTTTCTTTTAAAAGTCCGAACAAACTGAAGGCAGCAGCAGGATGTTGGACCGGGTCGCTGCTCGGACCGGTTCAGTCCAGACTCACAGAGAGACTCCTCTGGGTTGTCCAGGTTTCTTTCCCTTTCTGTCTCGAACTCTCAGACGTCACCCAAGCTGCGAGGAGGATCCACCTCCGCTGGCTCCTGGATGTTCGGGGGTCGGTGTCTGGCGCTCTCCCAGCCCCTGCGGATCTTCGCCAGCTGCCACGTGAGGCACGGCAGAGCCAGGAAGATCCGTCCCACCAGGACCGCACAGGGCAGGATGAGGGCCAGCAGGTAGACCGGTGGCAGGTAATAAGGGTAGGCGAAGGGGAAGAAGGCAAAGTCCCAGCCGAAGAACAACGTATGCATGACGGAGAGAGTTAAGGCCGCGTAACCGAGTCCCGACTGCAGACGCACAGAGAGACAGAGGACTTAAAATCAGAACAAAGAGTACAAGAGGGTCTTTACAACATTTGACCATCTATTACTATTAATTAAGACTTTATCTGTGGTTGGTTCCTCTCAGGCTGTAATAAAGAACTGATTCATAGCATCCAGATTGGGTGTTTTCCTCACAACATACAGAACTAGAGTCATTTAGAGCTCATATTAATGAATTAATCACAGTGTACAGTCACATCCTCTTATTAAGTACAATTAGTGAGTTCTGCTGACCTGAACAAACGTGAACTCCCTCCAGTTGAGGGCATTTCCCACAGAGGGCAGCGATGTGACAGCCAGCAGAGCGAGGACTCCGAATCCCAGAACTCCACAGGACAGGTAAAGGTCGGACCTCCACACCTGCTGCTCCACCCAGGAGTTCTCAACGCCGGCTTTCACCTCAAAGTGAACAACAAACCGAAACATCAGAACGTCCACAGACACGGTGTGTGTCGTACAGTCGGACCCGCCCCAGTGCTCACCTGGCGGTACGCCGCGTTCAGCAGCGTGTACCCCGCGGCCCTCCGCAGCGCCAGACACACGCTGTACACGGCGTGAAGCGCGGCGCACAGGAAGCTCAGCAGGCCCAGCTGCTTCCGCCCGCACAGCCACGAGTCCAGCCAGCGAGGAAATCTCTTGTATTTGGTTCCCCGTCCCAACTGGAGCACCGCCGCCAGCAGACCTGAGGAAGCACAGCGGACACGGTCATCAGACTGAAGACGCTGGAGGAACCAGAGGAACCGGATTGTTTCACAGATTATCAGGATGGATGGAGGGAAAGTTGTTCAGTTATAAATGTTTGTGCTGTCCAGTTACCTTCTAGCTTTCCACCAGGTTCATATAACATGATCTATCTGTTAAAGCTCCTACAGGCAGCGTATGAACTGTCCCACGGCTCTCAGGGGAGCTCACTTCTTCTACTGTCGCAGGGGGAAATATTTCTAATATTTACTGATCTGAATTTTATGATATTGGTCTGCTTCAGTAGAGATGGCAACAATAGGTGTATGTTAGTGATGAGTCACACTCACGCATAGTCCATGATAAAGATGCAGAAAAATAGAAAGTCATGATAACAATAGTTAATTTCAGTTCAAACAATCCCTGTGAATTCTGCACAGCTTTGCAATTTTGTCCAATTGCTTCCACTTTTCTGCAATTTCATCCAATCGTAGTTTCCTGCACTAAACGTTGAGTCATACTTCACCAAACTCACTTCCTTGTTTCTAGTGTTGAAGACACAAACGCCTCACACTGACCCTCCAAACAGTTTTATTCTCACTGGAACAAGTTTAAATGCAAAAAAAATGCTTAAAAACACCCCAGCATGCATTGTGATTTTCTAGAAAGGCTGCAGTGAAATCAGACATTATATGTAATTCACACCCTGAATCTACAAGGAACCTTCATTCTGCACTGATTCTGGCGCCCCCTGTGAACAAAAGCAGTAGTGCTTCTACCGACCCGGTGGCAAACATTAATAAGAACTCTACAGAAATAGTCAATCTTCTCTCTGATAGTGTTGTTGGTTTACGTAGCTCATATATATTCTCTCGCCTTCCTGGAGACGCCGTGCGCCTGCGTGGCGTCGCAGTCTGAACACCCTGTTTAATACCTGGTAGGTAGACCAGAGCCAGCGTAACCAGGGCGACCGCCGGCAGCGCCTCGTTGACCGTCACCAGAGGGAGCTGATAGAAACTGTTCTCTCCTTTATCCAGGTAGGGCAGCAGGATGTGCCTCACAAAGCTGTAACCATAGAAGAAGAGGAAGAGGAGGAAGGTGGCCAAGATGGGGCCTCCCCAGGAGGGGAAGAGCATGAGCGGGGCCTCCTCGATGTCCCTGGACGCGCACAGACCCCCCAGATCCACGGGGCTGAAGCCGAGGCGGCGGGCCAGCTGCAGGACGGCGGCTTTAGAGTCGGAGCAGTCGCCGCAGATCAGAACCTGGAGATCAGGATTCTTGTTAAGATCTTTAAAATGCAAACCTGTTTCACTTTATTATTATTATTATTGATATTTAAACAAATGTTTGAGCAAGAAGCAAGAAAATCTACAGAAGAGAGGGAGGAGATCAAACAACCTGTTTCAATATTTACGAGCTCCAACTGTTTACATAGAGGCTGATCTACAGGGACGTACTAATCCAGAGATCCGGAGAGAAGCTCAAACAAGCCTCACTCGACCCAAGAGGAGAGGTAGAGACCCCGGCGCTGTAAGAAGAAGAGTGGAAGACTGCGAATAGTCTGAATAAGTCGCTACATTTGTTGCTTTTTAGAAATAAAGTTGCTAAAGTTGTCAGTGAGTTTGCGACACTGTCTCTTTATGACTGATTTTATTTAAGGTTGTGTGTGACGCAGCATAAAGCTCGTGTAGATGTCGCCTCATATTTTCTTTATTTGAACACAATTAAATATGATTTATATTCCATGAGGCACAAACATAAGACTTTAATTTGTACTGATACGTTTCTCTGCTGTGCTACAATCGTTCCAGATTCTGTAGCTTTGTGTCCCAGGTGCTATTTAATGTCCCCGGGACAACGCGCTGTGTTCATGCAGACGCAACAAGATGACATAACGGTGAAAAACAATGTAAAACAACAGGATGGAAATATGTTGTTTCATGTTTTAATGTGAGGAAGGTTCCATCAGATCTCTGTGGAGCGATTTAAGACTCTTGTAGGGCTTCCCCCATGACAGTCGATTAAACCATTAGTCTTAGAGTCTTAGTCAACAAACTTTTCAGTAGTCAGACAGTCGCAGAAAAACAAAACCAACATCAAAATCTGTTCAGGAGCTGCAGCTTGTCTCTGGGACCAAGGTATCAGAGGATGGTTGCAACACGGACCTTTTCTCTCGTATCTGTTAGCTGACTGTACTCAGACTGGGAGCTCAAAGGACGGAGGAGGTTTGTTTTTACTACTAGCATAAGAGCTTTGGACTGGAGGGACGAGCACCAGAACCAGAACTGGACGAGTGGGCAGATGAAACCGGGATCTCACGCCCTCTGAGACCAGCAGAGCTCAGGTGATTTACAGCGGCTCCAACCAGGACTCCGACTCCGGGGACGACAAAGACACGGCGGGTTCAGGAGGGCGAGTTTACAGTCCTTAAAGGTTTGTTACGTACGTTTCCACGTTAACCTCCTTAAGCTTAGAAATTAAGGAATTTTAATCAAACTTTTCTGCTCCGATACTTAAAAACACACCAGCTTGTTAGTTTGGTCTCAATCTGACATCACCTGTGCCTCCACCTCACCTGTGCCTCTACCTCACCTGTGCCTCCACCTCACCTGTGCCTCCACCTCACCTGTGCCTCCACCTCACCTGCCTGCTGCCATCGTGGGCTCCGGCCTGCAGCGCCCACGCAGAGACGACGTTGAACCCCTTCATCACCTTGCTCTTTGGGAAGAACTCCGCCAGCCTCTCCGCGTTGGACGGCCCCCCGCCGTTCAGCCTGGTGGCGTTGCTGACGTCCACCAGCACCTTCCCGGCCAGCGGCTCCCTGAGCCCCACCAGGGTGTGATAGTGGTCTGGGTAGACCGCGGCGAACACCACCTTATCTGCTCCCTCCACCGCCTCCCTCTGTGATCGCAGCTCCACCCCGTCGGGGAACAGGCCCCTGGCGACGCGGCGAGGGTCACGGCTGCCCACCACCACCCTGAAACCACAGGCCAACAGGCGGATCGACAGCGAGCGGGAGAAGTCTCCGGAGCCGATGATGCCGACAACAGGGCCTCCCGGGCGCTGCTGCAGGGGCTCTGAGGCGCCAGAGGTTGAACTCGCCAACAATGGCGTCCTCATGTCGCCCTCCATGATGACCTGCTGGGGACGAGGAGGGCTGTTAGACACTGAGCCTGGGTCAACACAGATACATCAAATTATTATATTAATGAATTATTAATGAATTATTCCCTGTGATTATTGATCAGAGATTAACTTTCTTGATATTTTTAGGAACTTTTATACAATTCTGTCTGTTTTGTGAATTTTGTGACAATCTTTCAGACTTAATAAACTCATTTTGTGACAAAGTCAGTGTTTTCGTCTCCCTGATTCGCTCTTTGGTTGTTATAACTGTGAATACTTCAGATAATAAACACTAATATAAACATTCATATGAATATTATATTATAAGAGCCTCCTCAATGTTTCACACTGGAGCTTTAAATCATCAGGAGTCAAACATTAGTTAAATATAACTCCAGTTTATGATCAGTACCTTTCTCATTAAGTGTTATAGATCTATAGAAGATAAATAATAATACATAAACATATATAATAACTTAACCAAACATTTATCTGTTCCTCAGCTGAATCTCAACTAATAATCTGTTGAAATAAAGAGGAAACCTCTTTTATTAGCAGCTGTAGTGAGTTTGTGTTTATCACATTATTATTACAGCTGACTCTGATTAAAACACCACATCTAACAGTCGGTACACAACAATAACCAATAATCACGTAATCAATCAATAATATTATGGATGAAGCTGTAAGCCTGCAGAAAGCTCAAATCTAAACTAGATATGTTACAAATATTACAAATATTACAAATAACAGGCTGTAAACAGACCTGAGAACAGCACAAACAGGACACAATGGTTCACTTTTCCGTGGTTACCTGAACTCACCGCGTCTCGGAGGAAAGTCCAACAATAAGATTTTAATATTGAAATCTTTTAAATGTTGAAATAAAGCTCAAAGCTTCAGGTAACGACCCGCTCACACATCTGTTGTCCTTCACTGTCACCGACAAATTATCTTCACGTGAACACCGGAGGACAGGGGACCGTCTCTGTCACGTGTACCTGACACCCCGCCCACTGCTGCCTTCAGGGACTGCTGCTGAGCTCCGACTTTGGGGTTGTTCTTTCTTACTAAATATAAAAGTGAGTTAAAAACAAAACTTATCACACAAATTAAATCCCACTTTGCTTTACTGAACAACTGAGAGGCTTGTTCTTTATTTGATATGTGCAAAGAGACAAATTAAAAAAACATATTTACCAATTTTATTGCCAAAGAAACGCAGAGAAACAGAAACAGTGCCGCAAAGTGGGAAACAGAAACAGAACCTAAAACAGAAACAGAACCTAAACAGAAACAAAACCTAAACAGAACCAAAACCTAAAACAGAACCAAAACCTAAACAGAAACAGAACCTAAAACAGAAACAAAACCTAAACAGAAACAGAACCTAAACAGAAACAGAACCTAAAACAGAACCAAAACCTAAACAGAAACAGAACCTAAACAGAAACAGAACCTAAAACAGAAACAAAACCTAAACAGAAACAGAACCTAAAACAGAAACAGAACCTAAACAGAAACAAAACCTAAACAGAACCTAAAACAGAAACAGAACCTAAACAGAAACAAAACCTAAAACAGAAACAAAACCAAATACAGAAAAATAACCAATACATATTTTCTTTACTTTGACTTCTATAAAAGCAAAATACCACATTCTCCCACAATAATGCAAAGTCTTTATAAATATGGTCAATGACGAATCTGCTGAAGTTTTGCCAAAATGTTCTGGTTTGTAAGAAATACCAAGAGAGGTGCAAAACAGTTTCTGGGTGGTCTTCACAAAAAGAACAGTTTGTATTGATGTCTCTGTTACATTTAACCATGTAGTGATTAGCAGCGTAATATCTGTGAATTATTCTGAACGACACTTCTTTCACCTTGTTTACTCTCAGGTATCTGTGAGGAATCATCCAAACTTGTTTCCAGTCAATGTCGTTTACAAATCGGTTCCAATAAAACATCACATTTGGAATAGATACAATTTCTTTCTGAAACAAGGCACGAATGTTCTTATTATTTGGAGGAAGTTTAGAAAAACTGATCTGTCCAACAGGTGATCCAGCCACAGCGGGGAGGGAGACAGAAGTGGGTGGAGGTCTGCCAGTATTTCTAAAAAGCATTATTGAGCCTGATGGAATGGCGTCAAATACAATTGCAAATTCTTGTGTCGTAACTGGAATATTATATATTATATATAATATATATTATTATATGTTGATAGAAACTCTCTATAAGAGAAAAGTCGCCCCTCTCCATTAAATAGCTGGCCCACCAACAGAATCTGATTCTGTACCCAACTCTCAAAAAAGAGTGACTTGTTTTTATATAAAATATCTCTGTTATTCCAAATTAGAGACTTATAAATGAGAGACCATGCTAAAAGGACCTGCTTATGGAAAGTGGACACTTTTACAGGGAGTTTGTCCACATTGTAATTACAGTTCAAAATAAGCTCAGACCACCAAAACAGGGTTTTTTAGAAAATGCTTAGCCCAATTTATCTTAAAAGTATTGTTTAGTGTATTAAAGTCCAAAAAGTTGAGCCCACCAGATTCATAATTATTCATAACAACACTTTTTTTATATAATGTGTACGATTTTCACAATAACTCAATTTAAATTATTGTAGCAATTATGTGTGACGTCAATATTTCCGACAGCCAGTGAAGGCATCACATCTGAAAGCGGAAGATAAGGCTGCAGTTTGTGTAAGTCTGCTGATAATGCAAAAGTTTTATAAGAGAGAAACACAGAAGTCACAGGCACAGGAAACACAAAGAGACAGATTTACATCATATTTCAAATAAATATGTGAGGGAAGCACTTTTTTATTATTATTAGAGCAGTAAAATGTTCCCTGTGGTGTGTTTGTGTTCATATTTAATGTGCAGCAAAGCTTCATATTCTATAAGATCATCATATGTTTGTATCTGTAAACAGTCACAATAACAATGTTTATCTCAAACAGTGAACATCAGTCCTGATGAATAATGCGTCTGTGTGTTGGTTCAATTCAATTCAATTCAATTCAATTCAATTTTATTTGTATAGCACCAATTCATAACAGAAGTTATCTCAGGACACTTTTCAAATAGAGCAGGTCTAGACCGAACTCTTCTTTATAAAGAATTTTATCTTGTCGTCTGTGTTTTATGAGCTTTCAGCTGTTTTGCATTGTTGTTGTTGTTGTTGTTGTTGTGTTATTGTTTACTGTTTATTGTCTTTGTGTGTTTTTGGTACTTTTAGTTTTTTGTCTGTATTTGTGTTGTTTTTAGTTTCTGTTTCAGAAATAAATAAACTAGTTAAATAAATAAAGCTGTCAGATAAATATATGAGATGTAGTATAAACAAGTATAAAGAAGTATGATGCTGCATAAAATATAAATATTCAAGTACAAGAACCTTGACTTTGTACTTTACTGCAGAACTACAGTTAATGTAACGACTAAAACACTGTTTTCTGTTAGAGGTGGAAACAGAATCCTTAAATACAGTAAGGTTCCTGAGATGTGTTCCCTGCAGAGAAGCTCAGGTGATGTAACAGTACATATAGACGTTCTCCACTGGGTGGCGCTCTTCCACTGCAGCACACAGTGGTGAGTCTGTCAGTTGTTCTATAAAGAGCTCATTCTGTGAATTTGTTCCAGATTTATTGGAGATTATTGTTCAGATGAGAAACACTGATGCAGGAAGTAAACTTTATGCTACTATAAATAATAAATAATATAAATAAAGTTCTGCAGTTGTTCTCAGTCTTATTCACTTTCTCATTCCTTGAAACAAAATGTAGAGTTTGGGCTAAAGAGTAAATCCACTGTAGACACATTCTTCACTCCAGTAGAAGTACAGATGAAAGGACTGATGTGTACTGTAAGTGAAAAAGAACAGGTTGTGGAAAGCAAAGTATAAACGTATAAAAGTTTCTCTGAAGGACGTTTCTGTGTTAAACTGAAACTTCAAACAGTCTCCTGAGTGATGAGCATCAGTCTTGTTGTTGGGACGGTGTGCAATGATGCAATAATAATAATAATAATAATAATAATAATAATAATAAAAAACTAAAGCAATGATCCAGTTTTAAAGTGTCAGCAGTAGAAAGTTCAGTACATATGAGCATTGTTTTCTACAGTTTACATCAGAAATAAAAAATGATTCTTTAATTTGATAAATATATTTTATAGATTTCTGTCTGAGGAATAAAAGAATCTCTTTCAGTCTCATTCTGTTCCCATCATGCACCAGTACTGTGACCTGTACTGAATCCTCCTCCTGAGTGTTATTAATAAAACTGAAACCACGTTAATAACTTTATCTGAAGCCCTCCACCCGGCCCCTCTCACAGCAACCCCGAGGTCGGAGGCGTTTGACATTTCAGGCTCCGACAGTGACTCAACTGGAGCAGCAGTCCAAACATCATCATCATCATCATCATCATCAGCTCTTCTTCCCTGTGTTCAGTGAATATCCCGGATTGGACAGAGAGTTGTGTGATAACTGCGTGATTCATTTCATCTTAAAGACGTGCAGCGAGACTCTCTGACAGCTGACGGATGTTCGTGTGCAGCTGCCAAATGATTGATTATCTGAAATGTTTAATGAACTTGTGAGAAAATGATATTCAGCTGCAGCTTCATTTGTTACAATCGCAGTCAGGCATCCAGCCGCTCACCTCCACGTACACGGACCGCGGCGAGGAGTCGGGATAAAACTCCCAGCCGTGACCTTTCAGATCTGAAAACACTGACGTTCTTTATCTTTTATTCTCATAAAGTCCAACAATGTCTTCCTCTTCCTGTGTCCGTCTCTTTCACTCCCTCCTGCCTCAAGTACAGTGTGAAGGACTGAAAAGGTCATGAAAAGGAAATAGGAAGCTAACATTAGATACAGTAGTGCAGCAGTGAATGACAGATAAATGTCATAAAGGGGAATCGTGGATGGCGCTCTGAGAGGGTTCAAATAAATACAAAAAGCACCCACTGGACTGCAGCAAGAGACACTTATTTATATATGTTTGGGGTATTTCACCTTTATGTGGTTGCAGACGGTAATAAAAGATGAGATCTCCAACCAGACCGACCAAACACGCCGGTGTAGGAACCGTGAGGTCACCCAGCGGAGGCGAGCTGCTCTCATCGGCTGCCAATGGAGCTGCCCCCTGCTGGACATTACAAAGCTGGCATGTCTGCACAGCGGAGACTCGCGGGTGCCCAGAGAACCCATTTTTATTCAGATATCTTGAGGTCAGAGGTCAAGAAATCCACCCTGAAAATGGCAATGGCAGTTATTCCATCAGTAAAATGTAGCCTGACATTGGAGCGTTATTCCCGACATGCTGACACGACGTGGTTGGTACCAATGGATGCAACAGCTCATCTAGTTTCATATCTGTCTTCACTTTAAAACAAAGCCTCTGAAAGACAGTGTAGAGTGGAAGAGCCCCCCCACTCGGACACCTTCACAACGACAGCACTGCCAATAAAGATCAATGCACACAAACATCTGTATGTTATTGACACGCCGCTCTTACAATGAACTCCATGGAGAGAGTGGAGGATTCAGTAGATCCAGGATTGATCTGTGCAGCATGTTGTTGGTCAGTGGAGCTGAAGCTTTTTATGTAATTCTGACCTTTTATTTATTTATTTATTTATTTATTTCTGGGAGCCGGTGCGGTGAACTGGAACAGGACCTGCGGGCCACTTTGTTCTCTGGTTAATCTGCAATGTAAAACAGGACCCAGCAGGCGAACGTCTCTGTCAAGGTGAACTGGACTCTGGGTCGTGGTCCACTGACCCACTGCTACTGTCTGAGGGCGACGCTGCACTGTATATTGAACCGGAGGGTTCTCAGCAGCGGTACTCTACTGTATTTCCATTTATATATTATAATAATAAATTAAATGAATCAATATTGGTCCACCAGGAGTTGAAATATGGCCACTTCTGGTTTACACTGCCATTA